GTGGAGGAAGGTTACACAGCCATCACAACCAGGAACCATCAAACACTTTGCCCTCCATGAATTTGTCTAATCCTCTTCGATAGCCACCCAATGCATTTCATTGGAGTTGGCTAGCAAATTCAGCTGCAAAGGGTTCAAGTGCTTTTTTATTTTCAAAAAGTTGAAGCCAAAGCATATTAGACAAGGCTAAGATACAGAATTAGTTCTTTGGATAAATTAACAGGAACAGGAAGGATTCGAAATCTGCGAGATCAGAGATTCTTAGAAGACTGGAGTAAATATTTGAACTATTTGAAAAGCAGTTGTAATAAACAGATTACGCTAGTAGGACTGCAAGAAGTTCTGTAAGGAGGACTATTTGAAATATTGCAAGAAAGACTATGAAGAGAACTATTCGTTAATGATAATTAAAAGTAATAGAGAAATTAAGAAATGCAGAACAAGTGCTAAAGAACGGAAAATCTTCAGAAGTTGTTGACGGAAGTCTAAAATATTGTATAAGATAAGAAGTTATGTAATGATTGTTGGAAATGGTATGTTAAAAAAGCTATTTCCTCCTTCCTCTCCATAAAGGCTTATAAGCTAGTAATCTTCCTCATTAACTTAATATTCCACATTTCCTTTCTCCAGAACCTCCCAGATGGCAAGTGTGTGTGTTTCCCCTCCTCCATGCTTTTGCTAATAATAAACATGCCATAGTTAGCTCTTCACCTCTTTAAACCCTTGTGTTCCTGGACCAGTTTTAGGAAACTTGGAAACCTAGAGCAAACACTCACAAGGCACGGCTCAAAATCTCTCTGGCCATTCCTTGCTGCTTTCTAGCTGTAGAGATGGCCATCTCACTTCTTGCATTTTCAAGGTTAACACTACAGGTCAATGCAAACATTATCGAGCAAGGTGAGCCAATGGTCTCACCTACTATAAGGAAACTTCCTATGTTCCAGATACACAACCTGATATAGACCACTCAATGTCTTCCCCGCTGCCCGGAGTACTTATGTCTCTGGCTGTTTATTAGATATGAAAAAAGCAGCCATCACAAATGTTGATCTGTACTGTGGATCTTGAAAATACAGAAGAGCAGGCCTTGGGAGCTTACATTGGTGCCCTATTCCCAAGCCTGACACACAGCTGTTTCCGAGTTAGCGCAAGACATTGGCTTTGTGTATCCTTTCTTATGGTGCCTCAAAAGCACACCTTGACACAAGTATTCTGGGTTTTGCCAGACAATAGCCACCAAAGCACCAGACACTCGATTCATTACTTATTAACCCCTGTGATCAAGAGAATGTGCCCTGGCAGACTATTTACTTTAGGGAGTAGTGGAATTTTCCCTTTTCTTCCTGCAGGAAAGCTAGGGGTGTGTAAAGTGGACTTGCCTTCTGGTCCTGACTTTACTAGGTAAGAACTATGGGAAATAATCAGCTCTCGTGAATCTCCTGTCTTTATTTATTAAGTAAAGCATTTCAAATCCACCTTTCAGGCCGCACAAAGGAACTTCCAAGGAAATGTTTATCACGAAATACCTACATGGTATTTTTTTTATTAAGTTTTCCAACCAATAAACACATATTTAACAACACTACAATGTCACAAATATTATAGGGAGCACATTATCGGAAAATGCATTCTAAGTACTCCTGCTACTGACACAGCACACCAGAATAAGATTTGAGATGATGGGGTTCTGCCATCTGTGTCTGAAGTTGGCAAACTGGAGGCAAGGGGACCATACCTCAGTAAATATTTTTATGTCTTTCTCGCCCCTTGGTTTTCTGAATCACTTTGCTTTTCATTCAACGCCAACTGCCACATTCTAGAGCATCGGCTACAAATAGATTCTCCAACCTCTTCCAGTTTTGTGAGATTTCCAGATGTGCTGCTACCAGGGGTTTCAGGAACAAGTCTTTTAAGATGTGTGACTTTGTTTACCTGTTCGCTGAAAATTGACATTAAAATGTTTCATCTCTGTGAATAAAACCGGCTAACTTCTCAACTCTACCTGGATTAAGATGCTTTTAAATAAACACAATTGCTCTGGACGTCTTATAAAGATTAACAAGGTTTTTCCTGACCATTAAAATTTGACTCTTTTTATTAGTGGATTCTTCTTATCATCTCTGGGTTGTATCCAATACCAGGCCTACTAAGAGTAGACCAATTGAAGTTAATAGACATGACTTACACTCATAGTAGTATTAGTAGTAGTAATAATCTATTATTTGTGCCCCAGCCACTCTGGGCGGCTTCCAGCATATATAAAAACATAATTTCAATGGGTCTACTCTCAGCAGAACTTTCAACCCTCAAATTTTATTATACTGTTTTTATGTTTGTATTTTGCATACCACTTCAGAGATTAGAAACGTTAAGCAGTTTAGAAATGCTTTTAAATAAATAAAATATTATTTGGTAGGATCACCAAGGGCCGAAGAACATTGCCTTGCTGGTTGAATCTTGTGGACTCTATTGGAAGGCAGTGGACTCCCCTTCACTGGAGATTTTTAAGCAGAGGTTGGATGGTCATGTGCTATGGGTGCTTTAGCTGAGATTCCTGTATTTCCGGGGTTGGACTAGATGACTCTCAGAGTCCCTTCCAACTCTACAATTCTATTTGGTGTTTGACAACTGCCCATCCCAGTAATATATAAAGAAGATCTGACACAAAATCCTTGTGGGCATAGCATGAAATTGCAAATCTGTATACTTCATTGGTTGACTCAAGCTATGACCAGAGAGAAAAAGAGAGAAAAAGAGAGTGAGTTTTTCAAAGCTGTGGGTAGATTTTAGCCACAACAAAAACTTAGTGGCATTTTTAAGTACCAGTACTCAGCTAATTGGGTGCCCACCACTTAGCTGAAGATTTTGCCTTGAGGCTGCCCAAACTGGTTAACTCATTTCTTGGAAAAGTCACAAGACTGAAGATAATGAGAGACAACTGATTATTGTGAACTCTGTGGCTTGGAGCTGCAGTTTTCGAATTTTCTCCCACGGAAACAGGTGGTTCTGTAAAGCATGCATTCCCATTTTAGACGAACCAAAGTTTACTGTGTTGTCCAAACCCTAAACTACAGTCAGTCTTATCAATGATTACTGAGAACAAGCCAGCGTCATAAACTTTGGTTTGCAGGGGCCTTGTTTTCAGTACTCATAGAACTGAGCGATGTTTGTTGAACTTCAGACATCACAGCAAGATGCAGTTAAGTAAAAAAAAAATAAAATGAAAGTTTCAGCTTCTCAAATCTTCCTTGCAGGCACACTGGAGGAGAAGTGTGTGAGCTCAAGGCTTGCTGCAGCACATTACATCTGAGCAAGGTAAGATCCTTATCACAACCCACAGGGATTGGTTGTGCACAGTGGTTCCCAATTGGTCTGTGGACCACAGGGGATCCCTGTAACCCACCCAGGGGGCCCGTGGTACATAACTGGCTACCGTCTGAGACATCCCATTTTGGGCGCCATGCTCTCACGTGGGCACGTGACTCTTGCAGGAGCAGAGCCAAGAAGTTGCGTGACCTGACTTTGCACTGGGACATGTTGAAGGGTACGGTGGCACCGTTCACATAACAAAAACTACCACAGAGATATCAACAGTTTCAAAAGTAGGAGGTCCTTTTGAAGAATAGGGAGTCCGCAGTACTAACTGGGAGCCGCTGCGCTAGGATGTACTGCACATTGATCATTAACTATAGACTTTTCTGTGCTGCCACCTTGTTTGTGGAATAACCTTCCCTAAAACTCTTTTTTTTTTTGTGGGGGGGAGTTTCCAGAAAATCTTATGGATGATATATTTTTCTGATTGCTTCTTGCTATTTCCCAACTAACTTTAATTGGCTCTTTTTCTTTTCTTCTTGGTAGCTTAATTATATTTCATTGTCAATTGCTTGTCAGTGTTTTCAGCAGCTGTATTTTTCTTTTCTTTTTTAAAGTCCATTTTCCAGGATTCCCTACTATGGTGTTGTTGACTAAAAAGGTAAAGGGACCCCTGACCATTAGGTCCAGTCGTGACCGACTCTGGGGTTGCAGCGCTCATCTCACTTTATTGGCCGAGGGAGCCGGCGTACAGCTTCCGGGTCATGTGGCCAGCATGACTAAGCCACTTCTGGCGAACCAGAGCAGCGCACAGAAACGCTGTTTAACTTCCCGTCGGAGTGGTACCTATTAATCTACTTGCACTTTGATGTGCTTTCGAACTGCTAGGTTGGCAGGAGCAGGGACTGAGCAACGGGAGCTCACCCCGTCGTGGGGATTCGAATCGCTGACCTTCTGATCAGCAAGTCCTAGGCTCTGTGGTTTAACCTACATTGACTATATTGTACCCAATTCCAGATCCCTTGGGTAAGGCAGGGTTCCTCTCAGCCATGCCTACCTCATCGGGCTGTTGGCATTACTTTGTGTATGCAGATCCGAGTTCCTTGGGAGAAGAGTTTTTTGCCCATACGGAGAATGAGCAAATAAACCTCTGCCATATGAAAGGCACCTGCTAGAATCCATTCTAGGCAGATCAGTTCCAAGCCAGGCAAGTGCCGACATGTGTAGGATTTCTTTTCCACCATCCATCATGTGCAGAAGGGCTTTAGTGAAGGGCGTTTGTTATTTTTAAAGCCAGCTTAACTTTAGGGAATAATAATCAGCATTCTGAGGCTGCTTGGGAGTTATGCACCACTGAGCTTGTTTTTGAGCGCGAACGCGCGCACGCACCGGCTGCAAACTAGCCGGCACCTATCTGCACACGCAAAACGTGCAATGCCGGGGATCCTTCCCCGCACCTTTTGCCCTGGACAGAATGCAACCCTTTCTAAGTCTCCCCCGGCGCGCGCATGCAGCGCTTGCCTCTGCATCTCCCGACGAGCCTTTCCTGCCCCGGCAAGGTACTTTGCGATTCCTGCCACTCGCTTTCGCCATGCCCCTCTCCCTCCCTCTGATTCCTAGCGGGCGCCCTTTCAGCAACCCCCCAACCTTTTGCCCAGGCTTTGCTAGTGTGATCCTGCAGCCCTATTAGCAGCGTCACTGGGCTCTGCAGGTTCTCCCACCTTCGCGGTGCGCGCGTTCTATTTCCTTGCGAGCGTAGCCAATCGGCGCGCTGCGGAGGGAGCCCTGCCCTCCCCCTCATTGGCTGGCCGCCTCCCCCTCCCTCTTTCTCTCGCCCTTCTCTCGCTCCTCAGGCGCCCCCCTCCTCGCTCGCCCTGATTTGCATATTCATGAGGCGGGCGGGCGCGAGGGAGGGGCGGAAGCGGAAGCGTTGCGCGGAGACGGTTTCCGAGGAGCCGAGGGTATAAAGCGCCCGCCTGCGCCGCCCGCTTCGGAGCCCGCTGCCGCCTCCGCCGCTGCCCGGTCGCCGTGACAGAGCCAGACGCCCGGCCGACCCGCCCGCGACCCCGACCCCGGACCGTGACCGGACAGGACCCGGCCCCTGCGGAGCAGCCCGGCGCAGCAAGCAGCCCGCCCCTGCGAGGGGGAGCAGCCGGGCCCCGGCAGAGCAGCGCGCTCCGGCAGGAGCAGGTACCCGCCGCGGAGGGGAGGGCCGCGGGCGGGGGGGGGGGGGAGGCGCGCGGTCCACACGACCCTTCTGACCCGCGACCCTGACACGCATCGGCACGTCGGAATGGGGCGCCGGGAGGGGTAGGAGGTGTTCGTGAGGGAGGGAGAGCGGTCCAAACGGCCCTTCTGACCCGCGACCCTGACACGCACCTGCACGTCGGAACGGGCTGCCGGGAGGGGTAGGAGGTGTTCTTGCGGGAGGGATTGCGGAAGAGCGCGGTCCACACGGCCCTTCTGACCCGCGACCCTGACACGCACCTGCACGTCGGAACGGGCCACCAGGAGGGGTAGGAGGTGTTTGTGAGGGAGGGAGAGCGCAGGCACACCATCCATACAGCCCTTCTGACCCGTGACCATAACACGCATCTGTGTGTAGGGGCAGGTGGTTTGGAGTGGGGGGTTTCCCCGAGGCAGGGATGGCAATGGCACGCCATCCACATGACTCTTCCGTCCCGTGTCCCTGACACTCACCTGCACATCCGAACAGACTGCCTGGGGTGGGGTGTTTCCTTGAGATGCACCATCCACACAACGCTTTTGTCCCACGTCCCTGACACACACCTGCACATCGGAGTGGTCCAGCTACAGCAGTCTTCTGTGTTGTTTGCCCCCCATAGCAGTCTTATAAGGTTTTACAGCTTTCCCTGCTGCTGAATGCCCCACCCTGAAACAGGTGGCATTTGGAGGTACAATGCCTCTGCCCCTGGAGGTTTTACTCAGCTGTTGTAGGTAAAATTGCTGAAGAATACCAGAATATCAGGGGTAGAGTGATTCTGAACTTGTGGGTTTTATGCAGAGGTAATCTAAACTCCTGAGAACAAATTTATTCAAGTATGTGCTTGGCTCCATTTTGAAAAAAAAATAAAGCAATCTTTAGGATTTGTTTTCAATGTGTATTCTAGCCTTGCAAGTTGCCTTGTGTTGATGGGGTTAGTGGTTAGTGTGTTGGGTCTGGGAGACTAGGTTCAAATCCCCACTCAGCTGATGTATCTCTGTAACTTTGGGTCAGTCACTACCTTCCCAACCTACCTCACAGGGATGCTGTGAGGATTAAATTGGGGAAAGGGATGCCACCTTGAGCTCTTTGGAGAAAAGGTGGGATATAAATGTAGTTCGAAAATCTTGCCCAGTATTTTGTTCTCGATGTTGGTCTGTCTGGTGGTTGTAGGGAACCCACAAGCAAAGCCTAAGAGCAGCCAGCAGCAAAAAAAAATGTGCTCTTGGAATATGAAAACCAAACAAGTAGGTCCTGGAATCTGGTGTGAAGACACATGAGGCCACCACCTTGGTTGAAGCTAACCAGGTTTGAGTTTAGCTTCAAACTAATCCCCGGGGGCCAGATCCGGCCCAATCACCTTCTAAATCCAGCCCACAGACGGTCTGGGAATCAGCGTGTTTTTACATGAGTAGAATGTGTCCTTTTATTTAAAATGCATCTCTGGGTTATTTGTGGGGCATAGAAATTCGTTTTTTTCCCCCTCCAAAATATAGTCCGGCCCCCCACAAGGTCTGAGGGACAGTGGACCAGCCACCTGCTGAAAAAGCTTGCTGACCCCTGGTTAGTCACTGGATGGGAGACATCCTAAGAACCACATTTATGTCACCTTGGGGAGAAAGTGGCATGTAAACATACGGAATAAAAAGAATGAGTGTGAAGAGTTTTTTGGTGCCTTAATGTGGCTGACAGCTCCATAACCCCGTGTGGATTTACCAATCGTTCCCTGCCACAAACCAGTTAATCTAAACGCTGCCTGATTTGTGGTTTTCTAAAATATATATCTTTCAGACCAGCAGAGCAATTTTGGGAACCAAGCCCACATCAGGGTGGGCTTAGGGATCAGAACTCCTTGAGAAAGAGAGTGGTGGAGGAAGGGACCCAAAAGGAAACACACAAAGGAGTGTCTTAGGGGATTTGCCTTGAAAGAGGATTTCATGGCTCGGGAGGGGGCATTTTTATGGAAAGGTGTGTGTATTTGAGTAGAGGGTGTGTGTGTCTCTGGGTGGGAGTTGGAGGAATGCAGAAGCTGTTGTGTGACTGAGGGATTCTTGTTGTTGGAGGATTGTGCCTTTGGTGAGTTACAGATCCTGTTGTGGCTGTAGAAACCGATACAGGAGGGACATGTTTTGTTGCAGTTGGGGCAGACGAAGGCGTTTGGTTGTGCTGCTTCAGATGCACCACGGCGTTCCTCCTTTCTGCGCTCCTCCCAGCGGTCATTCCTCCTCTGGTCACTGCTGTGGCTGCACAACCTCTCTGTCTCTAGGCACTGAGGTTGTGTGTAAGAGATTCCCACATGTCGGGGTTGATGTCGCTATCCTCCATGTTTGGAGGCATCTTTGTAACGCAGAGTTGGTCTGCCAACACAGGGCAGAGGAAGCCTGGAGTGTGTACATTGACTTGGAAGCGAAAGATACAAGTAGGGGGTTGGACTAGATGACCCTTGGGGTCCTTTCCAGCTCTGCAATTCTTTGAACAGCAGATTCAAGAGAGGGGCCCTAGCAAATGGGCTTCAGAAGAAGAAAGGCTGGAGTGTTGTTGGAGAGGAGGATAAGGCAGAAGGGGGGCAGGTGCGTTTGAGAGGCAGGGTTTGGGGACAAGGGGGAGAATTGGGTTTGGTGGGTGATGCAAGAAGACAGCCTGTGGAAAAGAGGGAAGACACATTTTTTGAACTATTCTTGAGATGTTCTTCAAGAGAGTTCCAAAAGGTGAGCAGAAAATCCCAGCGGTTGAGTGAGAAATAACTGCAGAAGCAAATAGTTTGTTGGTTGATGGGAGGAAATAAGTGGGGGTGGGTGGAGATCATAAGGCTGTCCGATAAGGTAAGGTAAGAGAAGAGAAGAGAAGAGATCACATGTTGGGATCTGTGTGTGGCTCATGCAAGGGGTGAGAAAACCGACCCTAGAAAAATCAGGTGCTGAAGGGGCTGTAAGAGAACTTGAGAGAGAGAAGAGATTCTTATCTCTGCAAGGTTGAGGAGGCAGGATGGGTTAAGTGTGGGCAAAGGTCTTGGGGTTTGAGGCAAGGAGTTTCTTTCTAAAGCAGGATGTGCAACGGGGAGAAAAGGGAAGAAGCAAGAAGCAAATAAATGTGTCGATCCTGGAAAAGAGAGTGAAATGAGGGAGGAACTTTGCTCCTTGTAGTGCTTGAGTCGGCAACTATCAGAACAGACTTCTAGGGCAGAATACAGGGTGGGAAAGAATCACAGAGAAGGTTGCAGTGACTTGTGGCAAAGGGGGAAGGGTTTGGGGTGCAAGAACAAGAGGGGTGCGGAAAGCCAGAGAAGTGGAAGGGGAGAAAAGTGTTGCAGGTAAAGAACTGCTGGTGTGTGGAGTGTCCTGTAGGTGACCAAACAGGGTGATTATAGGAGGAGGTAGCAAAGCATGAGAGAGGGATTTTTTGCCATCCTGAGAGGCATCTGTGTCCAGGGCGGCTGTTTACCAGCTCCACCTGGTACGCAGGCTGAGACCCTACCTGCCCGCAGACTGTCTCGCCAGAGTGGTGCATGCTCTAGTTATCTCCCGCTTGGACTACAGCAATGCGCTCTACGTGGGGCTACCTTTGAAGGTGACCCAGAGACTGCTATTAATCCAGAATGCGGCAGCTAGACTGGTGACTGGCAGCCGGGACCACATAACACCGGTGTTGAAAGACCTACATTGGCTCCCAGTACGTTTCCGAGCACAATTCAAAGTGTTGATGTTGACCTTTAAAGTCCTAAATGGCCTTGGTCCTGTATACCTGAAGGAGCATCTCCACCCCCATTGTTCAGCCCGGACACTGAGGTCCAGCTCCGAGGGCCTTCTGGTGGTTCCCTCATTGGCGTTCTTGGTAGTGGTACCCACCCTGTGGAACACCCTTCAGATGTGAAGGAAATAAGCAGCTATCCTATCTTTAAAAGACATCTGAAGGCAGCCCTGTTTAGGGAAGTTTTTAATATTTAATGCTGCATTGTTTTTAACACTCGATTGGGAGCCGCCCAGAGTGGCTGGGGAAACTCAGCCAGATGGGCGGGGTATAAATAATAAATTATTATTATAATATTTATTATTATGATTATTATTATATCTACTGGGGGAGACTTGGAGGGCAGCTTTTGGTATGCATTAGCATTATGTGGAGATATGGCTTGTGGGTCATTAAATCATAGAATTGTAGAGTTGGAAGGGACCACGAGGGTCATCTAGTTCAACCCCCTGCAATGCAAGAATACTTTGCCCGATGTGGGGCTCAAACCCACAACCCTGAGATTAAGAGTCTCATGCTTTACCAACTGAGCTGTTCCAGATGTAGCCTAATGGGTCAGCCCCACTGTAGCTGTTGCACCCAGAATAGGTATTGGGTTTTCCCTTTCAGTGTTGGGGACCTTCCCTGCGTGACAAAATTTTGTTGGGGTTGGGCAGGTCTGGTAGGAGGGAGCAGAAGCTTAAACTGGGTGTCATCTATAAACCCAGCAATCAATCCTGTTTTGTGTCACTTTGCCTGTAATGCAAATGTTCAATTCATTTTGCTGATCAGGTAAAGTGCTTCAGTTTGCATATTTGTGGTTTGACCCCAACGGGGGTGAAATTCTTTGCCCCCGTATTATAAATATGCAGCAGTAGCCTGTGTAAAGTTATGTTACAGATGCAAACACAGTTAACTGCATAGGACTTCTGAAAGCAGGCATTCCAGACCTAAAAATACAAAAGTAATTTTTGTGTGTGTGTCAAAGATCTCTCAGATATTGTTTGGAATGTTGTACCCGAAGCCACATGAAATATATTGAGTTATTTAGGCATGGCTGAAGTGTATTTAAAGAGAAATTTCTTCTCAGTGTTGGGGGGGGGGGAAGGCATGGTTGACCTTGAGGCTGCTCCTGGAAAAATGCAATTTGTTTTCTTGATAACTATCTCCACAGTCCATAACGCTTTAACTGCATGTTATCCTTACATCAGATCCTTCTTTCGTTGGTGTTGTCAGTGATTCCAGCTTTAGAGGAACTAAAAGGAGTGAATCTGGTGGTGCACGTGGATTGAGAGGCTGATTAGCTAGCTTGCCTGTTAAAAGGAGGATCTGCAAAGAAGCTCAGCAGCAATGCTTGGCTCTTGTGCGTACTGTGTTGACTGATACCCAAACTGAGGGTTTGGTCTACAAAGGTATGTGGATGCCCACCTGCAAACTGTCCGTTACCTAGAGTTGTAGTGCTAATGGTATTATCCCTTTGCTGCCATTTAACTTCTGAAAATGTATACATTTAAAATGGCTTGCACGGCACTCTGCTCTGGCATAATTATCTGTCTGATTATGATCTGTATCGCATTGCACTGCCTGGCTTAAGCACTGCTGGTAACATTTGCTGAAAATCAGCCGCATCTTCTGCTGCTTGCTTTCGGCACAAGTGGGCGGATATTGGCTTGGCTTCGAAACAGAAGGGTGAGTGTATCTCTAAACAGTCTGATAACTGGGAGGCGGGGGAGATTTGTAAGCTGTCATACTTGCTACACAGCATTCGGTTAGTGTGTTTATATGTGCACTCTGCTCTGCCCGGTACATATTATTCTGCCCACAGTTGCTTCATAGACCAAGATAGCCTTGCTGGTGAGAACTGTAGCAAAATCGCAAGCCTTTGGTCTAAGAGTCCGTGCTTTTTCGTGTGAGGCTGCACAATTGGGGCACTATGCCTTTAAATGAATAGCTCATTTGTAATGAACACTTCAGAACCAATCTTCCTTCAGGAACGGGCTCGGAACTCCAAAGGGAAAATTGTACAGTTTATGGTTTCTGAGCAATCTTGTTCTTTACAACAAAGAGTGAAGTATCTTGAGCTTCATTTATGCTATTCAGGGCTACTTTTTACTGGGGCCGCTGCCAAAAAGATGACAAACGCTGATGCCGAAATGCAGGCACTTAAAGGTAGCAGCAGCAGCAGCTGTTGTCTTGGAAATAAACATTAGGCTGGGGCTTTCAGGAGCACAGTTTTCATCTAGTGGGCATTGGTTGTTTTTCTCAAGCAGTCGTTCCAGGGACATGGCTTGAGAGAGGCTCCGGCAGTCGGGAAAAAGGCTGATAAGTCAGGCAGGGATGCAAATACATAGATGCTTTGGTTTACACGTTCAGAAAAATGAGACAGAATTCTGAGATGATAGAATACATGGTACGATTTGAGATTGCCCAGGGATGAGGGATCGGTTTTGAATGCTGCAGCACATTAACAGAATATAAAAATCGGGGAGCAACTGGGGATAATTTCTCTGTTATCTGCAAGCTAGTTTTCTACTGAAGGGAGCTTTTATGTGCAGTAATGCTTAGAAATGGGGTTTGCATGCACACCCCCGCACTTGCATCCTGAAGTGGTACATTCCAACTCACAAATTTACCATCTCATTCTGCTGCAAGTCACTGGTCTCTCTAGCCCCCTTTTAACAGCTGTCTGTCGGCATCTCTCTTCAATCTTGGGCTGGGGTCTTTTCCCCCACTTTGCTCCCTGAGATTCTTTCACTGGGGATGTTAGTGACTGAATCTGAAATCTTATGCAATGCAGGGCGTTAGTTCTGCCGTGACGGGCACACTCCAAATATTGCATTTGCACTCGACATTTCTTTCAGAGAGTTCATCTGGCATTGTGGCTTAATATAATATTGCCCCAGCTGTACAACTCCCTTCTTGCAAACTCAGGGGAAGGTTACATCATAGTTTTTCAGCTGTTGCTTACACACTGAAGGAGCCTGAAACCTGGCATAAACCTAGCTTATATAGACTGCTGCTGTTGTGCATGCTTCACAATTCAGACTACTTATTCAAGCAGAAGAGGCAGCAGGAACGAATAATCCTGTGTTTCTGCAAGTGTTTTTACTTGGCTTTGTTCACCACGTGGCTCTTTCACCGTGTTGTTTGCTCTCTGATTTGAGTGCATTGTGTTAGGATTTATTCATACGTCAGGCTTCAAGAAGATTGCGGAGGTTTAGCACTTTTTTCTGTTTTTAGCTGATTTATTACGGAGCCTGCATTTTTATATAATTTCAGAGGGTAACTTAACGCAGCTCGGCCCTTTACATGGTAGTTCTGGGACTGTTCCTTAAAAATGCAGATTTCACCAACTCCCCGAGACAAATCGTTCTACGGGTGAATTACGGTACTTTCTCTCCTTGCCTAATTAGCTTTGGCTTTAGAACATAAAATGGTGCAAAGCCAGAGTGGCGAGTATTCATAGTTTGAACCATCCCGTGTGAAGGGAGCAAGGTGAGGAGTTTATAGCAGCTTCTAGAGTTCATGTTCACTTTCCAAGGATTTGGGGCTATGATTACCAGCGAAGAGTACTTAAAGATCTCTTTATGGAGACTACTTTAACGTAAGCTCTGCTAGGAATTTTGCAAATGCCAGGATAAAAGCTTAAGTTGTTAAAGCCCAATGTAGTTGGAGAAGCTGGCACTATTTATACCTCATATGTGCTCGGCCTCCCTTTTAAATTAAGCAGTTCCCCTTTTGCATATTAAGATACTCAGATGCTTAGCCAAGCTCCCTTTCGTGGCCCTTTTTTCATCAGACCTGTCTTGCAGAGTGATCCTTCTTGACTTCTTACACCCTGCATTCCATCCACTTGGCTGGCTGAAGGACTGAAGTTCACCCCAAGGTCTGGGGCCATTGCCAAGGTCTTGGAAAAAAGATGTTTGTTTATCCTAGGAGAAGATGTCATTGGCTTGGCAGCTCACAGGCATCGCCCTGCCAAGCTTGATTGTGGACTTTGATTGACTGCATAACATGGCCTTTTTTGTGCTTTTACTGGCCCCGTGCTTGGCTTTTAAACTTGCAGATGGAAACAGGGGGAAAAGCATCTCATGTAGCTAATCTTCATTTGCCATAAACTTAGCCAGCTTCTGATGTGTGGCATTGTGTGAATGATCTACTAGATGGTGATCACATTGGTGTACTTGACCAGTCTTGTTTCTTCTACTCGGCATAACTGTAACTCTAATGCAAGAGTTTGAATCGTGTCCATGCTTGACACTACCAGTTGTCAGCATGGGGAAGAGCCATAGCTTATGCTCTGCATGCAAAAGGTCCCAAGTTCACTCCCTGGTGCCTCCATGTAGGGCTGGACTCCTGCCTGAAACTCTGGAGGGCTGCTGCCAGTCCATGTTGACAATATTAATCTATATGGACCAGTGATCTGACTTGGTATAAAGCAGGGTTTTTGTTTTGTTTCTTCTCTGCATACCCAGTGGGTGTGATCCTGTGTTGCACCAGCAGGTGTCTGCTTCCGCAAAGGGACTTCTTCAAAACCTACACCCCTCTTTGGCCTCCTAGTTCTGCTCCAAAGGCTAGCAGAACTTTTGGAGCACGGAGACTGGAGGGGGAAGAAGAGGGACCGAAAGCCCCATTGCATATGTGGGTTTCCGTTTCACAAGCAAATAGTCATAACCGGTTATTACCTATTATTTTTATTTCTCACTTGGGCTGGATCTACAATGATCTATAAAAACGCTGTTAAAGGCCATGAAAAAAGTTATATATCTCTCAATGCAATTTCCCATTGCTGACAGGTCACTACTCTGCAGCGCCCTCTGGTGTCACATTTTTATAACGTATTTTTGACATTATAGCCGACCAGTGTAGACCCGCCCTTCGTCAACCATTGTTCCCTCCTGTATTTCAGATTTAATGTCTCCCCTCCATCTGCTTCATGTAGGCCTTCATTTGTATAATATCCTGGCTCAACAATCCAGGTGCCTTGTCCAAGATGCCACAATACTTGCATTTGCTGCTACAGACTGCTGTGGCTACAGTTCTTTAAAGTACAGTGAGTTAAGTTATACTGAAACTAGCTTTTAACTTTGACAGCTCACAAAACACTAATTTTGCATGCAAGTATGGTTAGAATCTCTGACATGCTGTAATCAAGCCTTGATCTTGGACAAGTGTTATTTATATGGTGCATATATAAAATACCTGGTTTTAACCAACACTTTGTGTTTAGATATGCTATATCAGGCACACACTAAAAAGCTAACATTTGAAGAAGCCCTTAGAAGTGCAGTGTTCAATAATTTTAAAATACATTTTAATGACTTTAAAAATAATTCAGTGTATGTATGTATTTCTTTTTTACATATAAGTTGCTATTTTAAAAAAAAACCACACAACCAAATGTGGTATTTCACTATAACAATTGTAAACGGTTAACAATTACAATTTTTAATCTACGGTATTTTATATGAATGCATTCCAAAGTTCATTATACTTGTTCATGCAAAGTCTGTCTATAAGCAATCCACTAGTCAGGTCTTCAACACATTGAATAAACAGAGTTGTATATTTATCTTTCCAATGCAGCAATACCAGTCTTTTGGCCAGATTAAGGGTACAGAGAATCCATTGTCCATTTCTCAAAATCCATGTAGTAGGTGCATGGTTCAAAAGAATATTGTTGTATGAAAAATTTAGCCTTTTTCACACAGTTATACTTACATTAACCCATTATTTTCTCCCAAAACTTAGTAAGTGTAAGGCATTGTTAGAAACATGTGTTTTAAAGAAGCATTATGCTTATTACATCTCCAACAAAATGCTGTTTTAGACAGTTCTTTTCTATGTAAACATAGTGTCCAATAAATTCTAAATATTATTTTCTGTTGTATAACTCAGGTCCACTGACAGCCTTGCTATAGAAGTTAAAACACTACCATTGTCCAGGCAACATAGGAACCTCCAATTCTTTATTCCATTCATTTCTTAACATCTGCATCTCAAATTGATTTATTGATAACAAATATAAACAAAAGGTGATCACTTTGTTAAAAAAGGTATTTAGCCACTTCTAGTATCTCAAGCATCTCAGAAACTGAAATAGGATGTTGTTAATAGAATGTTGTAGCTGCAAATATTGCCATTGGGTTACATCCAATAGCTGATATTTATCTCTTAATGCCACGTATGTTAAAAATCCATCTTTCGATTTAACAATAATTTCATGTATGTCTGCATATATGAATTGGGAAGTATTCCAAATTTCTTAGGTGCATGTTAAGCACCTTCCAGCCACCCGCAATTTCTTATGGTTTGGCAGGACTTGCCCTTGTTCTGGGTCTAAATTCAGGCAAATCAATAGACGAAAGGGGTCACAGGGAGGCTTCATTGATCTGTGATGTATTTTGAAGTGCACAAGGGAAGGCTCAAAGGGGAAGCAAATACGTAGAAAAAGTTTAGAGTTCTTCTCTTGCATGCATGTTCGCTTTGAATGCATAGGGCATCCATGAGAACTGTCGTCAAAGCATTTCATCCTTTGCTTGCAGTCCCTCCCAGCAGAAGCCCTGCATAAATCTGATGTCGATCGCTTGGCTGTTCCCTGAAAGCTGCTTCCATTAACATTATGATGTCATGGAACTTTAGAATCCTAATGTTTTCTGTTACGGGAGTCATCAGAAGCTAAAAGCATCCCTGCTCGAACTTCAGGCAGGCCATCGTTGGTAGGGCTCTTTGAGATGAGGATGGTAATGGTTCTGGCAAGTACAGTTCCATTCTGCTAGTTCGTTAACCTGACTCTTGGTTGCACTATAGAGATGGGCTGTTGTGGACTGCATGTTGGAAGGAAGCAGAGCTTCCCTGCCACAATAAGCTAACCTGCTGCAAGGTTCTGGTCACTGAAACTTTTCAAGCCAGGGGACAATTTGCCCAGTCCTGCCCTGTTTCAGTTCAATCACAGCTGCAGTGTGTAGCCTCATCTTTTGGAAGCTGTCAGATGTATTTTGCAAGCTAGGCTGATTAGATTGGAGCTGGCCTAATTGCATTCCCCTTGGATCACTTGTCTCCTTGCATATACTCCTGCCCACATCATATGCTACAAGGCTTCACATATTTGAAATTCCATCTTGCTTCTTCAAGAAAATCCAGGGAGTAAACAAGATGTTACATTCAGTCATGGCCAGGCAGCCAGGATCACCGTTCCAGAAAACGTTCCGATGACAACACCCCACATCCCCTGAAACATAGATTAGTGCTATGCAGGCAGCAGTGTTAAAAACTCAGATATATTAAGCCCAATAGCTCCTTAAATCAAGGTTTCAGTCGCCAAAATGGAATGTCTTGTTGACATTTTGGGGCAAGACGTGTTATTTTTTAAAATGATGGACTAACTGAGATTGATTCTCAGTTAAACTTCTGGCTAGTTCGGATGACAACCTTGAGCTAACCTTAAGAGCTTTGAGAACTGAAAGAAGGAAAGTCACTTGATCCAGGGACAGTTCACACATATGCCTATGCTAACCTGTTTTTTGTTAATGGTGACTGCTCCTGCTCAGGCTACTCAGAAAACGCATTTTGGTTCCAGAAATCCATTCCGAAGGTGCAGATAAAATGGAAGTGAGAGAATTCTACAGAATGTGGTTGGTACTGGTGTAACTATCTCTCTGTGGAAGGCTAGCTTGTGTGAGAGAGATTTTAATCTAGCTCTTCCCTTTGGTATACTAGTCTTCTGCATGCGGGGAGATGCTTTTCTAGGTGGAAGAAAAATCACAGCATGCTGTTTCCCCACCCATAGGCTGAAACGTCAGAGGAGGGCTTTACCGTATGTTTTTGTTGAGCATGTAGGCTGGAAAACAAAACACCTCAATTTCCCATAATATACCGGTAGGTCTCAGATTTGGGGAGGAAACCTTGTAAAAGCGATGATGATTAGCTTTTCACGTACTGATGCTAATTAAAACCTTAATGTCAACAGTGTGCTTGGCACTGCTCAGAACTTGAGTGGTGGGGCCTCTGCCAAGAGGAATTGTGGTGTACAATCAGGCAAGCTACCTTGTTCCATAATTTGCACTAATTCTAATCTTAGATCATACTCTTTGGAGACGATCGGGCTCTCTGGTGATTAAAACTTCTAGTCAACAAGCCTCAGCGGTTAAACCCTTGAACAGAATCCAGCATCTCTGGATGCTGTGAAGCCAGCATTTGCTTTTGGGGGGGAACCCGAGCGATCTCTGTTGAAATTGAACTGCACTTATCCTCAGGTTATGGCTTCCGGATTTAGTTGCAATTTAAATCCTCGCATGGTTATGTCATTGTAGTTGCTTGCTTTGTAATTAGCATGTGATAATGACTTACCTGGAGGCTTATAAACTTACATACTATTATGTATGCTTAAAGGCCTGCAGACCAAAAAAAAAAGTGTTTAATTATTCCAAATTGGAACTTGAGCCTTCCTTACACCTTCAAGCGCTAGTTATGTACATTTCTCCCCAGGTTGCCTTCCCCGCTCAGGCTGCTTCCTCTGGCCTGATCTTTTGCCCTAACTACTGTGTAATGTTCTCTGTTCCAAATATAATTTTCCTGGGCTTCCTGCTGTCTTCTACGCTCCTTGACTTGCCCCTCTGTGGTCAGAGTACTGTTACTCCCTCGGACGTGAAGGTAACTTGGCCAATCATCATTGATAGATGCCTCACTCTCATTGCCGGAGTAGATTTAAGGCATCTTTGTATTTAAACACTTAGCTGGTAGTCCTAGGTGACATGGAAGTCCATGCGGTTGGGTATAGCTGGAGAAGGGCCTTCATTGCACCCAGGAGCAAGCAGCGTGCAATTGTTAATAATAATAATAATAATAATAATAATAATAATAGTGCTCCAACTTGACCTTTGGGGAGTTTTCTGAGTAAGAGCAGCTCATGCCCTGAAGATTGCCAGCTGACACTGTCAGCAAATGGATATTAAGCGTTCCATTACTGACAGCTAAAAGCATGTTAGAGATCTATGCTCTGGGCTGGTTCTCAAGGTTTAAAAATGTGATATGGGGGAGGAAGACCAATATAATAAGGTTGGTGTAGAAGTAATGTTTTAAAACTCCAAATGCAGGATGTTCAATTCCCTAGCTACATAGACAATGTGAGGAAGAAAAGACACACAGTTTGAAGCCTCAAAGTGCTTGCGCTAGCCAGAGGCTTCTAAACGTAAATTTGGCTTGCACATTACAGATATTGGGATCCACAAATTTGTTTCGTCGTGGAAGGTGTCCTTCCCTGTGTGGTGAACCTGATGAGTCCCTTGCTCCCTGCCTCAAATCTAGGATCCTCAGAACCTCATCTCACACTGCACTTTGGGATAGTAGCTGCAAATGTGCCTCCAAAGTTCAGTGTGAACTCCAAGAAGGACCACCCCCCTTTCCCTGAGTCCTGGTATCCAGATCATCCTTTGCATAGTTTGGTTCATACCGTTTGATGGCAACCTCCATGTACTCATGGTTGTAGCATTAAAATATTAAAAGTTTCTTTGACGTGGTGATCAATATCAAGTTGTACTGATCTTTCAGTAGGGGTGAGAAGTGGAGCTTTTCGCTGGAGTCTCCGTTAACTTGTCTGCCTTTGTTTAAAGGGGAACAGTAATGTTTTTGTAGCTGAATATGACACTTGTGTTTTGCTGACCCTGCATATTTTCCCTCTTCAGCTGGCGAGCCTTCTGTTGCACGCACTGCTGGCTCATTAAACGAAAAACAAAAAAGCCCAGTGACTTCAAAACAAGTCCATTATCAAGTGCCAAATAACTGGAAGGGAGGGGCAAATTTAAAGACAAACCTCAAGAAGATAGTCTGTGCACTTAATTTCTCCCATTCTTGCCTTTGGTTTTATCTGATCGCTCTGCCCTGGCCAACTTCCAGTATGCTGTGGTTCAGTCAGTCAATGCCGTGTTCCAGAACTGTGAAGCTGACCACCCTGGCAGTTAATTTCCTGAAAACTCTGATCTTTTTTGCAGTAGTGTGTTTTCCACACAGAACCTGCATTCACTGCTGTAGAAAATGCTCCTCTGATACCCAATAGGAATTTGACATTAAATGTTGATGAGGCAGGAGCTGGGAGCAGATGCGTAAAATAAATTCCAGTGCTTCTCATGTGTACAGTGGTACCTCTGGTTACGTACTTAATTTGTTCCAGAGGTCCGTTCTTTTTTTTCCTTTTTTCTTTTTTAAATGCTAAGTATTTTTTATTTTGTTGCTGGTCTATTTTAAAGCTTGCTTCATTTCAGAGCTGGTTTTTTTTTTAATGATATTTATTGAAAAATTTTTTGAATTACAGAGAAAAAACAAAGCAGAAAAAGAAAAAACAAAAAACAAAAAAACAAACCACATCAAACAATACAAATTCAAAAAACAAAAATACACCACAAACAGACAAAAATAAATCCATCATTCTTGAATCCTCAACTCTCATTACCTTTTTTCTTTGACCTCCTCCTCCTCCCTTTTTTTGTATCCTAGTTAATAATTATCGCAGCAAATCCTTTCCATATTCTGTCATTACATTACCTTAATCTATTTTCATCTTATCTTATAGAAAACCTTAAAACTTAAAACTTAAATTTTATTTTTACCGACTTCTCACAACCATAATATTCTTACCTAATTCTTTAAACATTTTTGCTAGAGCCAAGTAATTTCGTTCCAACATTTTTCTAACATTCATCAATTTTATAAAACAATCCTGGTAATAAAAAAAAAGAAATAAAAACAATCCAATCTTCATCCAGCGTCGCTTCCTCCTGGTCCCGGGTTTTGTCAGTCCTTTTTATCCCATCGATCTAGCGCATTAACCTGGTAACCTTATATCCGAGGCCCTTAAGTCTCTTCCATGTCCCTTCCGCAGCTCTTCTTCATATTCTCCTTTCACTCGTGGGAACTCCAGCTTGGTGATGTTTTTGACCCTTTTCAACAAATCAGCCCCTTTTCCATAGTCCAAACTCAACTCCATGTGGTATTTAAAAACATGTTTCAGAAACCCTCCAAAATTGAGAGCCCCCACAGCCCCAAACATCTCACGGCCCATTGCCAGACTCGGAAAGTCCAAACATCCCTGCATAGGGGGGGTCTATCCAACCCCCCGTTTCCAAACCAATCCAAACTTTATCTTTCCAAATCTGGCTTTTTCCAAGTTCATTTGTCAAATCCAAAAGCTCATGTTCCTGCAAGGCCGCAGCTCCCTCCATCTCTGGCGCCCAAGATTCAGCAACATCCTCTTCTCTCATCTGCTCTGTCAGGACACACTCCTGATCTAATTCCTGGGTGGGCTCCACATAGTTTCCCACTGCCTGTTCAAAAGTTCTGACCGCATTAGTCATCAAATCGGTCTTCTCATTTAACTGTTCCAGTAGGGCACTTGTTTTACAGAGAGCACACAACAGAGCCTCTGAATACATTGTCCTACAAGGTCACAAGTCCATTCCCACGATTGTAATCTGTGACAGCTGCAAGCTCCCTGGAATTAGTTACAGTTTCACAGTCTCCCTCTAGGGGGAGAACTTCTATTTGTTCTTGCAACAAAGTATCCTTTTTGAGATATTTTGTCAATATTTGTTCCTTTAAAATGCGAAAGGAAACAATGGAATCACTATGTTTCTCTTCTTTTAACTATCTGTCAAAAACGTTTGTCTCTGGTCAATGAGCTTCAAACTTCAGTCCTGACACCCCGCTCCAGGATCAGGACGGTGGAAAGTTACTTTACTTTAAACTCACTTCTGCAGGTTTAAACAGTCGAAAAAAAATCCCCCTTCTTCTCCTGCTGCCGAAGGGGGGTTCAACAATTTTAAATGATGAAAGCCAATCCTTTAGAAGCGATTTTCTGAGCTCTAGTTTACGTTGTCTTTGCTTTATTCTGTCTACAAAGAAACGGAAGGCTGACTTCCTGTTTAGACCTTCCTGTTTCAGTACCAAATTAAAGTAAATTTTTAAGTCCAATTCCTTTCTGCTCGCAAGTCCTTATTTAAAGTCCAATTGTCCAAAATTTAAGTACTCACGGGTGATTATTTTAGAAGCTAAATTGTCCCAGGAAAAAGGCAGCGCTCTTCGGCAACGGCTATGCGGCTTCACTCCACGGAAATAGCAGTTGACTCACAGCACCGCGCCACTTCCCCCTCTTCACTTCGGAGCCCGTTAGTGGGTTCCTTTGCGGGTTGGGGTGGCGCTAAGGGTGCCTGCCGAGTCCCATGGTCACAGGCTTCATCCGCCTGTGATTTTTAACAGGGTCCTCGCTTCGCCGTAGCAGAAAAGACCCGTTTCACGCAGAGCTAGTCCCTCCAGTTCAGAGGGAGTCCGCCATTGCCGATGGCGCCACCCCGGAAGTCCCCAGCGGTCCGTTCTTAACCTGAAACTGTTCTTAACCTGAAGCACCACTTTAGCTAATGGGGCCTCTTGCTGCCGCCACGCCACCGGAGCACGATTTCTTTTCTCATCCTGAGGTAAAGTTCTTAACCCAAGGTACTATTTCTGGGTTAGCGGAGTCTGTAACTTGAAGCGTGTGTAACCCGAGGTACCACTGTACTTGCTTTGCATTAGCATCGTCTATTTTTTGTTGTGACACATGCATCAAGTTAAGAAAAGACAAGTGGCACAGCGTCTAACTTCAAAGCTGTCGCTGGCCGCAGTGCTCTGTGAATAAGGATGGGGCATCTTTTACCCCCACCTCCATATAGTGCAAGCCCTATATGGCTGGCATTGGCCCAAGCTGTTTGTAATTCTGGGCACGTCCATCAAGGCAGTGTTGGGACTTGGACCTCTTTGAGCCCAGGAGCCCCACAGACCTGGGAACAGTCTGAGCTGTGTCCAGGGGATGTGAGAGCCTCTGTATTCATTGCTTGCCCTTGTTTCCGCCCTCTTCTGATAGAGAGTGGGAGATGGCAAAAGTAACTCTGTGAATCTTGATGTAGCGGAACGTCAACACCAACTGTCTTAGAGAAGTGGAAGCTGACATTCTCTCTCTCTTTTTTTTAAAAAATAATATTTATTAAAGTTTCAAAAGAAGAAAAATCACATTAATAAAAAGATTAACAATAAAAAGGAAAAATACAAAGTAGAAAAAAGAAAAAACAGTTAAAAACAATTCCATCTTTTCATCACTTCTTTTACGTTTACTTGTTTCCCAGACCTCCTCATACCTCCCTCTTTTGTATTCCAATTCAATTTGTTAATCCAGCAATTCCTTTCCCTCCTTTTTAAATCTGTTCTTTAATCTTGATATATTATAACATTAAATCTTTACATATTAAAAACCAATTTTTCCATATTATTTTGTACCTGTACAGCTAGAAACCACTTAACTTCAATCCAACATCATTCTAACATTCATTAATTTTACAATATTTCTGTAAATAGTCGTGGAAGCTGACATTCTCATTGACCCCGGTAGCAGCAGTGGCCTTCATGCCATCAGAAACCTTCTCTAGCAAGTGCTCCTTCCCTGTGTCTTTACAGTGTAAAGAAATGTGATGATTGATTGATTGATTGCCATACTCACTTTTCAGGAAGGCATGATATATTTTCTCTGTTGGCTTACGTTTACTAGTAAAGGGATAGCTGTGTGTGTCTTGAATGCTGGCTGCGGTGGTCCCAGATGGATGACTCAGAAGTCTATGTGTTGTTGCTCTTTGCCAGGTCTGTAGACAAACAGCCTCTTTTTTGTGATTTAACATCCTAGTTGTTCAGGCAATTTCTACTTAAGCACCAGCTTTGTGATAGCTACACCTCTATTCTGGAGGAGGCACATGTCTCCCTTAGAAGAAAGTGGGTCCTGGAAGAGGCAGCCACACTTGGTTCTCTCCTGCCCCCCACCTCTGCGTGAAAGAAAACAGTGGGGATATAGAATGACGCTGGAGTCCCTGTTCTCTGACTTTCTTTTATCCTCTGATTTGGGCAGATCTTAGAGCTTGTGACTTATAGCTGGAAAGCTCAATGATCACCATGCTAATTTTTATGTCGGCAAATGAAACTGGAGACAGCTGCTTTGTGCGCATAATTTGATGCGCATAAGGAGCTCTAGTTATCCTGGAGTCCTCTTAGGGCCATGGCGTAATGGGTGAGGACACAGCAGAGGGGCTCAGCCCCCTGCTTCTTGCAGGACAAGGCTACAGAAATCGTATTCCTAAAGTGCCTCCAGACTTAGGGCTGTTCAGTATCAGGACAGATTTGCCTGTCTGCCTGCAGACTTGCAACTTATAATGATCAGGGTGGCAGTGAGGACACAGGAGGAGGAGGAATATTCTATTTAAAAAAAAGGTGTGGGGGTGATTTAGGGTGGTGGGTTTGACCCATGAACCCTGTGCATGTAGACAGCTGAAAAGCAGATGTACCTGTTTTTAAGATTATCAATATTTAGTTAAGAACCTGCTGGATGAGGGCAAAGGGCTATTCGCATCTTGTGACCAGTGAGCATTAACCAGAGTGCCTTATTTAAGTGTGTTCATTGTATTTAAACAAGCAAGTATGCACAAGTGCTCAGTATCTAAGGCACTCCTTTCCTGGAAAGTTCATTAAAACTTCCAAAGACAGTGTGAGGCCATCTGGTTAAACGGAGACTAAACAAATGGGTGTAAATTTTGTAAAATAGATTTCCATCCCCTGCCTGTTTTAACTGCTGCACATCCTTACTTTTCTGGATTCAAAACACAGACTTAAATTGTTTCCTATTATTTCTTGGCCATGGTATTTAAGCTGTTAGTTTAAAACTAGTGTTAAATTTGGTCTGCTGGTCTAAATAATATTTCTGAGCTGTGTGTTTCCCCCCGCAAGTGGTCTGGGTTACTTCTCTAACACCTTAGAATGCTGTCCTACTCGAGGGTAGTCATATTTAATTCACAGAGCAGAAACATTGTATAACAGGGATTGGCCCAAATTATTCGTAGCAAGAGCCATGCAGAAATACGTTGTAAATTGTTGTTGGCATTCGTTTATCTTGAGAGGCAATGGAGTGCGCCTCCAGGGGTGAAATCAAACTGCAGGAGAATCACAGTGCCTGCTGTAGCTGCAGAGACCAGTAACGTGTGATGTCAAATAGCTTGCAAACCTCTTTTGGAAGCACTGATGTCAGGCTTCTGAGGCTGAGCTGTTGATCTGAACTTGGTGTTTCAACGCGGTTGCTTCATTTTCACTTCTGTTTGTAAAAAAAAAGAAAGAAAACAGAAAACAAAACACAGCTTAAGCAAGTTTTGCTTCCTGACTGACTCGCCACACCGCAAAGCTAACATGTATCTTGGAAATACATGTTTAAAATGCTACAGAATGCATTCTTAATCTGCCTGAATGAGTCATTTCTCTACTGATAACTTGATAACTTGAAACGTTATTTATATAAACAGATGAATTGTGCTCTGAGTCTCCAACCCTTTCATTCAGAAGTTAGTCAGTTGGTTTCTTAGTTTGTTAGTTTGTTTAACATTTACCTATACTCTTCCTTTTCCCCTGACTGGGACTTTTGTCAACAGATCAATTGTTTTTGACCTGGGCTTGTAAATATTCCTCCTATCCATGTGAAGGGACGCGGGTGGCGCTGTAGGTAAAAACTTCAGCGCCTAGGACTTGCCGATCGCATGGTTGGCGGTTCGAATCCCCGTGGCGGGGTGCGCTCCCGTCGTTCGGTCCCAGCGCCTGCCAACCTAGCAGTTCGAAAGCACCCCCGGGTGCAAGTAGATACCGTATTTTTCGCTCCATAGGACGCACTTTTTCCCCTCCAAAAATGAAGGGGAAATGTGTGTGCGTCCTATGGAGCGAATGCAGGCTTCGCTGAAGCCTGAGAGCGAGAGGCATCGGTGCGCACCGACGCCTCTCGCTCTCCAGGCTTCAGGAAACTATCCGCAAGCCTTGCAAGCCCGGTGGGAGTTCCCACGGGCTCACAAGGCTTGCAGGCAGCAGCCTGCAGCCCCGGCGAGTGTCCGCAAGCCTTGCGCGCCCGGCAGGAGGTCCCGCCGAGCGCGCGAGGCTTGGGGCAGCAGCCTGTCGCCCGAAGCACGGGGAGCCCTCCGGAGGGCTCCCCGTGCTTCAGGGGAGTGTCTGCAAGCCTTGCGCGCCCGGCAGGAGGTCCCGCCGAGCGCGCGAGGCTTCGGGCGAGTGTCTGCAAGCCTTGCGCGCCCGGCAGGAGGTCCCGCCGAGCGCGCGAGGCTTCGGGCGAGTGTCTGCAAGCCTTGCGCGCCCGGCAGGAGGTCCCGCCGAGCGCGGGAGGCTTCGGGCGGCAGCCCGGGGCCCGAAGCACGGCGAGGCCGCCGGAGGGCTCCCCGTGCTTCGGGCGGATGTCTGCAGGCCTGGTGCGCCCGGCAGGAGGTCCCGGCGGGCGGGCAAGGCTGGCGGGCGGCAGCCTGTCGCCCGAGCACGGGGAGCCCTCCGGAGGGCTCCCGTGCTTCGGGCGAGTGTCTGCAGCCTTGCGCGCCCGGCAGGAGGTCCCGCCGAGCGCGCGAGGCTTCGGGCGGCAGCCTGTCGCCCGAGCACGGGAGCCCTCCGGAGGGCTCCCCGTGCTTCGGGCGAGTGTCTGCAAGCCTTGTGCGCCCGGCAGGAGGTCCCGCCGAGCGCGCGAGGCTTCGGGCGAGTGTCTGCAAGCCTTGCACACCCGGCAGGAGGTCCCGCCGAGCGCGCGAGGCTTCGGGCGAGTGTCTGCAAGCCTTGCGCGCCCGGCAGGAGGTCCCGCCGAGCGCGCGAGGCTTCGGGCGAGTGTCTGCAAGCCTTGCGCGCCCGGCAGGAGGCCCCCCCATGCGCGCGAGGCTTCGGGCGGCAGCCTGTCGCCCGAAGCACGGGGAGCCCTCCGGAGGGCTCCCGTGCTTCGGGCGAGTGTCTGCAAGCCTTGTGCGCCCGGCAGGAGGTCCCGCCGAGCGCGCGAGGCTCGGGCGGCAGCCTGTCGCCCGAGCACGGGAGCCCTCCGGAGGGCTCCCCGTGCTCGGGCGAGTGTCTGCAGCCTTGCGCGCCCGGCAGGAGGTCCCGCCGAGCGCGCGAGGCTTCGGGCGGCAGCCTGTCGCCCGAGCACGGGGAGCCCTCCGGGGGGCTCCCCGTGCGTCGGGCGAGTGTCTGCAAGCCTTGTGCGCCCGGCAGGAGGTCCCGCCGAGCGCGCGAGGCTGGGGGCGGCAGCCGCGGCGGGGGGGGGAATAATTTTTTTTATTCATTTCCCCCCCCCCAAAAAAACGAGGTGCGTCCTGTGGGCCGGTGCGCCCTATAGAACGAAAAATACGGTAAATAGGGACTGCTTACCAGCGGGAAGGTAAACGGCGTTCCGTGAGCTGGCTCCTGGCCTATAGAGTGAGATGAGCGCACAACCCTAGAGTCTGGCAAGACTGGCCCGTACGGGCAGGGGTACCTTTACCTTTAGCCATGTGAAGTTTTGCATTGAGACTTGTCGGCAGAGTGTGCAGCAGTTCAGGGATAAGCTGGGATTTTGGTGATCTGCCTAATAACGTAGCGTTTATTGTGTGCATCATTTTCTGGACAAGTTCCAGAGCTACCTATTGTAATTGAACAGGTGACGCGAGAAACTGGCCCTTTGAACTCTAGAAGATAATAGTAGTCAGGCTATATAACTGCGGTGTTGAAATAATCCCGTATTCTGTGCTGAGGACAACAAAAATCCTGTGACCTCAATACATTTTTGCAGACAAAGAGAATTTCCTTATTTCTGCATCATTCTGCTCGAGTGAAGAGAAGGCATGGTGAGCCCTGAACAGTGTTCAACACCCAGAGACGTCCAAGTTTCTGAGGCCCTCGCTGCATGTTCCCAGATTTTATCTGAGAGGTGGAAATTTTTAAAACACACCTTATAGATCTGTAGTTCTCCCACTGAAGTTTTAAATCTGTGTCTCTGACCTGTAGGTGGGGGCTCATACAGTTTCCATGTAGGAAAAGGAATATCTGTTCTTAGAAAACTCACTGGTATTATGGGAAGCTAGGGGCAGTGAAGCAAGCCAGATGAAGACTAGAGTGCAAGTCTCGCTCTGAATCTGACTACAGTCGAACATCTGTTTACATAACCCTCTGGTTATGTAAACTTCGGGATGCGCACGTGGCAAACCCGGAAGTATTTTACCAGGTTTTGCCGTGCGCGCATACGCAGAAGCGGTTCTCAGGTTGCTGAAACCTCAGGATCTGACCAGCCAGACAGATCCCGTCCACAACCAGAGGTACCACTGGATTGGCCAAAGGTCAATATTGGGGTGCTTCTGGATCTTGCTTTGCCACCGAAAGCTCAGGTAGCCGTGATGGCTAGGAGCTCCTTTAACCAGGTCTGGCTGTGACAACCGCCGTTGTTTCTGGGCCCAGGATAGCTTGAGCACAGTAGTCCAGGCACTGGTGACTGCAGCATGGGACCACTGCAGTGCACTTCATGTGGGGCTTGTTCATGTTCCAGAAAGTGTAGTTAGTGCTGATCTGCAGAACCGGCACTTTTACATCTGCCGCATAATATTCATTACACACTTGCAAGGATTGTATCTTCAGTGTGAAAGCACCTGAACTTTGGGGACCCCTGCCCACTGACATTAGGCAGGTACTTCCACTGTACAGTGGTACCTTGATTCCCGAACGACTTGGCTCCTGAACAAATCGCCTCCCGAACGCCACAAACCTAGAAGTAAGTGTTCCGGTTTGCGAACATTTTTTGGAATGTCCGACGCTGCTTCCACGGCTTCCGATTGAGTGCAGGAAGCTCCTGCAGCCAATTGAATGCCACGCCTTGGTTTTCGAACAGTTTCGAGAGTCGAATGGACTCCTGGAACGGATTAAGTTCGAGAACCAAGGTACCACTGTTCCGTTTTTGGTGTCTGCTAAAAACCCTTTTGTTTAGGGCAAGGCATGTAAATCTGACATGTATTTTAACATGCAATTTTATGGGGTTTGTTTCGGTCAACCTCTTTTTAGCATCTAGTTTTCTTTGTATTTTTTTAACGTCCATTTTATGTAAATCGCTCGGAGATTTTGATGATAAAGTAGCGCATAAACCCTGTTAAGTATGTGAGAAGGTTGGGCTGGCATGTTCTTCCTTGACATTTAGTTTTGTATATGGATGGAAATGTATTTGTTATGGAGGAATGCTCAGTTATGTTCGGCCCCACCTGCAGTCTGAAGTGGCGTAGCCCAGAGCTAGGCTTGCTTTCTCATTGAGGATTTGACTTTTAAGAATGTCCTGCAAGCATTCCAGTCTTAAGCCACGTGGAACACAACAAATGCCAGGGCAGGATGTTCATTGGCATAGCATTACCGCTTCGGGGGTACATCGTGACCTGCATTAAGAAACCACGGACTCAAAATATCACCCACACGCCCTGCCAATACTCGCACATAATGACAAACACTTTAGTCGCTAAATTATGTCCATGTGGCATAACAATACGGCAAAAATACTTAGGGCTATGGCAAGCCTTTCTGTTGCAAGCGTGGACAGGGCATGGATCCTAGCAAGGAAAGGTTGGGTTGGGAGGCATACCTATTGAGCAAGTGGATTTGCTAATGAAAGCATTTAGTCCCACCATATCATGTGGCCAGGATCCAGCACAGGCAAGTCTCTGGCTGCCTAATATTTTTTTCCATGGTGTTCATTTGCATGCTAATCCTGCATGTAGCAATTTGTAGAACTGCCTTTGCAGGTGTTGCTATTGCGCTCTGCGCTTTGTTCCAATGGACCCGGAGCCAGCTCTGGAACTGGCGCATAAGTGATATTGGCTCTGCCCGCATGAGTCCTGCATCTGCTCAGGACTCTCGCCTGCTAAAAATGGGTGCCTCCAAGCTCCCCTCCCCTCCCTGCTTCTTCTCTTTGCCTCCTGCCAAGCTCCCTCATCTCCAACCCAGGTGTTGGTGCAGCCCAGGTCCTAGGCTCATTCTCTGATGTAAAGAGTGGATAGCAAAAACAAGCAGCACAACATGTCAGGACAAAATAAGATAGAAGGAAGTTGCTAAATGGAAGGCACTTCAGAAATGTGAGGCTGAGGTGACATACTGGATCATGTCCATCAAGTTGGGCTGCCTTGAGTAACCATCAGCCGTTGTGCCAGAGCAGATCTCAGAACTGTACAAAGACCCTTGTTTTGTTTCGTTTTTGCATCCTTGAGGTTACAGTAGTCAGGCAAGATGGCTGTGCCAATGTAACAGGATGGGAGGAAAGAAATTGCTGCAGCACAAAACTTCAGTATTTGCTGACCTGGAGCCATTGCAAGATGGTACAGACTCTTCCTCTGTCTATTCCATTCTGCTGGAGCTGTATGTGGCATGAAGAGGCAGACTGGCCGATCTTGAATGAGAAGATGAGCATCGAGTAACCCCCCCATGTCGCACAGGTGGCTGTTTTTTCCCTTGCAGCTTGTGTAGTTCCTCCTGCCAGCCCACCTCCATGCCAGGGACCCTAGTAACATCTGTCTGGAGCTGTTTCAGCTTTATTTAGCTGTTGCAAAATCGGCTCGTGTTCAAGAACACTCAAAAGGCCATACCTGGATTTCCAAGGTACAGCTGACTTGTTACCTGCTATAGAAAGCTGTGTGTATCTATTTTTGAAGCAGTATGCACACAGACTTAAATGAAAAGTGTGGAGGGCAGGGTAAGGAGAGTATGTTCCATGGCAGTTGTCTTCCTACCTGTGCACAAAAAAGCAAAGCAGAGATCAGTGCATGGGCTCTTGTTCTGGGCCTGCAGAGGGCCAGGGAAATTAAGTTGATGGTTCTCGCATCTGCAAAGCCATTCCAAGGAGCCACCAAGCAGGATAATTATTATTATTATTATTATTATTATTATTATTATTTATTTATACCCCGCCCATTTGGCTGAGTCTCCCCAGCCACTCTGGGCGGCTTCCAATCAAGTGTTAAAAACAATACAGCATCAAATATTAAAAACTTCCCTAAACAGGGCTGCCTTCAGATGTCTTCTAAAGAGAAGATAGCTGCTTATTTCTTTCACATCTGAAGGGAGGGCGTTCCACAGGGCGGGCGCCACTACCGAGAAGGCCCTCTGTCTGGTTCGCTGTAACCTCACTTCTCGCAATGAGGGAACCACCAGAAGGCCCTCGGCGCTGGATCTCAGTGTCCAGGCTGAACGATGGGGGTGGAGACGCTCCTTCAGGTATACAGGACCGAGGCCGTTTAGGGCTTTAAAGGTCAGCACCAACACTTTGAATTGTGCTCGGAAACGTACTGGGAGCCAATGTAGATCTCTCAGGACCGGTGTTATGTGGTCCCGGCGGCCAGTCACCAGTCTAGCTGCCGCATTCTGGATTAATTGCAGTTTCCGGGTCACCTTCAAAGGTAGCCCCACATAGAGCGCATTACAGTAGTCCAAGTGGGAGATAACTAGAGCATGCACCACTCTGGCAAGACAGTCCGCAGGCAGGTAGGGTCTCAGCCTGCATACCAGGTGGAGCTGGTAGACAGCTGCCCTGGACACAGAATTAACCTGCACCTCCATGGACAGCTGTGAGTCCAAAATAACTCCCAGGCTGCGCACCTGGTCCTCCAGGGGCACAGTTACCCCATTCAGGACAAGGGAATCCCCCACACTCGCCCGCCCCCTGTCCCCCAAAAACAGTACTCCTGTCTTGTCAGGATTCAACCTCAATCTGTTAGCTGCCATCCATCCTCCAACCGCCTCCAGGCACTCCAGGATGGCTGGGGAATGTAAGGAGTTATGGTGTAGGAATCTCTGACGTTTTGGCTGACCACTTGCCAGCATCCAGACACTGGGTCCTCATGCACACGGGCCATTTTCCAAAGAAGAGCTTTCCTTCCCGTCAGCATTACGCTACACAGGATTCTGATGAAGCTGGCTCTTATTTTTGATTAAATTTTACTGCTTCCCTTTTGGCCGTGGCTTTTTGACATCCCTAATTTGATGGATTTGTTTCTCACAGTAAAGCAGTGCCACTAATGGAATGCATGAGAGGGTGATGGATAAGGCAATATGGTCTTCCTCGCCAGGCTTGCTAAGATGAAAAATAGGCTTCTTAGGTAATGGGCGCCTTAAAAAGAATCCCCCCCCCCATGAACTCTTAAATTTGCATAATTTTTAAAAAGGCTTCCTTCCATTTCTCTTCTTGTACCCAAACTAGTGTGTGAAAAATGTCTGAACGAAACAGCTCTTTCTTGGCAGTGGCTAAGGAACCTGGAACCTGGAAGTGTGTAGGCTGGTCTTCTCCACCTTCTGATATCTGAGGCTCTGTTTATTTCTGGGTTAAAAACAGGGTTGCCCTGTGTGATGACTTTTCCCAGGAGAAGAGGAGGAATGTGACCTGGTGCATTCTCTTTGTTCCTCTCACCTGCACACAGTTGGAGAATCACCAGTTTGGGCTTTCTCGCGTTCAGGCGCATAAGCTCTGAAGAGCAAAACCTTGCAGACAGACTTTGGTATTATTAAAAATAGCTTTTTATGCCCTTGTTTTGCATTGTTACATGAGCCCTCTGCTCCCGCGTCAGAAAAGATAGCAGCACGTCAGGGGGACCAGCAAATCTAGCTCTGTGAATGGCAGCTTCTTCTGTTCAACAGCTTTGGACGACTTTCTCATTGCCACTGTTTGACTGCAGCTGCAAATCTTTGCAAATGTTGCCTGCAGATTTGCTCTCCTCCCCACTCCTCCTGGTGTTGGAACTCGCTGTTGGCAGTGCTAGAGAAGCATTTTGCTCTAGGCAGCATATTAAAACGAGCCACCTACATAGTTATGCTTGGAACACCTGGAATGGGCTGCCCCTGCCAAACCTGTATTTTTCGAATGTATCGGTTATTTAATCCTTATCGTGGTCCTCTTGAATTGTGTGTAGATGCCTGCATCCCTCTTCCTCCGGGCCAGCCTGCTCTATGTGGGGCTACCTTTGAAGGTGACCCGGAAACTACAGCTAATCCAGAATGCGGCAGCTAGACTGGTGACTGGGGGCGGCCGCCGAGACCACATAACACCGGTCTTGAAAGACCTACACTGACTCCCAATACGTTTCCGAGCACAATTCAAAGTGTTGGTGCTGACCTTTAAAGCCCTGAACGGCCTTGGTCCAGTATACCTGAAGGAGTGTCTCCACCTCCATTGTTCTGCCCGGACACTGAGGTCCAGCGCCGAGGGCCTTCTAACGGTTCCCTCACTACGAGAAGCCAAGTTACAGGGAACCAGGCAGAGGGCCTTCTCGGTAGTGGCACCCACCCTATGGAACGCCCTCCCACCAGATGTCAAAGAGAAAAATAACTACCAAACTTTTAGAAGACATCTGAAGGCAGCCCTGTTTAGGGAAGCTTTTGATGTTTAATAGGTTACTGTATTTTAGTGTTCTGTTGGAAGCCTCCCAGAGTGGCTTGGGAAACCCCTTCCCCTTACTCTCAATTTTTCTCTTGCATCTTGTGTAAGGGATCGTTGAGGGCAGAAAGCTTGAAGCCACTGCTCTATGAAGTCAGGAACTCGCACTCACTGCCTCAGTTTAACTTTTTGACAGCTCACTAAACAACAAATGGTGTTCCACCTGCTCAACAGGACTCCCCCTTCCCCTCATCTCTGTGCACCCCAAAAACCTGCATCGTGGGGTCCCTCAACCCTCTGGAACAGATTTTGAGTCTGTGCTGGGGTGTGTGTGTGCTACAGTTGTGGGATGGAGCTCTGTTGTGCAAGTGGAAGTCTGTTGCATGAGATGGACACAGCAGCACCGGGTGCAACATTACACAGCTAGTGATTAGGGCTGTTTTTACCTGACACAACTGGAACGGGGTAAACCGTAACAGGAAAGACGGCAGAGTTTTCCTCCTTGATGAGGCTGGCTCAGTGATGGAGATGAAGGCTGGCCAATGCTTAAAATACAACGATTTTCACATTAGTGATCCATTCTGTGTTTGGATTAATGAATTATTTTCATATCAGCTTGCCCAACAGTTAAAAAAATCTGCTGAAGCCCTCCTGCCTCATCTGAGATAAGGTGGCTGTCAGTGAGAGGCAGAGCTTTTTCGGATGTGACAACCTAGTCAAGGAATCCCTTCCCTAAGGCGGCCTGCCTGGTGCCTGCCCTGCTGTCCTCCAGGCACCTGGAAAAGTCTTCTTTTAATTCAATGAGACATTTGTGATTTTGTTGCTGTTAGTAAGTTTCAATATAATTCATTCTGTTACTTTTATTCTGGTTTCGTTAACAATTGAGTTGCTTTTTTTCTTTCTCGCAAGCTGCTCTGAAATTGAGCTGGGTGGTGAATGAATTATTGTACTTCAACACAGCTGATTAACTTTGACTGGCTTGGTACATAGATAGTTATTACCATGGCTAATAGTGAAATGATTGTGATTGAAGCATTCATGTTTAGATGCAGTGCGTCTCTGAATACCTAGGGGGTGCGGGGAAGAGTTGGTGAGATCCATTGCTTTTATACACTGTTTATAGACTTCCTGGAGACATCAGGCTGGCCAGTTCTAGAAACAGATCCAATAGGTTTCATGCTGGCTATTAAAATGAGATACAAAAGGGATGAAGGCACTCCCTTTTGAGCAACCCATGTTAGCATGGGGACTTTAAGCTTCAGTGTTGTACAACTCTTTTATCAGTTTCTGTGCAAGCAGGCACTGTCCCTTCTTCACAAGAGGTAGGTGTGATTTGGTCCGTTACCTTGAAACTACGGGATAAAAATACTGAAGCTGCCTACTGCAACTTGAATTAAGTTGCTGGTTCATCCTCTTTCAATAATGAAGATGCCACAACCTTTGCATGTTTTAAGATGTTAGCAGAGGGCTTGATGATTAGCTAGCTTACGGCTGCATAAATAGCTGCCGAGCTGCTCAGAGGAAAACCTGATATATCTACCATCAGCATTTGCTGCCATGTGAGATTCTACGTCAGGAGATTAAAGGGCTAGCTGTGGCTAAAAATATAAGCTAGCCATGATAAACATTGAGCTCCCGGCCATGTGAACGTCCACAAGGAATGCATGCTGTGTGTACAGCACTTCCTCAGGATGAAAACGGAGTTGCTTAAACTGCCTGACCACTCAGCGTGGGAAAAGAGTTCTTTGTCCTACCTGGGATGCATGATTTTCCTGGGTTCCTCTTCCTCACCTGAGAAGGGAGCGCAAGAATTGCTAGTAAGCAGTTGTAACCTTAGCATGGTTCACCCTGGGAAAGTATACTATGCATGTTAACAACCCACTAACCAGTATTTGCTTTCCAGCTTCGGATTTTACCACCCAAGGCTGTTGGTGAAGATCTAGGAGCTTGCTTGGTAGTTACAAAGCAGAGAGACATTTTCATGTGTAAATTGGTTTCCAACATGGGGCTAACACCCTTCAGGTATTATCGCCTGGAGATCCGGGTTCCCACTCACGTAGGGAGCCTCCAAAGGTATGCAAGTCTTCTCTGTAACCATGTGGGGTTGTTAGAAGAACCCCACAACTCTGGGGAGTTCTCTGTTCTCTTGAAAATACCTGAAGAGGACTACTAACCTTGCAGGGATACTCCTATGCTACTAGTAGTTATGGACGTAGTCTGGCAAAGATGATCAAGGGTATGGAAACCAAGCCTGGGGGAGCTTAGTTGGAGGAGTTGGGTATGTTTAGCCTGGAAAAGAAGAGATTCAAATATCTAGAGGGAAGATGGAGCAAGCTTGCTTTCTCCTGATCCGGAGGCTAGGACCCAAACCAATGGTTTCAAGTTACGAGGAAGGAGATTCCAACTAAACATCAGGAAGAACTTTGACAGTAAGAGCCGTTTGACAGTGGAACAGCCGCTCTCTCTTGGAAGATTGTGGACACTTCTTCACTGGAGGTTTTTGGGCAGAGGTTGGATGGCCACCTGTCATGGATTCTTTCATTGAGATTCCTGCATTGCAGGGGCTTATACAGGACCCTCAAGGTCCCTTCCCACTCTACAGTTCAATGATTCTATATGTGCTGCAGCTGAGAATAAATGAGAATCCTGGCCAGAGCTGTGTTTACTCTTGTGATAAAAGGGGGGGAAATGCAGCTAGGCCTCCATTTCTTGCCACAAGGCTTAATCTCACTTAGCTCCCTGCACCCAGCTATTGAGAAAAAAAATCAGCAAAACGTAGAACTCTGGGGAGTAAAAGAAAATGCCTAGGACAGGATCAAATGGTGAATCTTCAGTTTTCAAGAAGATGGATTTTGCATGGCGACTCTTGTAGTGACACAGCTACCTGTGCTTATAAAGTCTAAAACTCAGAGCAGCCTGCGTTCCCAAAGCAGATCTGCAGATGACTAGATGTTATGAGGTGTGATGCATATTGCTAGCGTTGGACGTCTGTGCTTTGCAAACAGTAGATAAATCTATGCCAGCTCAGTCTTTAAGCTCATGAAAAAAACACATGTGCAGCCAATGTTTTCTAAGACATTAATGTATCCTGTCTCTCCCTACTGCTGAGGCCCCTTGTCTTCCAGGGGTGCCAGTTAGTTTCCTAGCTGCCCTTTTCTCATGCCCTCTATACCTTCTTTCATTCTCCGTCTGTGCTTTGCCAATGGCTTATCTGATGGAGAGGCTACAGACAGGATGCAACAGGAAGCAGAAAGGAAATGACTCAAGTTTTTTTTAGGAAAATGTGCTTGGGATTAGGGATTAATAACTAGACGGGTGCCAAAGACAGTATTTTATCCATGAGAAAAGGGGGGAAATATTGGAAAATGGTGTCAACAGCTCCCTCCCACATAGACAAAAGAAGTTTGCACCATTAGGTCTCGGCACTGGATTTCAAACGTTGGAGTTGTTTGTGGTGCCAAGCTATTCTTATGGCAAATTGTGTGTGTGTGTGTGTGTGTGTGTGTGTGTATTTCATGCACGAAGCATGAATTTTAAACCTTGCCTTGTTTTAGTCAGCAAGAAGGTTTTTGAGTATGATACTGGCTAGATCACTGTAAACGCAAATTATATACGGATTTTCCGTATGGAAGACAGTTCCATGGTTTGAGAGCCCTGGTGACTGCTTGGTGCAGAAGACATTAATAGACCACCATTTGTGTTAAGTGGGAACTTTTGTGGTGTTCAGGGGTGGGTGGGATCCACAATCACAGCTGTGGAAGAAAGGGGCAAATTTCCCTCCATACTCTGGTCCTGATGAGAATAACATCTATGACGAAACATATTGGGAGGCAGCATGCCTCTGAACACGGAATGGCGGAGATTCAGAAGGAGGGAGGGCACAGTTGTGTTCCTGCTTGCAGGTTTCCTGTAGGCACCTGGTTGGCCACTCTTGAGAACAAGATGCTGACCAGAGGTAGGCCTTTGGTCTCCAGAATTCCTCCTATGCCCTGCTGGTCACCAGATAGGGCTGAAGGTTGTGCCAGCAAAAGTGTGTGGGTGAAACTTTGGTCAGGTTGTTTCCTCGATGGTGACATTTGTACAGTTTAAAATTCCCAGTTCTCCCATATAGCTTTAGCTGTTCACCACGTTGCTTCTGAATCATCTGCATGCGCAATTTGAAGTCAAACTTCTCTTTCCTCTGGTTTACTATGCCCCATATACCTGAAGGAGCCTCTCCACCCCCATCGTTCAGCCCGGACACTGAGGTCTAGCTCCAAGGGCCTTCTGGTGGTTCCCACACTATGAGAAGCGAGGTTACAAGGAACCAGGCAGAGGGCCTTATCAGTAGTGGCACCCGCCCTGTGGAACACCCTCCCATCAAATGTCAAGGAAATAATTGTTTGACTTCAGAAGACATCTGAAGGCAGTCCTGTATAGGGAAGTTTTTAATGTTTTTGCTGTACTGTATTTGATGTTTGACTTTCTTGGAAGCCCCCCAGAGTGGCAGGGGCAACCCAGGCAGATGGGCAGTATATAAATAATAATAATAATAATCATTTATTTTTAGTAGTAGTAGTAGTAGTAAAGGGACGTGCGTGGCACTGTGGGTTAAACCACAGAGCCTAGGACTTGCTTATCAGAAGGTCGGCGGTTCAAATCCCCACGACGGGGTGAGCTCCCGTTGCTCGGTCCCTGCTCCTGCCAACCTGGCAGTTCGAAAGCATGTCAACGTGCAAGTAGATAAATAGGAACTGCTACGACGGGAAGGTAAACTGCGTTTCCATGCGCTGCTCTGGTTCTCCAGAAGCAGCTTAGTCATGCTGGCCACATGACCCGGAAGCTGTACGCCGGCTCCCTCGGCCAATAAAGCAAGATGAGCGCCACAACCCCAGAGTCGGCCATGACTGGACCTGATGGTCAGGGGTCTCTTTACCTTTACCTTAGTAAAGTAGTAGTAGTAGTAGTAGTAGTATTAGCATGGCACTATGCATAGCATTTGGAAAGGGTACGGACCACCCAACTCAGTGCCTTCAAGAAGCAAAACATAGTTGGTAAACTCTGTTGGAACCAGATCTAATTTAAAACTGCTACAGACTTGAAAAATGAACTATAGAGCTATAGGGGAAGCTCCTGCAGCATTCTTAGTACAGGCTTTAACACTGTAAGAGTATGTTCTAACTGAGAGAAATGACTAAGTATCAAAAGTTAAAGGATACCTGCTTAAGCTGCATATAGGTTGCAAAAGCAGATTTTGGAGCTTTTCCACGTTCTGGCATCAGTACTTATTTTGCCCAGCCTATGAGACAGGAAGTAGCTCTTTCAGAAACCCTGAAGTCAGCTGTGAATATACCACAGCTACTACTCTTGGAGCTCTGCAGATGCTGCAGACTCCACGAAGCACTTATTGCACATAAACTGCTGTTTTGAAACTGGGTCAGCCGTGTGTGCGCTGCAGCATTTCTGACTGCATGCTTTTTGCAGAGTTGAAAATCGGTGCAGGAATGCCCACACTCACCATTTGCCACGCTTACTAAAAAAAAAAAACACCTTAAAAAGCCAGTTGCATAACAACAGGACCATGACCATACTGCTTGGGTGTTTCGCCATCCTGACATAACAAAAACATTTATGGCTTAACTCTGCTTTGTTGCTGCTGCAACTACATCCATGTTTTTTAGTGGTGTTGTATGTGCAGTCACTTCATTCAGCATTTTTGCACAATAGAGTGGGTGCGTGGGGGTTTAAGGGATATATTTATTCAAAGGTTGGATATGCATTTATAAAACAAGTCGAGAGGCTCAGTCTAGGTCTCTTATGTCAGAATGGGCGGACTTCAGGCTTATCGGATCTACCTCCCCCCACCCAAACCCCAAGATCTACCAGCCAGATGGGCGGCGTATAAATAATTGAATTTTTAATAATAATAATAATAATTACCATTATTATTACCAGCCAGAGCAAATACAGTTAAAATTAAAGAACAGGATGCTTCTGAGCCTATAGATTTGTTTTCAGTATGAGAACTGAGCTCACACAAGTCCACTTTCGGTTTTTCTTGTTTCTTAGCCTGATTTAGGGGGGAGGGAGTTGTGGTGGTGTTAGACCAGTTGGGGAAACCAAACCTAGAGGACCAGTGATTATATACAACAAAACAAATGAAGTCAAGGTCTAGATCATAGGTAGGCAAACTAAGGCCCATGGGCTGGATCTGGCCCATTCGCCTTCTAAATCCGGCCCATGGAATCAGCGTGTTTTTACATGAGTAGAATGTGTGCTTTTATTTAAAATGCATCTCTGGGTTATTTGTGGGGCATAGGAATTCATTCATATATTTTTTTTCCAAAATATAGTCCGGCCCCCCACAAGGTCTGAGGGACAGTGGACCGGCCCCCGGCTGAAAAAGTTTGCTGACCCCTGGTGTAGATAAATGTAATATATTTCCTTAGTGTATGCATGCAATAATTTAAACACAAGTATCAGCCACCACCATTTCCTCTTTGCACGGAACGAGCAAGGGACAAAGCATGCAGCTGGCATTGCAAAAGGAGTATTTCTTCATAAAATACTTCCCCTGCTAGCGATGGATAGCATCATGGGATGGGGAGGGGGAATATTGATGCCAGCTGATTGTGCAACCCCATCTCTTATCCAGGTCGTGTAGATCACTTGCCTGATGATATTGTTGTGGTACTTATAGTACTGTTCTCCATAGACAGAATGGTTAGTTCCTCGTTTCTTGCTGCCTAAAAGCATAGAAATGTGCTTGAGTGAATTAAAAAAAAACAACCTGGAACTTTGGCCATAGGAAACTAGATGCAACATCTTTTAAAACAGGTATGGGGAACCTGGGGCCCTCCAGATATTGCTTGACTACAGCGCGCATGATTCCTGAGTACTTGCCATATTGTTTGAGGCTGATGGACATCGGAAGTCCAACAACCTATGGAAGACCACAGGCATCCCATCCCTCTTTTAAAAGCAGAAAAGTCAGACAACTAACTCCTCTTCTCAACAGGATTGAAGAACTAACAAGCGCCTTAAATCCATGGTTGTCAAGCGCATTTGATGGGGTAGGCCAAGGTTGTATCAGCCACTGTTAGCCTTTTTAACTAAATGGGGGACAAGAGTCCAGGGACCAAGTAACTTTGAATATCAGGCACTGGAGGCAAGCAGGGGAGAGGGGCATGGTGCCCAGCTTGTGTTTTTCCAGCAGCCATTGGCCAGACCATGGTTGAAAGCAGAATGCTTAGGGGCTGAGCGGTCCCTAGATCTGATTCAGCAAGTCCATTGTTAAGATATCATAAGCGATCTGGAATTTCCTTTGTGGTGGGGGATAGTTGAGCTGACAGGCATATTGGAGGAGCTGGTGGTAGCTGGCTGCTTCAAGGGACTGTTTCTGAAGACATAATCTTGTAACCTACCACCGGGCGCTGGTTTTAATTCATGATTTTGAGTGGTGAAGTCAAAACTTGATTTTTCAAAACAGAGAAAGCGTCCCCTGGAGTCACGCACCTTTCGAATGAGAAAGCAAAATAAACCAGGCTTCGTCTTGATATAATCTTTAGTTTCTTTCCTTCCTCTCTCAGGAAAGCAAACATTTTAAGAATGTGAGGATCTGCTAGCAATAAAACACGATGGCCTAGAATGGCATAGAATTAGTGACCCCAGACAATTGGCTGGAATCCTTGAAAAAAGGGCTTTTCACTGTCGAAAACACAGTATTATCTCCTCCCAGGACATCCAGAACTAGTCTTAATCCTTTCCCTGTCTGTAAAACTAAAATTTGTTGTTGTTGAGTTGTTTAGTCGTGTCCGACTCTACGTGACCCCATGGACCAGAGCACGCCAGGCACTCCTGTCTTCCACTGCCTCCCGCAGCTTGGTCAAATTCATGTTCGTAGCTTCGAGAACACTGTCCAACCATCTCGTCCTCGGCCGTCCTTTCATATCATGTATTGAGATACGTAGTGCCTCAAGATTAACGCTCTAATAATTAACCTAGTTAATGGAGGGAAGGAAAATGTTATGGGGCCCTAATATATATATATTTTGTGCACAAAGCCATGCAGCCCCAGTTGGTTAAAATGTAAAGCTGAGACATTTAAGGTATGAGTTGTAACTCAGGAGCCCAACCCTTTAACCCCAAAGGCTGTGGTTGGCTACAGATGAAATGGTTAAGGAACAGGCACCTCCTCTTCAGCCAGTTTGCATGTTCAGAGATCTGGTTTTCAATCATAGTTCAGGATCAACAGCAAATTTGAAAGCAGACTCCCAAGTAAAGGAATATAGCTAAATACGATACCTAAAGATACGTCTGAAGTTCTTTGTGACTGGAAAGAGGAAGGGCCGGGAACTTATATAATACACATAGATCAGTCAGCCCAAGTGGTGGTTTCACTGTAGTATCTTGGGAAGAAGTCTCTGATGCTTTATCTGGAGGTGCCAGAGACTGAAACAGGAACTCTGTGTGCAAAACATGTGCCTTGCCAGACAACTGTGGCCGCCTCCCCGTTATAAATTACAGAAGAAGATATGAAACGTCCTTGCATATTTTTCCCCTCTGCGGAAATCTTAACTCCAGCCTGGGTATGTCTAGCAGTATCAAATGATTGATGAATGCCATGCTTGAGTTTCCGATATCACCCTGGTTCACAAGTCTCACTAACCATAACTTGAACTGTGGTTTAATGTATTTATTTATTGTGTGCTTTTTTTTTGTAAACTGTTTGGAGGCTTCTTTACAATAAAGCAGTATAAATTTTGATAAGTAATGTGAATGAGCAGGATGTTGGTGCAAGCTGCTCAGAAGTTCCCAGACTGCTCCTCCCCTGCTCCCGCCAGCTCCACTACAGGTAAATCACAGAGACGTTGGACTTTTGGTTTTCTTTCCTCCACACCAACCACATGCAGCAGCCGAGATTCATTTGGGGCTTATCCCTTGAGCCCAGGATCACATAACATAACAAGCCAAACCCCAGCTTGGTTTGTCTATAACATGGGTAGGCAAACTAAGGCCCAGGGGCCGGATCTGGCCCAATCGCTTCCTAAATCCAGCCCATGGACGGTGCGGGAATCAGCGTGTTTTTACATGAGTAGAATGTGTCCTTTTATTTAAAATGCATCTCTGGGTTATTTGTGGGGCATAGGAATTCATTCATTCCCCCCACCCCCGCCAAATATAGTCCAGCCCCCCACAAGGTCTGAGGAACAGTGGACCGGCCCCCTGCTGAAAACGTTTCCTGACCCCTGGTCTATAGCATGGTAGGAGCAAGGGAGGGCAATGGTTTAATGTGGCATGTGAGTTATCACCGTTCCATTATTGCAGCAGAATGCTTTGGGGAGGCTTGGAGATGAGTACAGAACTAAGGTTGAATTATTTAATTATAACCAGGATCTTTGGATCTCCAAGGCATTGGCAACATCCCCCAGAGTGTTTTATCATAATACCTCGTATGTCAGTGTTGGCCAAACTTGGCCCTCCAGCTGTTTCGGGGACTACAACACCCATCATCCCTAGCTAACAGGACCCAGGGGTCAGGGATGATGGGAATTATAGTCCCAAAACATCAGGTGGGCCAAGTTTGGCCATCCCTCTTGTAAGTGGTTGAGCTAGTCACCGTTCAGTGGAAGCATCTGCTCACCCAGCACTGGCCTTATGGAGGTGTGGCATACGATGAAAGATGCCGTAAGCCAAGGTTAGCTGCATGCTACTCACGGCTCAGCACTGCATTGGGGAAAGTCAACGTTGCTTGGCATCAGTTGCCTTTACGTTTCAAACAAGGCAATACAGGAAGTTGTTAATTCGGACAACAGCGGCAGTTTTGCTCCTCCACTTTGCATCAGCAAACACCAATTACACGGCAGCAATGCCTGCGTTGATGCAGCTATTAAAAGGCAACAGAAACAGGGCTTGTGGTGTTTGGAGCACTTTTGGGGGGGATGCGGCAATAATCCTCTAAATCTGAATAAAATTGCAACCAACGACGGTGTTTGTGCTGCAGGATCAGAAAAAGTTGAGTTGGGTCCCAGAGTGAAGATTGCTTCTTTGAAGCTCAGAGCTGTGAAAGGAGCATGGAGCAGAGTGCTCTTCAAGCACGCCCCTAAATACATCCCGGACTTGCCTATAAAGACTTTTTTAAAAAGGTAAAGGACCCCTGACTGTTAAGTCCAGCACAGATGACTGGGGTTGAGGCGCTCATCTCGCTTTACAGGTCAAGGAAGCCAGTGTTGGTCCATAGACAGTTTTCTGGGTCATGCGGCCAACATGACTAAGCCACTTCTGGTGCAATGGAACACCAAAACCAGAGCAGCGCATGGAAATGCCGTTTACCTTCTCTCTGCAGTGATACCTATTTATCTACTTGCACTGGAGTGCTTTCAAACTGCTAGGTTGGCAGGAGCTGGGACCGAGCAACAGGAGCTCACCCCGTTGCGGGGATTCGAACCGCCGACCTTCTGATTGGCAAGCCCAAGAGGCTCGGTAGTTTAGACCACAGCGCCACTCGCGTCCCCTTTCTGTAAAGCCTTATGTTGAGTTAATTGTCGTCTTCACCCGCTCTCAATTTTTTGAACAAAGTCCACTGGTTTGTTGAGGCTCTCCCTTAATGGCCAGTTTAAGAGCGATGCCTCTCTCCACTGACTGCTGTTCAAGTGAGAGATGGGCTGTGAGCCTTCACCAGGGTTTTCTGACAGCTCTTGTTGCTGACTTCCCCTCACACTGATGCCAAATGCAATGCACGGGGGTTGGCTGATGCACAAGGTTATAATGCATGCCTCATCAGAAAAGCATCAGGTGCAGAATAGCTTTAGTCAGTCTCAGACTAATAAATCCTACAGGTGCTGCATTCCTTCTTCTAAGACAGGCATCCCCAAACTCGGCCCTCTAGCTGTTTTGGGACTACAACTCCCTTCATCCCTAGCTAACAGGACCAGTGGTCAGGGATGATGGGAACTGTAGTCCCAAAACAGCTGGAGGACAGAGTTTGGGGGTGCCTTTTCTAAGATAAAGGTACAAGAAAGTGTGTCAGCTCTTGGTGTCTGCGGTTCCCTGGATTGATTCCATACCGCTACTTCTGTGTGCTGACAACTTATTCCAGCTCACACAATGGCCTCTAAATCTGTAACAGCTGATAGCTCCAGTTTAGGCTGAACCTTGGTCCAGTCTTCTCCTTGACCTACAACTATGCTAATCAAGAAGGACTTTAAATGTTGCTCGCTTACTCTCCCTGTAGAAAAAGTTACTTTGCTGTGGGCAGGATAGATGGATTTTCATTTATTTGTCAGTCACTTTATCTTGCCTGGGGCAACCCAAAGCAACTCACAACCAAGATGGATGGACACCACCACAGAAAATGCCAACTTTATTTAAATTTAAGTCTTGTTCATATGCTCCTAAACAGGCATATAACAGCTCTGTATAATATTTTTTCTGTTGTGAACCGCCGTGGGATCTTCAGATGGAAGGACGGTATATTATATTAATTATTATTATTACTAATTAATAGTTTTCGGCTAAACAGAACTTTTCTGCTACCTTGCCGCACATTATATCAGGCTTCCCAAGATTGGTGCCTTCCAGATGTTTTGGATTACAGCTCCCATCAATCCCTGACCATTAGCCATCCTGGCTGAGGTTGGTGAGAGTTGGAGCCCAAACATCTGGAGCACATTGGTAGAAGGTTGCATTCAGTCATCCAGAGCAGCTGGGTGGTATAGCACGCTTTGCATTCAGGAGGCCCCTGGCAACTCCAGCAAAAAGAGCCAGGGTAGCAGGTGACGAGAGATCTCTGCCAGAGACCCCAGAGGGCTGCTGCTAAGTGAGTAGGCAATGCTGCCCTAGATGGACAAAAATTCTGACCCAGTATGTATCCTGTGTTGCTTGTTAATGCCTCTTCCGGTACAAAACTGCATCTTAATTCTAGGTAAGAGGACTTGGTGGATTTCTGTTTGGCAGTCTGTACACATGTGAGGTTCTCAGTGCGACCCCTTAAATGAAAAGCAAGAGCTTGTACAGTGGTACCTACACTTACATTTACCTCCGGTTATGTATCCTTTGGGATACGGATGCGGCAAACCCGGAAGTATTTTTCCAGATTTTGCCGCATGCACAGAAGCGGCACCTCCGGATACGCACACCTCGGGATCCAACCGGAGCTCCGGAACGGATCCCATGCTCATCCAGAGGTACCACTGTACTTTGGAATTTGGAAAGCTCTGTGATAGGGTCTAGGATAGTATATTCTGGATCCTAACCAGCATTTGCACTAGAAAACCCACACTAAATGAACATTCTCTGTAATATTTGATCTCAAACATGAGAGAGTTCAAGTAAACCCTCCCATCCCTGTACAAAAAAAGAATAACTCAATGTAGCTATGCTAGATGGCAGTAGGTTTAAGTTTGAAATAATTGGTAGGCTTTAGCCTGGTTGTATTATTGAAATCTAAATTTTAAAGAAAACCATAGTTGCAATATTATTCTAATTTGCATAAATATTCTTAAAAGTAGAGTCCCATTTTATTGATTTTTTTAAATTTATTTACCTGTCCATTGGACACAGAGTGCTGGATTCTCTGCTGGTTGTCAGAATTGGAAGCCCAAATTAACCAGGGGCCACTGTGGTGACTCTTTCCTTAGTGCCAGATAAAAATCAGGGGCTGGAAGGGGTGCTATTCCAGAAGTCATTGGCAAGAGGAATGCTTAGTTATTGAGAGAGAGAGAGAGAGAGAGAGAGAAAGTAATAATGGTTTTCCACCCTGGCACTCTTGACAAATATACCTGAGAATTAAATATGGCAGTTCAGTAGGGCAAGCTGAGAAGTTCTTATATTTGAGATTAACTTTCTCTGTGTCTGCTTCGTGGGCTCCATACATTGCCAGAACTAAATATGAAAGGCTTGCCAGTGAACGCGGTTGATATTCTTAAGCCCATGGAAATATGTTCAGCCAACTGGAAAAAAAACAAGGCAATAGTAGGAACCCACAACGAAGCTTGCTTGTAAAATAATTTTGCTCAAAACAGAAAATAGCCAGACTAGGGTCTATGAAAATTTCACTCAGAAAGGGGGGATTGGCCCCAGTTGACACACATTGCAGGATGCATGTCCTCTGAGCCAAATCTCCCTGCCCCTATTCCCTGTTTCAGTCTCTCCAAGCTAGCAGAGGGTGGTTTACAATCTCAGACTCAAATCTCAAACCCTTATTGGCATATAGACAAGATTCCGAAAGGTTCAGTAGAATAAAATCGCTCGGCAAAGTCTGCATCTAATGATGAAAATACTGTTGTATAACATTCACGAATCCCCATTGCGTGTTGCAGAAACCTGGCTGCTATCGCCATCTTATCCCCGTCCCAAGTAAACATTAGGAAGGCTACCTTGCAATTCGTCTTACTGGCACTCCCTGCTAACAATCAACTGATGAATGAATTTAGATCGAATTACCGAATTATACAAGGGGCAGTGCAAAAGAACACGCACAAGTGGTTCTATAGGACTCTGTCTACAGGGGATAGTCTCTCTGCGAGTGGCATTTTCTGGAATCTCCTGTAGTATTGCTCTCTCCCTGTTGCACTCACTGCCCCCGGGCCTGCTAGATTTTGCTTGAGATGCTATTTGACCCCCCTGTATTTTTCAGCAAGGGTCAAGACCACCTCCTACCTACCTTCCCCACTCCCTGCACCACCTTTGTTTAGGCTTCAAGGCCATGCACTTGTGGCTTAACCTCTTGAAATATACTCAGAGTCAAGAGTGGATTTCATGCTCTTTATTCAGCTCATAGTGGTGAGGAGGAATGGAAGTTCCCCCAGAATGTCTGCTTTATATACCTTATGTACACGATGGGCCCCACGTGATTGGCTAATTCCGGGATTCTTCTGTAGGCCAATCAGGTTGTGGATTCACTTCTACCTGGAGCTGGATTGGGTGGCTCCTGTGGACCAATCAGACCGCTGCATTCTGAATCCTATTGTTCTAGGACCAATCAGACTGCTGCATTCTGAATCCTATTGTTCTAGGACCAATCAGACTGCTGCATCTTGGATCCTATTCAACTCAGTACATAACACTCTTTACAGTGCATAAGCAAGCATTAGCAATAGTACATTACTTGAGTCACCTTACCACTGTCCAATTCTCATCTGGTGCATTTACAGTCTACCTCGGGTTACAGACGCTTCAGGGTTTTTTTGTGTGTTTTTTGGGTTACGGACTGCCAAAACCCGGAAGTACCGGAACAGGTTACTTTCGTTTTTGGTGGTCGCGCATGCGCAGAAGCACTGAATTGCTCTTTGCGCATGCACAGAAGCGCTGAATCGCAACCCGCGCATGCGCAGACGCGCAGCTGCGGGTTGCAAACGTGCATCCCGCACGGATCACGTTCGCAACCCGAGCGTCCACTGTATCTTTATTTACTTTTTAAAATGCATTTGTGTTCTCATTTTGCATTCTTACGTTGCAGACCGCCCTGTGAACTTTGGATGAAGGGTGGTATGCAAATATAATAATACTTCCTTATGCAAAATAGAACCACTAAACATCTGTCTCCTCCTCCTCCCAAGTTCCTTTGAAGTTGTGCTTAGGGTAACTGTGACTTATGCCCGCATAGGCCTATATGCAGTTGGAGTCATCCTTCTGTTTAGTAAGCAAGGTAGAATATTTTACTTGTGTGGATGAAATGGTTTGAGCTGGCACTCCCGCAGATTGAAAACTGAATACAGGAAAGAATTGCTGGCACTCCTGTGCAGGAAGGCTCAGCCACGGCTGAGATGATTTTTGCCTGGAATATTTCAATTCAGCCTCTCCTCTTGAGGCTTGCTTTGGCGAGTGCCAGGCTGCAAATGCAGCTTTTTCCACTCATATTTTTTGTAGCTTTAAAGGGGTAGACAAACACCCACGTTATGCTTGCTTCTCAGTGTAAGAAATTGAAGACCAGCTTCGCTGTTTGTTTGAATGCTGTGCAGAAAGGAGGTTAAAGGCAGCTCTGACATGGGAAATAGATGCTGCTCTTTCAAAATGAAGGAACTGCAGCTTCTGAAAATGTTTATATCAGCCAACAAATGCCCAGAAAGTTTATTAGAAGGTGCATTTGCTAACACCATTCCAGTTGGTGGAACAAGCAGCCATCTTGTCTTATTGTGTGAAGCCCTGCATCTGAAAAAGGAAGCTCTTTTGGTTTGCTAAGTATCTTTTATGCCAGAACTGGGTTTTATGCATATTTCACAGTGAATTTGGACAAATTGGATTGATGACTTAAGTTATTCACAGTATCACTGGCTGCTTTTTTTGCTAGACGTTATCTGTAGCAAATAATCTTTAAGAGGATGGTAAGTGCCCACAATATTCCCACAATGCTTATCCTCTTACAGTGTGGCTTATATATGTGCGTGTAAAAGTCAAACACATGTTTGCCTTCCTACTACAATCTTAGCTTTTAACACAGGCCCCCTTCTCTTTCAATTTGGTGGAATTAACATCAGCATTGCCAGACTAAAGCTTTGGAAGAATCACAATTACCCATCTTCAAAGCACACACATTCGCCACTTACAGAATTTGCCTCTGGGGCTTTTTACGGCCTGTTTACTTTTTTGAGTTCTCTGTGTTTCCACACAGAGATACTGAGACCCATACTTCCTATAGCTGAGGCGCATTGCTGTGTTTTTTTTGAATTGGAATAAAAGCCACATTTCTGCTGTACGCCCCAAAATATTTTTAAAGAGGGTCTAGCAATTCACCGCCTCCAGAAGAGTCTGTCTGTTTGTGTCACTGCATGAATTACTGGTCTGGGAGGTGGTGATTTTCTTGTTGGAAGGAAGCAATGTCTCAAGAACAGCAAGTCCTTGCACTGCCGCATTGGGCTTCCTTCAACAGTTGGTAACTCTACTGGATTGGAAGCAATTGAATGATCCCACTTTATCCAATGCAGAAAACCACATCTAGATAAGACTGATAAGACTGACATTATTATTATGATGATGGGAGGGAGGCAAAGCTCACGGTGGAAGTCATGTGGAGATGCAATTGGTATCCTTCTCTGGGTGGATACTTTGGGACCGCATCTTAATTAATTTTATGACAGCACACAATATTACTACTACTACTAAGAAGGAAGAACTCAAACATCTGGAGTGGATGGTAGCGGGGAGTACTGGGTTGCCTTAAGTTGTCGTGAGCCCTATATTGATTATCACAATGCACTGATTGTTTCCTCCTTTTGCATTTAAGATGCCCTGAGGTTTGTCGGTCTCATCACTATAGACGTTGCCTGGGTAAAACTCTTTACTGTGCCTCTTCATTTGCTCTGCTTGAGGAAGGGAAGCCAGCTGTGTTAATGCCTAGACTGCTTGAATGACAGGTAAAAAATGGCCACCCAATGGGTCGCTTGCAATAATGTTGTCTGAGAATGCTTAGACGTTTAATAAAAATTACCGGGTTTGTATTTTTCAGACCTTCGCTGTCTTTCCAGTGCAGAGTAACTGATAATTAGTTTTCTTTTGTAATGCATGAAAGGAGAGCCCTTAATTGCCAGCCTCTATGAGCAACTATCTCGTGGCCATTTATATAAGCTCATAAGCATGCGTTGGTTCATTTAATTTTGTTCAGATATTTTTTTTCTTGCTGCTCACTTTGGTCATATTCAAAAAAGGTGCATCTCACACCAAACATACTCAACTGCAGACAATCAAATTAAAATTGAATGTAAATAGCTGGTCGCAACTGACACATGGGGCTGCCCTTTCCTGTAGATGGGAGACATTTTTTGTGCCAGGTCAATTCAGACATACAATGAGTTATGCAAATCAGTATAATTTATGCAAATACAGTTTTTCTTCATGAACTTGCTCATTTTGCTTGCAGCAGTCTGGGTAAAGTCTTTGTGTTTTGCAGAAATCTTTTTTTGCAAGGAGTGAATTGGAAATGGAAAATAACCTGAGTAATGCAGGCAGAGTTGAATAAACTTAAACTGCTTTTAAAATCAAACTCGAGTCCTTGGCCTCTTCTAGATTGCAGTGGTCTTTGGCACGCATATCCAGCTTACAGCGAAGATACAACAAATGGCACACTTAGCAGAGGGTTGGTGGCATCCCTGGATGGGAATAAGGGGCCAACAGTGATAAGGGGCTGTGGTACAGGGATGTCTGAACTCATGTCTTGGCTTTTGTGTCTGTTCTGCACTGCTGTCTACCTGAAAGCTCAGTAGCCTAGAGACAAAGCCACACCACAGCAAGATATGTAGTACAGTGGTACCTTGGTTCTCAAACACCTTCGTGCTCAAACAACTTGGAACCCAAACATTGCAAACCCAGAAGTAAGTGTTGTGGTTTGCAAACGTTTTTCGGAAGCCGAACGTGCTCCGTTTTGAGTGTTACGCTTCCGATTTGAGTGCCACACTTCTGTTTTGAGTGTTACACTGAGGTCTGTCTGTTTTTGCTATTTATTTTGCATTTTTGTTATTGTGGCGCTCTTTTTTTGTTTTTGTGACTATGTGGAACCCAGTTCAGCTACTGATTGATTGATTGATTGATTGATTGATTGCATGACTGCAGTACATTGTTTATTGCTTTCATTTTATGGATCAGTGGTCTCGTTAGATAGTAAAATTCATGTTAAATTGCTGTTTTAGGGGTTGTTTTTAAAAGTCTGGAATGGATTAATCTGTTTTGCATTACTTTCTATGGGAAAGCACGCCTTGGTTTAGAAACGCTTTGGTTTTAGAATGGACTTCCAGAACGGATTAAGTTTGAGAACCAAGATACCACTGTACATATGTACTAAAGGTTGTGCATGAATCACAGAATTGTAGAGTTAGAAGGGACCCTATTCCAACCCCCTGCAGTGAGTGACGCTGCAGTTTCTCCTTGTGGCCTTGGCTTGTGACACCAGCCACCAAATGGTTGGTCACACAACCGTTGAGGTATGGGCAAGTGGCTTTGGTTTGGTGATGACTCTTGAGGTAAGCCTTCCCTGTTTCCATATGGAATTTGACATTTATCCATTAGAATACGGGTAATTTTAGGAAAGGGAAGCCTCATGTAATCATCACACTGAAATCCTACAGCAGTTAAGATACAAAGCATCCCATCCCATAGCTGCTGATCCCCAAAACAGCACAAATTCTGGGTCCGGAGAGTTACTGCATGCATCCGTACAGGCTGGTAAAAAGAGATGTTGTCAATATCATGAGACTAGAAGCAAGTCACATCTTGCTCACTCTCTCTCCATTATGAGGCAATGGGCCATGATGAAAGAACTCTCACATTTCAAGCTGGTAACAAGGGGCACACAAAGGGCCTCTTGTAATCTGAGAACGTACACCCATGGATGATACCTGCAATATTAGATGCTGAAAGATAGCATCTCTGAGATAATTCCCTATTCGTAAAGCTCTAAAGGCATGCCACTCCCTGGCCTATGAAGCATAGTACACACTGGGTGCTGTTGTCATGCTTGGCTCAGGGAGCCAGGCAAATAACTGCCTACCTTCTGTCCTCCTTGGGCAAGCGCCGTCTGAACGGCAGCTGCAGGATTTTGAAGCGTTAGAATGGCACATCTGGTTTCCAGAATCTGAGCAGCACGGGTGCACCATTGAAGTACGCAGGTGTACAGTTCCTGGGCCTGCCACACAAATGAGCCTTAACGTTGAATTTTCGATGCACAGAGGTTCACTTCTGCATAGGTTGCTTTTCGGTGTTGGCATTCAGGTTCTCGGGGCCTCCTGAGCATTAACTTGCCTCGAGCCTAAGCCAGAAAGTTTCTTCATAACATCAGAACAATGGCAGATCGGTAGGATAGATTTGATGTCCAGGACCGCTATAACATTAGAACATCTGAGCAATTAAGAGAAGCAAAGGGGAGACCATAGGTATCTGATACAAGAATCCAGGAGCAATAAGCACCACTGGCCCTTGATTCTTCTCATTTACAAATCTAATCCGTCTTTTGGACCTTTGCAATGACCATACAGTCTTTCCGTAAGTTAGGGTGTCTTATAAAGGGATCGCTAATTGTGATAGTCTTGCTTTAAATAGTCTTTCTTAAATGTTTGCCCTTGTAATCAATAATTGGCATAAGGTATAATTAAACCTGCTAACCTTTGCCTGGCAGCAAGACAGATCATGAAAAGTCAATGTCTTCCTTATCTTAGGGGATGTGAACAGACACGATACTACAGTTGCAGCCAAAGTTTTATTGCCCTTTCAGGCCATTGCAAAATGCTAGAGAAGCAAGACACTGATGGGCATGAAAGGAAAGGGTGTTGCAAGCTAATTTAGGAATATTGAAAATGGGTCACCATTTACAAGTGCTCCCCAAGGCCCAGTGAGATCCTTTGGAGGCAATTCATCCATAATGCGTCATGTGTTCAGTGTTAACATATGACCCTATTTTCCTTCAAAATGCAACTTTTCATTCCAGCCACTTGGGCTGGTCCAGTTAGGTGCAGACCAGCCAGTTGCCTTGCCTTGATGGATGGACTTATCAATCTCCTATTTGTCTCTGAGCACCAAACTGTTCACTCAGCCAGGATCCTGCTGGAATGTCTATAGTGATCCACACTCATTAGGAGCCCTGCAGGATCAGACCAAAGGTCCATCTTTTTCAGCATCCTGCTTCCTCTAGTGACCAGTTAGATGCCTTGGCAAAGTCCACAAACAGGGTGTAAAGACATGGACGCATTCTGTCATTTTCTTCCCCTGGACATCTTGGATTCACTGCCATGCCGTCACTTAAGCATGGAGGTTCCATACAAGCAACATAGTCATTGGTATGCCTAGCCAGCCACCACTTGTATGAATGAGGATTGTATTCAGGCCTCAGCCTAAATAGAGCAGAACTTGGAGTATCACTTCACACGCCATGTCTTGTGCCAGCCTTGCAGGAGATCTTATTGCTAGCAAAGTTAGAAAACAGCAACAACAACCTGGGATCTTATTAGGTTGCATGAGCTCATTCCCATAGGATTTAGATCGGTGTTGGATAAAACTTGCTGAGTTCATCCATTCCTGGAACGTAGGAGTTTGAAATTCAGTGCGCGGTTTCTCATTTTGGACTGATGCTTCTCTTATCAACACTTTTTATATTCAGAAGGTGTAAGTTCTTTTGTTTCAACTTCATATCATACAATTCTAGAGTTGGAAGGGACCCTATCTTTATGCATTAGTTAGTATTTCTATCAAGGCACTACAACTCAACGCCTACACCCATTATTACAACAGTGATTCTATTCTACATACAGTGGTGCCTCGGGTTACATACACTTCAAGTTATACATACACTTCAGGTTACAGACTCCGCTAACCCAGAAATAGTGCTTCAGGTTAAGAACTTTGCTTCAGGATTAGGACAGAAATCGTGCTCCGGCCGCGCGGCAGCAGCAGGAGGCCCCATTAGCTAAAGTGGTGCTTCAGGTTAAGAACAGTTTCAGGTTAAGTACGGACCTCCGGAGCAAATTAAGTACTTAACCCGAGGTACCACTGTATTTAAGTAATCTAGCCATTGGTATCTTGGTTGCCACTATTAGATTTCTCTGTTTTTAAATCATTGCCGCCAATAGTTGCAACAAGTCCAGTTACTATTATGGAACAGTAGTAGAATTGTGCATGACTGAATAATCATGCTTCTAGTTCTGGGGACACTTGATTCCTGCTTTCGACAAGCAACCTGCAGCGCTGCATGGCAAGCTGATTTTGAAACCGAAGGAACTTCAAAAGTGGCTTGTGATGTGGCCTGGAGGTCTGCTTTTGAGAAGGAGCAGCCTTAACCTGTAGCTCTTTAGATCCTGAACACAGAACATGACAATTTCCCTGACATATCCTGAATACTGTAGCTGCAAGCCGTTTCTGTGCAGAATTTGGCGAAATATCCTGGAAAATCTATACGTATGGCATATGGCAGTGTCGGTTTTGCCAATTTGCCAGTCATCCTCAGAAAAAGCTCAATTTTGGGGGGGGGGGGGGAAAGGTCAACAACTTTGGCCTCAAAGAAGCTCAAAGCTCAACAATTTTCCTTTCTGGATTTTCACTTTTTGAAAAAAGGCAACCCTACCCGTGCATAACCAGGTTTGCGTTTTGCAGGTGATTTAAAAAGCAAGCACATAATTCGGCATCATTTCTTGTTACAGGAGCAGATTTTTATTTTTAATACAAAACAATTCGCAGTGCCAGTTTCTGTTGGAAATTAGGTCAGAGTCGCAGGTTTCTTGAACTGCTACAGCCCTGTGATAAGCTCCACACTTGAATAACAGAAGCTGAAATATTTGTCCACAAGGAACCGCATTCACATCCCAGTGAAGTCTCCCTTTTGCCATTCATTTACTCCCGTTTAATGTGATTGCCTGTTTGGTTTGCATGTGAGCTGGGTTTCCTTACCAATACATCCCCACCAGCAATGCATGCAGCTTTGATGTACGGCTAGATCAATGTGGAATAATTGAGATAATAAGAAATGGGCATCTCCAGTCGAGGACTCTTCTTCCCCAGTTTCTAAAAGTCTCTAACAGTTGTGCAATAGCACATTTCACTTGTTGGGCTCACATCTTGTTTGTTGTGGAGGAGACTTGTATCAAGCACAACTGCCAAACAAGGTCAGCAACAACAGAACATATCTGCATAAAGTATCGTGAGTGTTTATGACTAAGGAATCTGCCAGATCATTTCATATCTTTGAAATTATCGCCGTGGAGATTATAGGCCTGAACTTGCATGTTTGTGCATCTTTCTGACCTAGAAAGATAAACCATTGTTGTCATTTGTGATCCATTGATAATGGATGGAGATAGCAGACCCAGCATTGAATTTCCAGAAAATGGTGGAGGTGGGGGGAACTGAAACATGGGAATGTTATCATCATTTCACCTTCTTGCAGTCCACAGTGCTTTCTTTGATAAATGTATCTTGGTGCATAATAATCTGTGCAGAATTAGATGCAAATTGGACAGAGCAGAGAATCATTAAATAACTCAGATTGGCATTAGCTCACTGTAAACAGTGTTGACGTCCTAAATTAGGGCTGTACGCTTTAGTCACTGAAAGCTATCATTTGTTCTTTAAGCAAATCATATAGTTAACTGAACAGCTAGATTTGAGCTCTCAAACCTACCCTTTCTGGACAACCCCGGTGTATGCTACTTGCAGTAGTACATCCTGGAAGTCTGCTCAACGATACTGATATATAATTAACAACCAGTGCAACTGTGACTCTTACCAGGACTAGCAAGTGTTATGTTTGATGGTTGCTTACTCCCAGATATCAACTTACAAATTGCTTTTTTAAATTGCTTTTTTTAAAAGGCCGTCTCTGCCCTCAGGCTTAGCCTTTAAAAAATGACACAAAAGGAAGATGGATCGAGAGGGTGGAGGAAATAAGCATATTTGAGTACTTGTTCTCAGTTACAGAAACTTTTTTGAACTGTAATTGGGCACAGCCTGATCAGGAGAACTGAAAAGCCACAGCCCTTTCAGCTGCCTCAAGCTGCTTGACAAAGTTGAGGAAATCTGTTGAATCCACCTTGCTGAAGCTTAGTAGGTCTGGGTCCTTGAATTCCTTGATTGAAGGAAATACAAATGTACTAAATAATATAATAAAAGTCGCTTAACATGGAGCCATAGATTCCATGGAGCTATGTGTTCACAGTAAGAGCATAATTTGGGGACATGTCCATAAGCGTGGTGGAAGAGGCCTTGATTTGAGTTCATTTACATTCCTAGAACAGGGAAAGGAGATATAGCTCACCTCAAGGTGCCCTGATGGTCTGTAACTTGCAGGGTGGGTTTGATTTAAATCACTAGTCACTAAGGCTTGATTTAAATCATTTTTTTAAATAGAAAGTCTCATTCTTACTGGTATAATCTTAATATTTACAGCCAGATGAAGGTTTCATTTTTGGAATAAGAATTTTTCAGAGTAGTTTTTACAGATATATCAAAAATTACTGATTTGGTTGTACTATTAGAAATACATAGATAATTATGAAATTATTCTGAGGTTTAATAAGTTAACTGTTTATATTTGGACAACTTTTCTGCTGTACTTTATTGGAAGGAGAAAAATAATCATTTCCTTAATAACAATTCAAACAATTTTATTTAACTAAAACAATAACATTACAGCATACATATCCATGTTTCTTAACTGATGTGGTTAAGCACATTTTTTAATAAGAAACTTAGACTGAGTTTTAGCACACATGAAAAACTTAAAACAAATCCTTATTTCCTGATGAATAGTCTTTGGACTATAGTGTAACTTACATAGAAAACTATCTATAGAAAGATTTTTCCTCCAAAAGCATTTTATTTTAAAAATCCAATTTAAATTTTTAAAATCCATTTTTTTTAAAAAAGCAATCATTGATATTTATCCACCCTGGTGACTTGCCTTTTGTCCTTCTTTGCAGATTAATCAGCCACTCGATGGGGATTACCAGTGGAGCAGCTGTTTGTGTCACCTTTCCACCTTTGTGTAGCAAGCAAAACAACTTCAGCACCTCTTCAATAATAATTATGAAACTGGTATTAACTGAATGGCAATTATGGATTTTTAACTCTAGTTCACAGTAAGCAAAACGCAAGCCCAGCAAGCCATATGTTGAATTTCCTACCAAATATAGCTTTTTGTTCCTCTGAATGTTTCAACGCCTACACACGAAATTGATGACGGAACCTGTTCGTAACGAGGGGAATTACAAATATTGCTTGCACGAGGAACGTGACACCATCAGAAAGAGAAGACACCGTAACTTATCGTTAGAGATGATAGTGTTATTTATATAGGTAGAATAAATAAATAAATATATAAATAAATATATATATTATATATATTTTTATGGTAATGAAAATGGCTCCCCAGAATGCTGACTCGGAATCTATGCAAGTTGAAGAGCTACCCGTGGTTCAGGTTCAGAAACCGGAAAACGAGAATGAGAGTAAGGAAGAGACCATAAGCGAAGGATCCATAGATCGGATACCTGTACGTCTCTGGGTGATGCACGGGGCCGTGATGTTTGGCAGAGAATTCTGTTACGCCATGGAGACAGCTTTGGTGACGCCAGTATTGTTACAAATAGGTAAGTGGAATTGCATAACCATGCACAGTCGCCATCGTTCATCCTCTGTTATCCATGAAACAGCAGAACAAGTTGGCCCTCTGGAGGTGTTTTCTGATTTTGCTGTACCCACCTCTTCAAGAGGCAAGCAGGGACCACAGCATACAAGCCACTGGTTCTCAGTAAGCCACTCCTATGGTGGAACCCTCAATCCACATCAGTGTAACCAGGAGCCATGCGGGTTGAGTGGATCATGTGATTACTTTCCATACCAGTGTCTTGGCTCCAAGGGAGGTGCCATGCTGACGTGAGAAGTAACGCCATCATCCAGCCACCCAACCCCGTTTGCCTCCCTGTGTGCCAGCCAATCGCCATGCTGCAGTATCATTCAACAAAACCCTAGTTCAGGAAGGAATATCCAAACCCTACAAGGCTGGTGTGGTGGGGTTGGGAGTTAGAAGGAACTGTAACTTTCACTGAATCAGGCAGATTTGTAGGTATCATATGAAGAAATTAACTGATCCCATTATTGGTGTGTTTGTGTTTCCTAAGAGTTACCTTAATTTTTCTGCCTTCTGTGCCTTCCCTTTTCCTTTTTCTACTTTCATCCTTAGAGGACTTGCAAAACTTTTAGCTTCTGGCAGGGTGGATTTGATTTAAATCAAATCAATTTGAATCATGATTTACTAGTCAGTAAAACTTGATTTAAATAAAAAAAAATTACAGAAAGACTCATTCTTGCTGGTATAATCTTAATATTTACAACAAGATGAAGGTTTCATTTTTGGAATAATAAATTTTCAGAGTAGGTTTTACAGTTATATCAAAAATTACTGATTTGGTTATACTATTAGAAATAGACAGATAATTATGAAATTATTATGAGGTTTAATAAGTTAACTGTTTATATTTGGACAACTTTGCTGCTGTACTTAATTGGAAGGAGAAAAACAATCATTTCCTTAATAACAATTTAAACAATTTATTTAACTAAAACAATAACATTATAGCATATGTATACATGTTTGTTAACTGATGTGGTTAAAACATTTTTAAAACAAAAACAAAAAACTTAGGCTGAGTTTTAGCACACATGAAAAACTTAAATCCTTATTTCCTGATGAATAGCCTTTGGACTATAGTGTAAATTAAATAGAAAGTTATCTTTAGAAAGATTTTTCCTTCAAAAGCATTTTATATTAAAAATCCATTTTTTAAAAAAAAATCCAATTTAAATTTTTAAAATCTGATTTTTATTTTTATTTTTTTGATTTTTTTTATCCATCCTGGCTTCTAGTCAAGGCCGATATCACCAGCTGCACATCCAACTACCTGGCAATAGATACTTCTACATGTTGCACTCTACTAAATTACCCCCCCCCAACTTTCCAATACAGCCATCCCATTATTGCCTCCCCAGGTGTGCAATTGGCAATCCTAAAGGATTTAGCTCTCTGCTGTATTTATGGGTAGGCTAGTTTGTTCCAGGCTTCAAAGGAAAGCCCAGCGTTCATTTAGTGATGTTGAAAGCAACTTTGAAGTGGCGGTGACACAAGCGCTGGTCTGGGCTACCTTGAGAATGCCTCGCTCAGAGAAGGACCCCCCACCTTCCTAAGAGTAAGAGGGGAAGTGGCTACTGCCATGTTAGCAGCAGCAGAACAGCTTCCTTAGCCAAAGGAGAGGGAAGCAAAGAGCCAAGGCAGTAACATTCACCTTGGGTGACACAGTGCTTTGTGTTAACCTGTGCGTGGCTCCCTAGGTTTGAGGACTGGGGCGATCACCCCCATTCACCGTACCCTAAGGACACTACTGGACACACGTTTTTGTACTCATTCCTGGCCTTTTGTGGTTCTAGGCCTTACCTGTAGCACCCTATTGATCTGTTCTGCTTTTTCTGAGGTTCTCCCCAGGTCATTGCAAATCCCTGTTCAAAAGCCAACTATTTCAGCTATCCTTGAAAGGTCAACTGACTCACCACACTTTTAAAGTCGCAATAATGTTGATCTTCCAGTACCAAAGTCCATCTTCTTTCAAAGTTGACTCAGCTCTTGAAGTTCACATTACTCAGCAAATAATACATATTCCAATGTCTCCTGATGTTTTGATGGTTTGAAGCTGTTGCTTGTGCAATAGGAGTATAGTAATGCTTAGAATTAGATTTCAGTTTAGATGTTCCAAAGCCTAATCTAAATCCTCGTCTTTTTTTAAGAAGCCCAGGTAGAACAGTAGATCATGTTTCATTCACATATGCAGAAGACAAGGGGCCAAGTTGCTGTGTGGCCTTGGGGAAGCCACATTTCTTACCTAACACTACCTCACCCGGTGTTGCTTAGAAGCACCAATTTAGTTTTGAACCCTCAGGATAGGGTGGGAAATCTGAACAAATTAACTTATTTACATTGACTCAAGGATGTCTACACTACACATTTGTAATGTTAACTTTAGAGTGTGACATACATAGCATACGGGATAGTGATTATCAAAAGGGATTGATCTAAGTTGGAAGTGAGTGATGTGCAGCTCTCAGTAGTGTTGAAGACTTTATCTTAAGATGCAAGACACGTCTCTCAATTAACTGCAGATCTCTCAGACAGATTATCCACAATGAGTGAACGTTCAGCGACTTTTGCTGCATAATTTAAAGCCATCAAAAATATATATATATGGAGGCATACAGTAGAAGGCAGAGCTTTGTTTGCGAAATGTTGCCTACAAATAAGGAGCTTAGCTTGCGAAATATTGGCCTAGAAAGGTGTTTGTGCCATAACACTTCTCGGAAATCTTTTACGCCTCTCTTTGACCCCGGTGAGCTTAAACTGGCCGTAACTTGTCCAAAGACCTGTGGGTTGGATGGCTCAGAAGGAACCTCAGTTTAGACGCAGGGCAGGCTTTTACACTCACCCAAGGGTGTGCCAGTGTTCTGGCGTTAGCAACTTAAAACTGCCCCTTGAGAATTGTGTGGGGCAGTTGTGCCTCCTGGGGAGAGGCCGAGGTGAGCTGCCACATACTCTTTTGGGTGGGGACTGAGAAAAGAGGGTGGTGTAACATCGGATAATTTTAACCTTTCGAATCGTAGGTTAGTTTCTATGCATCCCTCTCTGTTCTCTATCCAGGCAAGCACAAAGCCTTGTTGGAGGTCAAGGACACAGTCTAGACAGGCAAAAACACTCAAGGAGGGTGTAGTGTTAAGGGGTGTGGCCAGGGAAGATTCAGAGGGCCAGAACAGAGAGGCCTGGGTAGCCGTATTGGGGCCCTGGACGTGTGGTTCCCCATCACAGTGGAGAGTGAGGGTGCGTAAAATGCACTGAACCGGTCTTTGCTACATCTCCCTTATCGAGGAACAGAAACCTTTATCTCAGCAAGTACCAGTAGGTAAATGCCAGGAGTGAGCTAGCGGGAAATCACAGTTAGTGGAGTTAACTCTTTATTAGAAAAAACAACAACAACAGGATCTGCACAGGAGTATCCAGACTAATGAGCACAGCAACTAATCTCCAGCAGGTCTTGCCCCTGCAAAGCAGTTGCGGAGACTGGAGATCCCCACCTCCCCACAGCTGCCTAAGACCCCTCTTCTCCAGGGTTTACCCCAAGCAATCTGAGCCTGCACTTTCTCCACCCTCTTCAGACCTCTCCTGGTTCTTCAGGGAGGAAGAGAGCTTGTCCCCGCAGGAGGGGGAGACTCCCTGGCTTCTTCACCAGCTGCACTCATCCTTGCCTCTTGGCCTCCCTCTTCTGCTTCAGCTTCTGCCACCGATTCTGGACATCTCTGCCGTAGACTCCTCTCACTCACTAAGCCCTGTTACCTCTTCAGCTTCAAACACCTCCTCTTCCCGGACTTTGAGCCTTCTTCCCTTGGGAGTTCCCCAGCCAGCTCCTCCCCGCATTCCTCTGCACCCAGCCAGTCCAGGACAGTAGAGAAGTTCTTTTATAGGCAGAGGAACTCTTTAAGATGTACAGGACTCATGCCATAATAGGTTCTGATATTTTTAAACAGTGCCGTATTAAATGCCTGATTACCGTTTAGTCCTGCCATCACCTTCGGAAAAGGATGGGATAAAATGTAGATATTAGAAGAGATGATAAGTGGGTCACAGTATTGCCTTCCTCTCTGTGACCTCAGCGGTGATGCTCTCTACAGCCAGTGATCTGCCTCCAGGCTGTCCTCTAAAAAACAGGACCAAGCTATGCAAATTTAGGGGGAGCGATCTCATTCATGTGCTTGTGTCTAGAAACTCATACTATGCCTTGTTTTCAACATTGAAACCTAGACTCGTGCCCTCATTGCTTTGAGGTGTGTTGGCAAGTTGGTTTCAGCAGCCCCTCATTTACATAACTCTGCATATTAAGTAGAGTGCTCCCGACATTTATATGTGCAATTTCTGAAGACTTAAAGGAGGGCACTTCCGCTGACATTCCATTGCAAAATGCCTCCGCTGTGCTTGTGGTGGGGTTTTTTTGTGACTTTCGAAATTGACTTGCAGTAACCCTGGTACCAGTTGCATGGAAGAGAACCTTTGACCTCCGCTAGATAGGTCTCTCCAAACAAACCCCGCATTGTGGCCATTCATTTGCATGTGTTCTTGTTCTAAACTGCGTTACCCTTCGAACAGTGCTTTCTCCAGATTAGTAGCTGGAAGCATGTAACCATATCCGGGGCCTTAGTGGCATAGCAACAAGGGGAAAGTAAGCCCTATTTTATCAGGCAGGTTTCTCTTGCATGACTTGCTTTTCTGTTGCTCTAACCCCCCCCCCCCAACCCCAGGCTAGCAACTTAAGAAGTAGGGGGGATGAATAGGAGTCGTTTAGTGAATATGGTACACTGGGAATCATCGGTTCTCTGGCGTTAAAGGTGGGCATCCCGAGGAGGTGCAGATAATTTCTGGGAGAAGCAACAGCTCTTTCCACATCTGGCTGCAGTCTGAGAAGGAGTTTGGGGAATACACAGTGGGTGCCTCTCCCGTGGTTGAGTGAGGATGTTGTGATCTACCATGCAGGGTAACACAACTCCCTTTCCCCATTGAAGTCTAGCTTTCTTGCATGCTAGCTAGAGTTAATTATTTTGTGAGTTATTAGCCTTCTTTTTTCCTTTTCTTTTTTGCAAGGTCAAAAAAGTAAGTCTGTAAAATGCACAAGAGTCCAGTTCTTGTTCCTGGCCTCCTTTGAGTCTTCAAGAACCAGCTAAATCTAAGCTGATTTTCTACCTTTAGGTGTGAAATTTAAGTTTGCTCTCTGCCAAACACGAACGTCCCTCTTGCTTGGTCGTTCTTTCTCTTGGGCTTTGAAATGGTGCAAACCATATTGGCCGCAAGTGGTTCATGATGATTTAAGTCAGTTGCAGTTTTGTTCTGTTTCCCAATTTGGAAAGCTGGCTGCTAAAGCCAAACGAGTTCTTTAGCAAAGAGAAATCAAGACATGCGCCTTACCACACAAAAAAAGAGCTTGATGTAGCTTCAAACTGGATTTCTGCATTGTCAGGGGATTAAGCTGACTCAAGAATGCTCCACTTGAAATCCTCAGATATTAGAGGATGACTTGAAACTGCGGCTCTGTTGTAAACCTGATTTCTTGCCTTTTGTCTTGCCAACTTCAAATTAAGCATGTCCAGAAGGACCGTTCCCATTTGGGATTCTGTGGCTTTCAGGTAAAAAATGCAGGTAAAGGGAAACAACACCCCTGCTTAATCTTCTTGATGTTGGAAGAAGCAAACAGTTTTATAACAACCCTTGATGGGCTGGGAAAGAGGCTTTCTTCTTTTATATCCCATCGCTGTGTATCTGAGCCACCTTGCGTTTAAAACTCTCACAGTATCCTTCTGTGTTCTTGCAGAATTCTCAAATTTCAGCCAGTTTGGAATCATCAGGTTTGACTTGCTGGGATGGGGGAGTAAAACCTCCCGCTGTGTCCCTGTGCCCCTCCCCACTCCAAATAAAAATCTGTTTCTAAAATATAATTGCAGGGGGGTTGTAGAAGGAGCAGCCAGTAGACTAACGTAGCAGTATTAATTTTATCACTTCATTCAACCGGCATAGCTGAATTAACTTTATTAAGTGCTGCAAGCACAATGGCCCTTTTAATACCCTAAGCACTTATGGTCCTCCATTCATGAATGAGCTTCAGTCATCAACCGGCGTACTATATAGAGGCTTCCCAGAGCTGATTGTCTAAATAGCCAACCCCACACAGAATGAAGCCCCCACAGTTTTGCACTAAATAGGATTTGTGTATCTCGCTCACCGCTGCAGGAAGCTCCAGCTTCAATAAAGGCCACATGCCTCGGAAGTGGCAAACACTTTTATTTTTAATGAAGCTTAGTAGGCAATTATTTCAGAACACCCTCCCGGTTCCAGGTTTTCAATGAACGGTGGGGCTAAAGGGATTGATGGATCTATTGGAATGCTTGGAACGTATGAATCAGCAACTGCGTTCCCTTTTGACGACAAAAGAATTGGGGTGAGTGGTTCTTTTTGTGTGTATTTGGAGTGCAGTAAAACCACCTCCGAATACCCCAACTGTGGGTCGCAAACACCCGGGGGGGTTAGTCGCTGTGCATTCATCGCCATTGTTGGTTAGGTAATCGTAGGCCTTTTTGAAAGGATAACAAAGATTGTGTTTTGTTTTGTAATGGGTTGGTAAATACGGCGACTCAGTGGTTTCCTTTGCATAGTCTGCAGGAAACTTAAACCTTCCCTTTTGCTGTTTTGGTGTGTACTGCAACACCCACCCACCCCAAATTGACTCATCTATAGAGAGAAACAAACCCCTCCCACAACTACCACAAGCCACCGGCATATGGCAAAGGATTCTGGGGCACATTCTTCATGGAAGGTGCTGGCCAGCCCATCATGCCTCCCCATTGGCTTGAGTGTGTTGCTGGTACAGTGCTTCTAAATTCACCTGCATCCTGTGGGGAGCTTGAGATTCAGGCAAAGCTGTTCTACTGATACTGATCATCTCATGGTGCTCAACTCCCAGTAAGCTGCTTAAAAAACCCAGGGTTCCATTAGGCCTATTTGAAACCCCCACAGTACGTCGAATAGAAATAAAACCCCATAGCAAATCAAAACAATATTTGAATTGCAAACAAAGACCTTCCCAGGCAGAACGTTGATGAACTTGGGACCCAGAAGTTTTAGCATGGAGCATGTGAACTTGCAGAAAACTTGCAGTTTAATGGGAAGAGAAGGGAGCAGGATCCAGTCCTTGCTGCAACAAGTATACAGTGGTACCTCGCAAGACGAATGCCTCGCAAGATGGAAAACTCGCAAAACAAAAGGGTTTTTGGTTAATACAGTTGCGACTTGACTTTGAGGAGCAACTCATAGCACGCGGTGTGGTAGCCTTTTTTGAGGTTTTTGAAGACTTTGGTGATTTTTGAAGCTTTTCCAAAACTTTTCCGACACCGTGCTTTGCAAGACGAAAAAAACCGCAAGACGAGAAAACTCGCGGAACGAATTAATTTCGTCTTGCGAGGCACCACTGTATCGAAGTGAGCTTAATTGCTTTAAAGTCTTTCTAATATGAAAAATGGGTGCTGCTTATAGCGTTTGCGCGCTCCTGGCATCTCCCCATCCTGAAATTCTGGAGAGCCACTGTCAGTCACTGGCCTATGTGGGTCAGCAGCCTAATGTGGTCTAAGACAACTCCCTATGTTCCCATTACTGCACACATTTTTGCTTTTGTGTTTTCCTATTCCCACATCTCCAAAAATTGGGGATCCGGATCGGGGGTTTTTGGGGGGGGACACTTTCATGACATTCATCTTGACGCATTTTTGGAGCAGCATAAATTGCACCCTAACGCTTCTTAATACTGATTTCCATTTCTCTGTTTCTCTTCTGCAACAGCAATACGTTAGAACTCTTTAATTTGGAACAAATGCAAACGGTTGTAGAACACGTGACATAAAATAGTATTCCTGCTTTTCCAGAAAATTGCAGCAGCTCACACTACTGTGCGCTCGCTCTCTCTCGCTCGCTCTCTCTCTCTCTCTCTCTCTCTCTCTCTCTCTTATTCATTGTTTCATGGCACTCTATAGCATCCAGCTGCTTTTTTCATTGATTCTAGCAAAGTGCTCTCTAACCACATGTTTACAAAGGACGTCGTTTCTGTGTCTGATGTCATCAGTTTTGTTGTGCTGCCCCCACCATTTCGAAAAAAAAAATTTGATTTCTCTTTCCTCTGCCAATAAACCACACACTGCTTCTTGGATCAGTTTGGAAACCATTTTCATTAACCTCTGCCAATTCTTTTGGACAACTTATTCATTGAGTCCCTCCTTCTCAGCCCGCAGCATTTCCTGGCATTCCATCCCAGGGATAATGAGATCATTGCCCATATCTTGTATAAACAAGGTCCCCCCCCAACTTTGAAATTGGTAATTCTCATTTTAGAAAGACAGCTAAGGTTTAGTCAAGACAGATTAATATTATTGTCCTCCTGGTAGCAGGCCAGGGATTTTAACCCTGATAGTGACGCTGTGAGGTCCCATGTTTATAAGAGCATCCAGAAAATAATCTGTTTTAAATACATATAGCCAGGTTTGCCCCTAAAGCTTCCCCATCAAACCGTACTGTGTGCATTACCCTTATGGGAACTTGTTCCTAAATTGGTCAATATCCTTGGAATTGCAAAAAAGCTCTATTGAGCTTTGGGTAAACTGGGCTGCTGCATGTCTGTGGGCGACACATGTCATTAGAACTGATGTCTAATCTTTCAGCAAGAGCACTGCAGGCTTACATAACGCATGTGGCGCATAAGTGGGGGCCTCATGTGCAGCCTGTACGCTTTAATTACAGCCCTCCAGAGAGGGGGAGGGGAAGATTATAGCGCAGCGAAAAAACCGAGCCCTTGCAGGCTGGCATCTCTCGTGGAGTATTTGGGAAGTTCCGTGTGATCTTCCAAGTGCCTTGCTGACCATTTGGGAGTGGCTCCATCCTTTTTCAGGGCAGGCCCAACTGTACCCACAGTATTTCCTTCCGTGCGTGGGGTGCTGGTGGTTATTAGCTGCCTCCTGTACCTGTCACTCCAGCTGACTGACAGCAGTCCATTGCAAAGTCAGCAAATTTCTCAGTGTGAGCATGTACGCTGGGGCTGGGGAAGGGGGTGGTTTACAGGTGTTCACTAAGAGTCTCAAGGAATCAGCATTGGAGATGGAAAAGGGGGAGTTGGGGCTTTGACACACACCTGCCGGCATCCCCTCCAACATTTTCTCGCCCAGATCCATCTCTGCTTTCAAATGCACGGCCTTTTTGTTTTTTAGTGAATTGAGATGAGCTTATCGCAAGGCCAGTGGTTGGGAATCGCAGAGGGAGGAGAGAGGGCGGTTGCACTCATTGTTCTGCTTGTGTCCTTCTCATGAACATCTGGTTGGCCACTTATGAGTGCTGGCTAAGTTTGGCCTCTGGCCTGATCACAGCAACCAGGTTCTTACGATTGTAATTCGCATGCAACAAAATTCAGATTCCGTGGACTCAAAAAGCAGTACTGCGGTGAACCTCTCTGAAACGAAACAGGGTTTTATTCCTTCCTTCCTTTTTTAAAAGCAGATTTATACTTGTTTTCTGTCAAAGAATCATAGGATTGGAAGGGACCCCAAAGGCCATCTCCTCCAACCCACTGCAATGCAAGAATCTTCTGCTCTACATGGGACTCAGACCCGCGATCCTGAGATTAAGAATCTCATGCTCCATTGACTGAGCTGTCGTTTGTGGTCCGTTGTGCACCTACAAGCCACAAAGTGAGGTGAACACCCGGTGTAGATGCCTGCTCAGTTTCATCCCACTGGCTGCCACCCAAATTCTTCTCCCCCCCCCCCCCCAGCAAGTCACAAGCCCTGGGAACTTGCTTTTTAAAAGAAAAGCAGCTGTCGGATTCCGCTCTTGGGCAGTGTTGCTGGTGACATGTATGCCCTGCTCCTCTGCTGCCTTTTTGGCATGTACGTTCTGCCCCGACGGCTTTTTGTTGCACAGCCAATAAAACGTGACAACGTTTGATGAATACAGCAGCATAACACTAATTTAGCTCAGTGTAGCACAGAAGGATGGCAGGGAACGCAGTGACAGGGTAGGATTCAGTGAAGAATGAGCAGATGGGATAATTGGCAGCAGGAAAGAGGGCTCTCAATTACCTCCACTGGCCTGTTGACCCCTTTCAATAGGGCCCAGTTGCTCCCTCGTCAGACTCCTTTTGGTTCTGTTGCATCAGTAATTCTGCAAGCGCTTGATCTGGTCAAAGGCAAAACAGCTTAACCAAGGAGGGATGCTCAAGTACATAAATTACTTGCAAACCAGTGGTGCTTCAGTACTGGGAGCCTCACTTCAATTTATTCAAGGCCATTTACTTCAAAGGGAGGATGTTTCATGCTTGCTCTGATCTCGTGGAGCAGCTTCGTCCAAATAATATGTTTGGGGAATGCCAAAAAGCAGGCAGCGTCCTCTTTGTATTCTGCAGAAATACTTCTTTCCTGCTTTTAAAAGCACATTGTTTTGGTCTTAGATCTCCCTGCGCCAAAGACTTAAAGCTCTCTCTTTTTTTGTTTGTCCAGTAAAATATTTCAATTGTTCCTTCATTGACAGAATCATAGAGCTGTAGATTTGGAAAGGCAATGCAGGAATCGCAACTTACTCTGAATATGTGCTATTGATAAACAACGGCACAGGGTTTCTTCCAGAGAATCAAGGAACTTTGCTGCTGAGAATTGTAGTTCTGTGAGGGATGAACTATAGCTCCCAGGACTTTTAAATGCATGGTATAGATAGGACCAGGGATGCGAGTGGCGCTGTGGGTTAAACCACAGAGTCTAGGACTTGCTGATCAGAAGGTTGGCAGTTCGAATCCCCGCAGCAGGGTGAGCTTCTGTTGCTCGGTCCCTGCTACTGCCAACCTAGCAGTTCAAAAGCACGTCCAAGTGCAAGTAGATAAATAGGTACCGCTCTGGCGGGAAGGTAAACGGCATTTTCATGCGTTGCTCTGGTTCGCCAGAAGCGGCTTAGTCATGCTGGCCACATGACCTGGAAGCTGTATGCCGGCTCCCTCGGCCAATAAAGCGAGATGAGCGCCGCAACCCCAGAGTCGGTCACGACTGGACCTAACGGTCAGGGGTCCCTTTACCTTTATAGATAGGACCTTAGTTTTTTCTGCCTGCTGGGAGGTATTTTAAAAATAATAATAATAATAATAAAAACTACTATTCCCATGCACCCTAACGGGAAGCAGTGCATTAAGAATGAGGCCTTTAAATCTTTTCTTGACAATAGAGAGCCACTCCCTGCTCCTGATCTCCAACCTTGCACTTCAAAATCAGTAGGGCTGCTTGAGGGGGAGTTGACTGCTGGACGCCAAACTCACTACAAGCTGCGTTCTGGACATGGCTTGTATTTTTAGAATTTCAAAACCAGGAGAGTTTGGTTTCTGCCCTCCTGTAGTTCCAAAATTGGAGCCCCATCCACACTCCAGCTGCTTCTCCACAATCTCCTGAAAAGTAAAGGGTTGGGTGGATCTCATTCTAGAGGTACTGCTTCTGTAATGGTACAGGTTTGTGTGTGAGTAACTCAGGAAGTGGGTGCACAGACGTCATTCCTTCCCAGAAAACTGCTCCCCAAAAAACCGCTTCCGTGGACACAACCTTGATAACTGGATAAAAAATGGCCAGCGTTGGCAGCCTCCATGGCACCTGGCATATAAGGAGGTGTCCTTGTTTCCATGTGGCCGATTTGAAACCTGAAAAGACAGAAATCTCATGCACGTTGCATCATTGAGCAAACCTGAGCGAGCAGCAGGTGGCAGTTTCCACTGCCAAGCCTGTTTGGAGCAGTAGTCATTCGCCCGAATGGTCACGCAGGGTGTGTTCCCGTTGCTGGGTCACCCTCCAGATATAAAAGATACGCCCTGAGCCAACTCTGCAATTAACCTGTGCAACTGAAACACTCCCCTTGCCAGAGCTGAGCAGCTTTCCACTAGAAGAGGGCGCAGTCGGATGATAAGGAGATGGCTTCCTTTGATTAGGATCTCGGTGGATAGGAGCCAAACCACCTTTCCTCCCCCTCTGCTCGTGAGCATTGTGTCAGTTTGCGCGCCTGTGCAGAGTTCGTTCCTCTTGTACGTGCTCACACGGGGGCAGTGGGAAAATAGGGCAAGTAGCCCATGCCCCTTGAGACCCTGCAAAGTGTTGGTTCAAAGTGTTGGTGCTGACCTTGAAAGCCCTAAACGGCCTCAACCCAGTATACCTGAAGGAGCGTCTTCACCCCCATCATTCAGCCCGGACACTGAGGTCCAGCGCTGAGGGCCCAGAAGTGAGGTTGCAGGGAACCAGGCAGAGGGCCTTCTCAGTAGTGGCACCCGCCCTGTGGAACGCCCTCCCACAGATGTCAAAGAGAACAACAACTACCAGACTTTTAGAAGACATCTGAAGGCAGCCCTGTTTAGGGAAGCTTTTAATGTTTGATGTATTACGGTAATTTAATATTTTGTTGGAAGCTACCCAGAGTGGCTGGGGAAGCCCAGCCAGATGGGCAGGGTATAAATAGTAAGTTGTTGTTGTTGTTATAATAGTAAGTTGTTGTTGTTGTTGTTGTTGTTGTTGTTGTATGCAGCTGTCCCATGCGGGTATCGAACCTGCAACCTGGGCGTTATCAGCACCATGCTCTGACCAACTGAGCTACCCAGGAGAAGGAGCTTCCTTGTGATAGCTGAAAACTTTGGCCTTAAAAGTTGGACTCTCTGCAGTCCTTTTTCTCCATCCAAAATGGTTCACATGCAAGATCCCTGTCCCTGCAGACCTTATCACGAAAGGAATATTGAATGTGCCGTGTGACCGAGACTCGTGCTAGCAATTTCCTGTGAACAGCCAACTCCTCAGGTCCCACTATTGTTGCCCAGTCAGTCATTGGGGCTTTTTTTGTGTGCTATGTGTCTGGAGGGGGGGGGGGAAAGAACAAACAAAACTTATTTACTGTAGGCCCGTGTCCTGTTTGTTTGTAGCTGGCTGGGAAATGCCATTTTTCCAGAGTCTCAGCAGGAGCAGCGGCCGCAAACAAACGAAATTGTTTTCTATTGATTTGTGTGGGCACGTCACAGCTTTGTGCAAAAGGCAGGTTGTTCTTTTTTAAAAAAAAAGTTACAATCAACTTTGCTTATCAGGGGTGCTTTTGGGTGACCTGTTTTCCCAGACTGTTTTGCAGCACTTCCTCAATAACTTCCAGGAGAGGTGTATCATTCCCACCCGCTCTGGAGGTCAACAGAAACAAATGGGGGGGGGGGAGATAAGCATTACTCAGCCTAGTCCCTGATAATGAGCGCTGCCAAATCATTTCGTTCCCTTTTCCAGTTATCCCATTGGAATAAGCATGGCAGAAGAGAGCTGCTGGGATGCGGTTCTTTGAGTTATAGAATCACAGAATTGTTGGGAAGGGACCCTGAGGGTTATCTACTCCAACCCCCAGCAACGCAGGAATATTTTGCCCAGTGTGGGGCTCGAACGCACAGCCCTGAGATTGAGTCTCATGCTCTACCGTCTGAGCCATCAAGGGCCTGTAGGTTGTTTTCGTAGGAGTGTGTTTGCCAATCCCACCCTCCCCAGCTTCCCATCATGTCCGCGGAGCGTGCTCAGTCCTCATGGGGCTGTTTTAGGTGGGCTCCCATTTTACAGCCCCCCTCCCTAAGTTATTTTATACTTCTGGGAAAATTTGCAGGTTCCCCCTGCAAACTAGCTGATGCCTCCCCACTCTGCGGGCACAGGGCCATTCTTGCTGCCTTGTTGGCAAACGTCTGTCTTGAGAGACAACGGAGTGCGCCTCCGGGGGTGAAGTCAAGCCGCTGCATTAGCTGCGCCAAACTGACCTCCTCGGGACGCAAGCCTGGGCAGTGTGGATGGAGGTCTTGGGCTGTGTTACAGAAATTACAGGGGGGGGGCACATCTTTAAAGTTAAATGTTACAAATATTATGCCTGAATGTCAACTTGACAGCTCAGGGAAGTTACCTAGTTTAAAAATAATATAAAATCAACTCCTTTGCCAGTTTCCTCCATTCCAAAGCTATTTTCCCCTTGAAAGCGACCCCAAGAAGTTCCCAGAGGTGACAATTGCTTGCCCATCCTCAGGGTTCAAAATTCTTCTTTGAACCTGTTGCGCAATAAACTTTGGTCTACAGCTATTTTCTCCGGTTGGTGGCTGGGCTGCTTCCTTTATTCCGCAGGGACCCATGGGCTCTGCCTGACGAGCTGGGTGACTGAGCAGCCTCACACCTAGATTTTTCTGTAACACTGCCCAGAGGACAAGACCCCCCTCTTGGCCTTGCTGTTGTGGCCCAAAGGAAAGCAGAGAAATGCGTTGGCACCAGCTTGACTGCAGGATTTGCATACAAGGCGCCGTCCAACTGTCTTGGGGACTCCACTCCAGATCTGTGCAGGGCTTACTCCTTAGCCTGTTCTTCTCCCAAAGATGTCTCGTGAGGCAGCGGAGGTTTAGGATCAGAGTTTTCTTCCTTCTAGGAAGAAGTTTTCTAGGAAGAGTTTTCTTCCTTCCCTTCCCTCTACATCACATGCAGAAACCACTTTCTTGACCATGGGACCCGTTATTGGTCTCTTCTGCTCAGTCTGCTGGAACTAGTCTTTGCTTGCAGAGGAAGTCCCTAACTCACAGAGTGTTTGAGACCTAGTGACTACCCTCCCCTGGTTTAGCCTGCCAGTTGAAGCTGTTCCTGGGGTGTGGCTGCTGTCACATGCTGGGATCTTCTAGGAGCCACAGGTGAGAGGTGAGTGCAGGGTGGAGTCCAAAGGTGCTCAAACTACCCCAGAAGGAGGACAGTATGTTCCCCATTAGAGGTGCTAGCCCCTCCCCAGCACCCCATACTCTTGCTGTATAAAAGGTAAAGGGACCACTGACTGTTAGGTCCAGTCGTGGCCGACTCTGGGTTTGCGGCGCTCATCTCGCTTTATTGGCCAAGGGAGCCGGCATGCAGCTTCCGGGTCATGTGGCCAGCAGGACTAAGCCGCTTCTGGCAAACCAGAGCAGCGCACGGAAACGCCGTTTACCTTCCCGCCGGAGCGGTACCTATTTATCTACTTGCACTTTGACGTGCTTTTGAACTGCTAGGTTGGCAGGAGCAGGGACCAAGCAATGGGAGCTCACCCCGTCGCGGGGATTCAAACCTCCGACCTTCTGATCGGCAAGCCCTAGGCTCTGTAGTTTAACCCACAGTGCCACCCGCGTCCCACCTCTTGCTGTATAAGCACAAGCAATTAGTGTACATATACAAGGGGGATCTGCAACAGAATGTTGCCGCATGGGGCGCTTGTGTTTACTGTTCTAGTGTGTCAACCGTACTTTCCTTCCTACCCCCAAAATAGGGAGAGTGGTCATTTCTTGAGGGCGGCCAAAGTCCATGGTGTTCCCAGATAGCGCTTTGAGAAGGAGCACGACTTATTTTCCTGCTGTGTTGATCATCATTTCTTACTTTGAAGCTGAGAGCTTGAAGGGTAGAGGTTGGTTTGGGCTTCTCGGGATTTCGGCAAGGCCTTCCGGGGTCGCACCGCAAATCCTCTGTGAGCGTAGCCTGACTTGCAAGGATCCATATGGAACCCCTCAAGCCTTCAGGCGGGTTTAAGGCGCCAAGAGGCATGGCAAGCCCAAGTAACTCCTTGCCAAGACGCCTGATTTTAAATCACTGCCAGTAACACGGTGTGGGCGACGGGAAAACATGGTGTTCCCATCCCTCCTTTGGCTTACGATGCTTCAAAGCCCTGCAGCGCTCAGTCTCCAAAACAAGAGCGTATTCCTATCGGCAGCTGAAAGAACATTTAGAGTGGGTTTTAATTTTGTGCTTGGTCAGCTCGGATCAGATTAAGAGCCGCTCTACAAGCTAAGGGTGCGTTGAGTCCCTTTCTCTTAGCTGTCGATGGCGAATTCAGAGACAGAGCCCTCCTTTATGCTGCTGTACCTGGATCTAAATTCCTGGCTGTGTTTTGTTCCATGTCAGATGAGGCGATAGGGTCAGAAACAAGCAGCGTTTTCACAATGCTTAGCTCCTGAAATCCTCCTTTTCTCCCCCCCCTTTCTTTTTGCTGTACTGCTTGAATGAGATCTGAGTTGTGCTTACGATGTACTAAAAAGGGTCCCCAAATCAGTTCCCTTTTTTGTTTTCACTGCCTACAGGTTTGTTGCCCTTGTATTTTGTCTCTGGCGCATTGCATGCCTTTCCTGGATTTAGACTTTGAAATTTATTCCCACACGGGAGTTCCTTGCCCCTATCCCAGATGTATTGCACTCAGCTGGTCTTGTGGGGTGCCACCAGCATTAATTCCTAAACAGCCCCCTAATAGGTTGTGGTGAATTAATAGAAGGCTGCTTAGTGGCTAGAGCACACCTGTCCCATCCCCCGGGGACATGGTATCAGCATCCGCCGAATTAATGTCCTTAGCCATGCGCCACTCATTTTCTCTTCAGCCCCTGCTGGCAGCAAGGAAGTCTGCCATAGCTCTCTGCGTCAGATGCGGTTAGATCACTTGGTCACTCCCGTACAGGGCTGCAGCAGCAGTCCCATCCCTCAGAGGAAGCTGCCTGTTGCATCTCTGTAGGAGTCCCTGCTCCAGTCAAGGGACTTCCTTAGCTCTTGCAGAAAGGAACACAGTTGATTGAGTGCTTAATCTTGCACTGTTTTAGGTGGTGGAAAGAAACTGTGCTCCAGCTTCAATAAAGGGTGATAAAAGAATGTGCCTCGTCTATCAGAAGTGCGGGAAACCTCTGTACAAACTTGCCTGTTTTTGATAGTATAGTTAATATAGTTTGATAGTATAGTTAATTTTGTCATCAGTGTTGATACTAAAGCCATAGGGGAGCCAGAACTGTTTCTGTGTTCGCTTTGGGATTCTGCAACTAGAATGAATTAAACAAAGCAGGCAGTGTGTATCCAGTTTTGAGTTTGGGAAGAATTGTTTGTTTTAAACTGAGCCTAGGTTTGTGGAAGGGACGTGGGTGGCGCTGTGGTCTAAACCACAGAGCCTAGGGCTTGCTGATCCGAAGGTTGGCGGTTCGAATCCCCGAGATGGGGTGAGCTCCCGTTGTTTGGTCCCAGCTCCTGCCAACCTAGCAGTTCGAAAGCACATCAAAGTGCAAGTAGATAAATAGGTACCGCTCCTGCGGGAAGGTAAACGGCATTTCCGTGCACTGTTCTGGTTCGCCAGAAGCGGCTTAGTCATACTGGCCACATGACCTAGAAGCTGTCTGCGGGCAAACGCTGGCTCCCTTGACCTATAGAGTGAGATGAGCACACAACCCCAGAGTCGTCCGTGACTGGACCTAATGGTCAAGGGTACCTTTAGGGTGGTGGAAAGAAAGGAGTGAACTGGAAACCGAGATGAAGTGGGTGGTTTCTAGATTGTGGAAAGGTGTGTTGGACTTCTTGAGGGGTGGGGTGTTGGGAGAGAGAATACCTGTGGGAGCCCATGAAACGGGCAAACTGGGATTGCCGCCTCTCTCATAACCGCTGCCTCAAAGACAACAGACGAGTCTCATTGCTTCCCATACACCTGTGAGCTTTCCCTCTGGTGACATCTAGAATCTTGCTCTTCTTTTTAAACAGAAACCCACAGTGCTCAGCAGGTACAGGGGACCTTTGACTTTTCGGGTGCTGCTGAACTACAGCTCCCATCAGCTCCAGTTATGACGGCCGGTCGTCAGGGTTGATGGGAGGTGTAGTTTAGCAAACACCTGGAGGGCAACAGGTCTCCCTATACGTGATACTCAGACCCATGCATTCACTGCTAAATTCTCTGCTGTATTGCACAACTGCAGCCATAATAAGTATTTCAGTGAAAGCGTCGGACGGGTTTCTGCAGGTGGGTGCCTTTCCCTTGTTTATACGCCACACAGCGAACGTCCAGCAACCTTAAAAAAATACTGTGTACTAGTCAGGTTTGTCCTTTCTTTCTTTCTGCCAGCTACAGTTTTGACAGGCTTATTAAAACAGGCTGTACCAATTTAGGAATGCAGACGTCAACAAGCCTCTTTGAAGGAGAGGTTTTCCAGTCAGCAAACAGCATAGCTGGTGAAATTGCTGTTGGCATAAAACAGCTCACCCAAAATATATCTTTTTCTTTTTAATCCATCCCTCGTTCCCCCTTGTCTTGTTTCTATCCTCTCAGGTTGTAAATGCAAATTAAAATTAATCTTGGGATTATGATTGTTATTGATGCAGAAGCTCACACTACCATGTAGGAATTTGCAGCTTGCGAAGGCGAGATACAAATTTCACGGGTTAAAAAATCCTAAACACCGCCACCTTGTTTTGCTTGGCCTTGGCTTTCGGCGTCAGAATCTCAGCTACATCTTTTAAAAACAAGTTTCCACTCCTTATATTTAGGTTGAACATTAATTGGATTGTTTTAAAGGTAACCTTAGATGCATGTTAAATGTTTCTGTTCAAACGCTACAGGGGTTTCTGGAAAGCCCGGCGTATAACCTCACAAAGCAAGTCTGCAGGAAGATTAAGATCTGTCCGTGCTTTAAATAACAGCCCTTTTAGTCTCGCCTAAACAGCCGCATCAGCTTCTCAGAACACGGATTGCGTAATCCCGATGGCAAATACAGAATAGTAATGTAACCTTAAATGCATGTTGATCGTGTTTGCAAGGTCAAATCCTAGGCACAGCCAGGCCATGTGTCTTTGGGAAGCGGATGTTTTTAACCGCACTGAGGTTTTAAAGATTGGCCTTGGTTGCCCAGTTGCTAATTGGGACCTCTCAGATGATTATTTGAAGTGGCGAATAAAAACATGGTTGTATATTTTGGTGGGGAATCCTTTTTTAAAGCAGCCTCTTCTGTCACGTTATTCTTACACTGGCACCATCTACAGGCTCCAAGTTAGCATTACACATACTAAATAATCTCTTCAATATACAGTGTTATCTTTTCCCAGATACTCAAAAGGTGGCATTTCACAGCCAGTAAAACAGCAAACCCAGCAAATAAATGTCTATTCGTAGGGCTTCATAAACGGCGGAGGAATCCACCGTCTTGTTGCTCTCTCCCTACTTAATGGAATAATGAAAAATTAACAAGGGGTTGTTCCGCTCAGGTTTTGGCTTTCTTTGGCAGAGAGTTAAAGCACACGGGTGGCGCTGTGGGTTAAACCACAGAGCCTAGGACTCACTGATCAGAAGGTTGGCGGTTCGAATCCCCATGACGGGGTGAGCTCCCGTTGATCGGTCCCTGCTCCTGCCAACCTAGCAGTTCGAAAGCACATCAAAGTGCAAGTAGATAGATAGGTACCACTCCGGCGGGAAGGTAAACGGCGTTTTCGTGCGCTGCTCTGGTTTGCCAGAAGCGGCTTAGTCATGGTGGCCACATGACCCGGAAGCTGTACGCCGGCTCCCTCGGCCAATAAAGCAAGATGAGCGCCGCAACCCCAGAGTCGGTCACGACTGGACCTAATGGTCAGGGGTCCCTTTACCTTTAAGATATGCTGTATTTGCAAATACGCAAGGAGAGCGTGAGTGGAGGCAAGCAGGTAGAAAACCCACTACCCCACATCCATAGAAACATAGGAAGGGGCCTTATCCTTGGTCCATCTAGCTGCACTCCTATACTGAGTGGCCGTTTTTCTGGGGTTTCAAGCAGGAGTCTGTTCCCAGGCCTACCTGCAGAAACTGGGGGTTGAACCTGGAAGCTTCTGCCTGCAAGGCAAATGCTCTACTGGCGCTCCGCCTATTTAGGGAGAAGATTTATCAACACTGGGTGAACTATTTAGAGTAAGAGTAATAAAAAGAAATTGTTATTTAGGGGAATTGAATTGAATTCTAAATTATATTCCGGATACATGGGAGATTTCAAGGGGTCAAAAAAAATGGATGTACCGTGCTATATTAGAAGCAAAAAAACCTTGTTTTGATGAATTGGAAGAGCCGCAGAAAGATTCCATTGAGCACATGGGTTGATAATATGGACAGATTAGCTGCATATGAACAAATTGCATGTCGATGCAAATTAAGAATGGATAAATATTAAGAAATCTGGAATGACTATTTACGCGATAAGGCGGATAGTGGGGGGAAGTTGGGGGAGGAGAGAGAAGTGGGGAAATATTGTTAAAAGGGTGCAGTCATAGGTATATCAGTGTATGTAAATCTGAATTGTCAAATTGTGTTATTGTTATTATGGTTTTTGTTGTAGTGTCTTTTGCGGTTGTTATTTGTATCGAAAAAATGATTAAATAATTTTTTTAAAAAACTGTTGAAAACATTTGGAAGAACTTTGCAACAGTAAGAGCTGTTTGGCAATGGAACAGACTCCCACAAGAGGTGGTGGACCCTCCTTCCTGGGAGGTTTTTAAACAGAGGTTGGGTGGCCATCTGTCGTGGATGCTTTAGTTGAGGTTCCTGTACCTCAGGGGGTTGGACTAGATGACCCTTGGTTTCCCTAGCAACTCTAAGATACTGCGATTCTGTGATTCTAACTCTGAATTGGCGGCACTCACACAAGCGGCACCGCGATGTTGTTAACCTCTTAGAACTCCTGATCCCTCAAAGATTATTTCTTTCAAAATGTTCCCCATCCTTAGCTGTCGCATTCCCTTGTTCCATTAATGTTTAGTTATATTTATTTAGCACGAATTTCCACATTTGATCCGTACGTTTACATCCTTATTTCCAAGTGGGGTCATGGGTGTGCAAGGCGTAAACTATGGTTTCATATCCTGGCTTGTTCACTACTTACAAACTGCAGTTCCCTGAGGTTGGATGCAACGGGGAACTGTGGTTTGTTTAAAAGCAGAAGCGGGTGCTTGTCATCTCCTTCTCGTGGACCCAAAAGGAGAGTGCAAGCCCAAGGGTCATTCAGCCATAATCTTGTAACAGGAAACCATGGTTTCCTGTTGCATCTGAACCAGGCCAGCGTTTGCCTGGTTGACTGCATTTCTTAAACCTACAACAGCATTGGCTAGCCTGGGGGGTCCTGTGTTGAGTTGAACATGTTTGCTTTCCAAAACGTAACCAATAACCCTCTTGAATTCTCTGTCTTTTAGGTCTTCCTGAACAGTACTACAGCCTCACTTGGTTCCTCAGCCCAATCCTGGGCTTGATCTTCACTCCTCTAATAGGTTCAGCTAGTGACCGCTGTACTCTCAGCTGGGGCCGCCGGCGGCCTTTTATCCTTGCCCTCTGCATTGGTGTTCTCTTTGGAGTTGCCCTTTTCCTGAACGGCTCCATTATAGGTAAATCAGGGAATATGCTTGGGTCACTGTGCTGTCTGCTCAAATAAGCAGCAAAGGACCGCACTCCGCAGCCAGCTAAAAAAGCATTTATTGCGAAGGCGCTGTGGGATTTTGCTACCGAGCACCTGAATTCTGTGACTGGAACAAGCTGCAGAAAGTAAAGTTGTCTTAATTTGCTTGGTCCAGCATTGGTCCTACTTACTCAGGCTTGTTAATTTCAGTGCCTTAGCCTGAATGAATGAACTTTATTACGGTCACAGACCAGTATAAAAAAACAAAACAAAAAACAACAACAACATATAAATAAAATAGCAGTTAGGATTATTATTTTTTCAACCGATAATTGTTAGAGCAAATAAGGACAAAGAAACAAGCATAGGATAAAACACCTGAATAAAATACAAGATTAAACATGGATAATGGGTGGGTAAAAACTGATAATTAAAACAGATAAGAACTAAAAACAAATAAAAACACGCAGTTAAAACAACTGTAAGAGCATAAGAACTAAAAGGCTCGCAGTTAAAACAACTATAAGAGGCTGCAGAGTAGAAGCCTCTGAAATAGAGGACACTCACAACATTAGAAACTGATGTGCAAATATGGTTAAAACAGACAATTAAAACAATGTACAACAATAAACTATCCTACGGAGTTGACTCAGAGTCACCCATGGAACCGAGTTTGGGGATTTTCATGCCGGACTATTTTGAGTTGGGCGATGGTCTGCGCCTACAGATTTGTACACAGAGCCTCTGTTTCTTCTCATCAAAAGCGACTGCCGGGCTTATCGTGATGGCTTGCGGTGGCTGCATTTTCAAGCTTACCTTCCCACCGATTCAGTGGTTACTAGCAAAATCCTAGCAAGTCTGAAACGACTGTAGCTCTTGGTATGGGAAAACTGTAGGAACCTGTTCACAGGGAAATGTTTCCTGTTGTGCTCTGATTTCCCTTTAATGCATATCTGGCAAACATATCCTGTTTCCAGCATTATTTGAAAAGGGGGGGAAAGAAGGACAAAAAGATCGTTTCGCTTTTTCTTGTTCTGTTCTTAGGCTGGGGGGGGAGAGGGGGGAGAACACGGCAAGATCTAAAAATTGTTTATCAAATGACTAAAAGGGGGAAGAATAACTCTTTCCTTCATCCCCGTCGGTGTTGTTAGAGCAACACTCTGGGGAAACAATAGAAGCTGGGAATTTACCTACTTTGGGGATTCAGCCTGAGGCGAACTCCGTTGGCAACTCTTCACGTTTGCTGGGTATTAGCCAAGGTGGTGCAGTGGTTAAGAGCACAGGGCTAGGACCTGAGAGTTGTTGTTGTTTAGTCGTTTAGTCGTGTCTGACTCTTCGTGACCCCATAGATCAAAGCACGCCTGGCACTCCTGTCTTCCACTGCCTCCCACAGTTTGGTCAAACTCATGCTGGTAGCTTTGAGAACACTGTCCAACCATCTCGTCCTCTGTCGTCCCCTTCTCCTTGTGCCCTCCATCTTTCCCAACTTCAGGGTCTTTTCCAGGGAGTCTTCTCTTCTCATGAGGTGGCCAAAGTCTTGGAGCCTCAGCTTCAGGATCTGTCCTTCCAGTGAGCACTCAGGGCTGATTTCCTTCAGAATGGATATGTTTGATCTTCTCAAATCCCCATTCAGCCATGAAGCTCACTGGCTGCGCTTGAGCCAGTCACACACTCTAAGCCTAAATTAGTAGTAGTAGTAGTAGTAGTAGTAGTAGTAGTATACCACCCTTCATTTGTAGATCTCAGGGTGGTTCGCAGGATAATAATGCAAGATAAAAACACAAATAACACAATAAAAACAATAACTAAACAAAACAGTACACACACACACCCCAGCTTGTTGTGAGGATAAAAGGGGGAGGCGGAAAACCCTGTACTGGAGCTCCTTGGAGGAAAAGCAGAATATAAGAAGGCTGATCGCCGAAGAATTGATGCTTTTGAATTCTGGTGCTGGAGGAGACTCTTGAGAGTCCCATGGACTGCAAGAAAATCAAACCTATCCATTCTGGAGGAAATCGGCCCTGAGTGCTCACTGGAAGGACAGATCCTGAAGCTGAGGCTCCAATACTTTGGTCACCTCAGGAGAAGAGAAGACTTCCTGGAAAAGACCCTGATGTTGGGAAAGATGGAGGGCACAAGGAGAAGGGGATGACAGAGGGCGAGATGGTTGGACAGTGTTCTCGAAGCTACCAGCATGAGTTTGACCAAACTGTGGGAGGCAGTGGAAGACAGGAGTGCCTGGCGTGGTCTGGTCCATGGGGTCACGAAGATTCGGACACGACTAAATGACTAAACAACAACAACAATAAAAAAAATGGAAAACAATTAGTTTCCCCCGCTTCTGTGCCATTCTCATCCCGAGGACGGGAGCAGCATCGAGTGTTCACACTTTGTAAAATAGGCTCCCAGAACTTATGGAAAGCGAATGTGTTGGAACTTACAAAGCTGTCCTCTGCAGGGAAAGGCTGTCTCTCTGCCCTGATCTAGGGTCTTTCCCAGCCCTGCCCGGAGATGTCAGGTATTGCACCTCGCAGCTTCTGAATGCAGAACTCACAGCCTCTCTCCCCTGCTTGACTTGAAGCACTTCCTCCCGCTCTGAACTTAGAAAGCCTGCAAGCTCTGATCTCTCTGAGGTGGTTCAGCCCATGAACATTCGATCTGCCCCACTAGAACATTTGGGCTTTGCCTGCAATCGAGGACAAGCGACACGTGTATTTAAAAGCCCCCCTCGCCCCCCAGCAAACGCTTCAAATCTTGGCAGCTCTGGGGTTTTTTTAAAGAGTACATTCCTCACTCTGTATTGTGGCTGTAGCCAAGCACATTTCATTACTTCCTCCTTTTTCTGTTTGGGGTTGGTTTTTTCCCCCCACCTCCCACAAGTTGCGTAATAAAATTTTCAAACACCACCTTAACCTGGGCTGACCTTCTCGGCCAACTTTTGTCAGACAAGGGAAGAAGCAAGTAACCGAGAGCTCCCAAGGCAAAATAAAATTGTACTCATCAGAAACACATTGTGTCAATCATCATCATCATCATTTATTATTTATATCCCGCCCATCTGGCTGGGCTTCCCCAGCCACTCTGGGCGGCTTCCAACACAATATTAAAATACAGTAATGCATCAAACATTAAAAGCTTCCCTAAACACGGCTACCTTCAGATGCCTTCTATAAGTCTGGTGGTAGTTTTTGACATCTGGTGGGAGGGCTTTCCACAGGGTGGGTGCATAGGTGTCAACGGTTCCCTTTTTTAAAGGGAAATTCCCTTATTCCGAATAGGATTCTTCGCAAGAAAAGGGAAATGTTGTCAGCTATGGGTGGGTGCCACTACCGAGAAGGCCCTCTGCCTGGTTCCCTGTAACTTAGCTTCTCACAGCGAAGTAACTGCCAGAAGGCCCTTGGCACTGGACCTCATTGCCTGGGCAGAACGATGGTGGTGGGTACGCTCCTTCAGATATACTGGACCGAGGCAAAACAAGCCCTCAAACCGGCCCTGGCCTAACCCGTGCCACAGGGTTGAAATGCCCAGCCAGAGCGGCCAAGGGATAATTCCAGCATTTCTTCTTGGCAGCCAATCCGTTAAGGAGATCCATTTGTTTCCTTAATGATAAAAAGGACTGTTATTTTGTTCTTGGGTCGGTTCTTTACGAGGAAAAGAAAAAGGGAGAGAGAGAAAACGCCCTCCTGATTTCTTTGCTCTTCTTTCCTGCCAGGCCTGGCCATCGGAGATGTCCCAGACAAGCAGCCCATCGGCATCGTTCTCACTGTTCTGGGGGTGGTGGTCTTGGATTTCTGCGCTGATGCGACGGAGGGGCCGATCCGGGCCTATCTGCTGGACGTGGTGGACAGCGAGGAACAGGACATGGCGCTCAACATCCACGCCTTCTCAGCTGGTATGTGATTCTGTCCTTTTCTGTAATGAAACCTGCCCCAGTTTCTGTCCCAGGCATCTCCGGGTAGCGCGTGGGAATGTCTCCTGCGTGGAACTCCAAAAAGCTGCTGCCAGCCGGTGTGGGACAGTACAGTGCTAGACTCCATATGGGTCTGACTCCGTATAAGGCAGCTTCCTGTGTCCCTTAAATAATTTTTATTTCAATTTATTCCATAGAAGAGCATACTTAAACTTCCAACAGCGCTTCCCTTTTAAGATTGCACCCTGTTTCCCAAGGTGGCTCAGTTGAGATGACACCAAAGTTCTTTGGGGGGTTTGATCAGCCGGCAAAGCAGAGCAAACAAGCTTTGGTTTGAAGGGAACTTGAGAGAAAAATGTTCCTGGCTTTACTGTATGGTTGGAAGTTCACGCCACGCTTTGGGTTCCGAACCATGGTCAACCTGAAACCCTGGCTTGGCTTGATCGCTGAAATGACTGCTTTCGGCTCCATTCATTTGTCCGCAGCAGTGCCAGAAGCAAGGTCTGTCCATTTGGCAAGCTGCAGTTCTCAACTGAACTAACCAAATTAACTACATCACATTTAAAGAGCTACTGTTATCGGATGCGGAACCTGCACCCCCATTGTTGATGGATTCCAAAAAGGAAGACCTTTCTCCTCTTTTATGTAGCAGCCAGATAGGAGGCACTGCTGCCTCGCCCACTTGCGTGGTTCCCAGCCTTTTCACAAAGCCGCCAGCGCATAACTTTTTGCCCATCTCTCCTTCCTTAGGTCTTGGAGGGGCCATTGGCTACATGCTGGGAGGCCTCGACTGGATGCAGACGTTCTTTGGGGTCATCTTCGTCTCCCAGGAGCAAGTCCTCTTCTTCTTTGCTGCCATCATCTTCTCCGTCTCCGTCGTCCTCCACCTTTGCAGCATCGAGGAGGAGCAATACAACCCCCAACAGGACAGGATCGATGACGAGGCCGACACCCTTTCGAGCGTCAAGCTGAGCGGCAGCCTCCCTCCCCTGAGCCGCCTGAACGTCATCAGCGAGGAAGACCATTACAGGAGCTCCATGTACCGGGACGAGGTGCAGTCTGAGCAGGACCTCAACATGGACTTCCTGGACGTGGACATTGTCCGCAGCAAGAGCGACTCTGTCCTGCACATGCCCGACGCCACCTTGGAGATGGAATCCGAGCTGCTTTTCCTCCACGAAATCGAGCCTTCCATCTTCCAGGACTCCTCCTACCCCAACACCCCGCACAGTGCCAGTCAGGAATACATGAAGTCCAAATTCAACCGCCTGTCTGCTTTCCTCAGGGAGAACGAGAAGGAGGAGGACATGTTACTTGATAATCACTTGAACGAAGCCAAAGCCCCGAACAGCAACGGCTCCCTACCAAAAGACCTCCTGAACGGACACGCGAGGATCGGCATGAAGCAGTCGAGCACCTCCAACTCCATGCGCAGGCGCAAGCACATGTTCTACCGGCAGCCTTCCCACACCTTCTCCTACTACGGCAAGATCGGCTCCCACCGCTACCGCTTCCGGCGGGCCAACGCCATCGTGCTGATCAAGTCCTCGCGGAGCATGAACGATATCTACGACATGCAGAAGAGGCAGCGGCAGAGGTGCCGGCACAGGAACCAGAGCGGAACCACCAACTCCAGCGGCGACACCGAGAGCGAGGAAGGCGAGACCGAAACGACCGTCCGGCTCCTGTGGCTGTCCATGCTGAAGATGCCGCCGGAGCTCCTGCGTCTCTGCGTCTGCCACCTCCTGACCTGGTTCTCCATCATCGCCGAGGCCGTCTTCTACACCGACTTCATGGGGCAGGTCATTTTCAACGGCGACCCCAAGGTGAGTCGCAAAGCTTGCCTCCGCCACGTGTTCTACTTACTGAGTCACTCCTCCGCTCCATAGATATTTCGCATCGCTCTGCAAATTAGCTCAGCCCAAGCAGAGGGCGCTGCAAAGAAATTTCCCGGGTTTGTCAGGGTCCCAGGTTTGTTTCATCATCATTTGCCTTGGCAACCTGGTGGGCAAGGACGTTTGAAGTTTGGTTCTTTGTGGCCTGAAATTGTATTGCTTTATGGCCGATTTGGTTTCGGTTTCACTCCTTTTATCGTTCCGAGTTTCTCGAGAATCTTTCTTTGAAACACAGGTTGAAAAAAAGCCAGATGAATAAACGAAAGTGTAAATCCCGGCCCAATTGCACTGGCTGCCAATTAGTGTCCAGGCCCAATTCAAAGTTCTGGTTTTGACCCGTAAAGCCTTAAGTGCTTCAGGACCAGAATTCCTCAAGGACCGCCTCTCCCTATAGGAACCAGCCTGGACCCTGCAGTTATCTTCTGAGGCCCTTCTTTGTGTGCCTCCTCCGCAAGAGGTTCAGAGACCAGCGACACGAGAGCAGGCCTTTTCTGCTGCAGCTCCACGTTTGTGGAATGCTCATCCCAGGGAGACTCACCTGGCACCTTCATTAGATTTTTAGATTTCACCATGCAAAAATGTTCCTCTTCAACCAGGCCTTTGGCTGATTAATATTCTGTGTCCTTTTAAATATATTGGGGAGGGATATTTCTTCTTTCTTGTTTTTATTATCTGTTTTTATGTTCTGAGCCGCCCTGAGATATCTGGATGAAGGGCTGTATGCAAATTTAATAAAACCAATCAATCAATCTTTGGCTAGGCAGAGAGGTGCGAACATTGACACTTCCATGCTCTTGTTCATAGTGTGGCTTTTGCTTAAATCTTAATTGCATGGGTAGGCAAACGTAAGGCCTGGGGGCCAGATCCGGGACAGTCACCTTCTAAATCCGGCCTGCGGACGGTCCGGGAATCAGCATGTTTTTACATGAGTAGAATGTGTCCTTTTATTTAAAATGCATCTCTGGGTTATTTGTGAGGCCTGCCTGGCGTTTTTACATGAGCAGAACGTCTGCTTTGATTTAAAATGCATCTCTGGGTTATTTGTGGGGCATAGGAATTTGTTCATTCCCCCCCAAAAAATATAGTCCAGCCCCCCACAAGGTCTGAGGGAAAGTGGACTGGCCCCCTGCTGAAAAAGTTTGCTGACCCCTGCTCTATTGCTTCACTGCAGGCCCCTTCGAATTCCACCGAACTGCATGCCTACAATGCCGGCGTTCAGATGGGCTGTTGGGGATTGGTCATCTATGCCGCTACTGCAGCTGTGTGTTCAGGTAAGAGGTTCTGTGCCGGCAGCTGAAAGTCTCTGCACCCCAGACCAGAGAAGCCGTGTGTGGCTGACAGATAAGAGAATCGCTTTTACATAATAACCTTTTACTGTTAGAGTTATTCCAATCCCGCCAGTGTCGTTTAAAGTTTGGTCCCAATATATGTCCAATATTTAATCCAATTGTCATGAAATTTCTGTTCATCTTGATCTCTTATTCTTCCTGTTATTCTAGCGAGCTCGGCATAATTTGTTAATTTAATCTGCCAATCACTTATATTAGGTATGGCGTCCGTTTTCCAATTTTGTGCTAACATGATTCTTGCGGCTGTTGTGGCATATAAAAATAGTACCTTATCTTCTTTTTTAATTTCTTTACCTGTCATTCCTAACAGAAAGGCTTCGGGTTTTTTGGGAAACGTGTATTTAAATTTTTTTTTAAGCTCGTTATAAATCGATTCCCAAAAGCCTTTCACTTTGCTGCATAACCACCACATATGGTAGAAGTCACCATCTACTTCTCCACATTTCCAACATCTTTTGTTCTTTAGCCTATAGATCTTAGCCAGTTTCACTGGTGTGAGGTACCACCTAAATATCATTTTCCACATATTTTCCCTTAATGCCATACATGCCGTGAACTTCATGTTAATATTCCATAATTCTAGCCATCTCTCAAAATTGATGTTATAGCCGATATCTATTGCCCACTTAGTCATAGCCTCCTTCACCTCCTCGTCTTTTGTATACCACTCCAATAAAATATCGTATATTCTAGACAATATTTTGTTCTTTCCTTGAACAACTTCCACATTGAATTTGGATTTTTTATCTTCGAATCCTATTTTCTTTTTGTCTTCTTTTAACAGGTCATTTACCTGTTAAAATACATGAATATAAAGTCTATTTGATACTTACCAAAGGAGTGGAAGGAAGTTCAAGGCTTGGCAGAGCCTAAAATAAATGTATTTATGATTTATGGAATGAATATATTATGTGTAATTTAAGTATTGGACTTTGTATAAGTTTATATGTATATATGTATAATACCAATAAAAATTTATCAGGGACAGATGAGAGAATCGAGGAAGGGGACTGAGCGGGGGAAGTTAGCCAAGGAAGGCCCTGGCCATGAAGTGCTTTAATGAGGGAGAGTTGGGTAGCTAATTGCACCCAGAGTGCGGGGCGCTTTTCTCTAATGGCGACACGCTTGGCCTCCTTTTTGCAGCCTTGCTACAGAAATACTTGGACAACTACGACCTCAGCATCCGAGTGATCTACATCCTGGGCACTCTGGGCTTCTCCATTGGCACGGCAGTGATGGCCATGTTCCCCAATGTGTACGTCGCCATGATCATGATCAGCTCCATGGGCATCGTTTCCATGAGTATATCCTACTGCCCCTACGCCCTTCTAGGGCAGTATCACGACATCAAGCAGGTAGGTGGCCGTGGGCCGGGTGTTGGGGAACGTGAGTTGGGCAAGAACCATACGGACGGATGAAATCAGACCCCAGATCCATCCAGCCCAGCCGCTGTCTGCTGCAGCGACCAGGTGTCTTGGACTACATTTCCCATCAGGCCCAGCCAGCACAGAGGGGGTTTGATGCTTTGAAAGCATCCCACGGCATACACAGACCTGCAGAGTCAGTCTTTAAGCTCTGGAGAGCCTTCAGGGAATGGGAAGAGAGGGAGACAAGCCCGTCAAATTGTAGTTTGCAGCTGGAAAGCCCAGTATCCAGCAAGCAGCACTTCAGGCTGCTTTTGGCCCGAGGATTGCCAGTTCCTCATACATATACATATACATATACATATACATACACACATAGACACATACACACATATATATTCTGTTACACAATTTGAAATACTCATTTTAACATCATTAAAATATCAATGACTTCCGTTCTTCTCCTTCCATGGTTCGTTTTTCGTATCATAGCTTCCTGCGTATTTTACAAAAACTAAACCATTCAATATTCCATCAATACATCCATCAAACCTTATTTACACTGTTGAATTTATCTTGATGCTTCCAACCTTTTCAGGTGTGCACAGTTCCCCCCCCCCATATACTAAATAAAAGTTTCCCAATCTTCTCTAAACGTATGTTCTTCTTGTTCTCTGCTTCCATATGTTAAATCTGCAAGCTGCGCATATTCCGTCAACTTAAGTTACCATTCTTCTTCAGTTGGGACCTCACTTGTTTTCCATTTTGGGGCTAACAGAACACGGGCTGCATGCAGTAGTTGCATACATATATAACCTTCTTTTTTTGACACTTGGGAATTTCGTTCTGAATTGTCCGTACTCTGGGTTTTTTGGAAAAGTAATTTTAAACATTTCCCCACCATTCATTATAGATTATTTCCCAATACAGTGGTACCTCTGGATACGAACGGGATCCGTTCTGGAGCCCTATTCGCATCCTGAAGTAAACGCAACCCACGTCTGCACATGCACGGGGTCGCGATTCACCGCTTCCGCGCATGCGTGTGGCGTCATTTTGAGCGTCCGCGCATGCGCGAGCGGCGAAACTCAGAAGTAACGCATTCCGTTACTTCCGGGTCGCCACGGAGCACAACCCAGAAGTGCTCAACCTGAAGCAACTTCAAGCCGAGGTATGACTGTACTCTTTTACAAGTCCACCACATATGAAAGAACGTTCCCTCCACCTCTTTGCAGTTCCCTGACCACAGACATAGAGGACTTGTCCCCAGATATTGCAACGCGATGTGTGCTCTGCTACCCGATTCCCCGTTTTGTTGATAGCATCTCCTGTCCCTTTCTCTTTCAGTATATCCACCATAGCCCTGGGAACTCAAAGCGAGGTTTTGGCATAGACTGCGCCATCTTGTCCTGCCAAGTCTACATCTCCCAGATCCTCGTGGCCTCTGCGCTGGGAGGAGTGGTGGACGCCGTGGGCACCGTGCGGGTCATACCCATGGTGGCGTCGGTAGGGTCTTTCTTGGGCTTCCTGACGGCCACGTTTCTGGTGATTTACCCCGACGTCGGCGAGAGCCCGAAGGAAGAGCAGAAAGGGCTGGCGCCTCCCGAGGCGGCCGAGAGCGGCGGCGACGCGGATGGGGAGAAGCCGACCGTGATCAAGCTCTCTCGGAAAGAAGCCTCCAAGACAGAAGTGGAAAACGAGTCGGCCGTTTGAGCGAACCGCCGCCATTTGCACACATTCCAAGCCGTTCCAGGTGCACGAATCGGGACGTTCTCGCAAAGCAGAATCTGAACTTTTCCAAGGACATCCTTGCTGCAGCATCGGATTGAAATGGTTCTTTCATGCAAAAATGTAGATGAAATTCCATAGTCTTAGGGTAGCCTTGAATAGGTAGCTTTGATGCTGATTGCTTTCTCTACAATCCAGAAAAATCTCCTTTCTTAGAGGTATTTTTAATGGCGAGAAAACGCGTTTCCACGGGGACTTTTATCGATGGGCAGGAAAACGTTCTTGCGTGGTTTGCTTTGTTTTTTTAAGACCTCGTGGCAGTTTTTCAAAATTCTCAAATTACCCATTTGGACTGTTTATTTCCCTTCCACCAACACCACCATTTTTAAAAACTGTAATTAAAAAACGAAAGCAATTTTGGCTGTGGCTTTTGCAGAAAAGTTTTCTGTTTTTTGTTCTGACTCCTTCAGACCTTGCAAGTTCAGTAGGATGGTGTATTTTAAAACTGATGCCATTTTTATTAGGCTGACAGTCGCAGTTCTCTGCTTTATGTTCCTCACCCCCTTGAACCATAGTCTGGATTTCATTATTTTTCCGTGCAATTACTACTAAGTATTCCCCCACCCCCAACTTCCCTTGGACGTATTGCATCAGTTACTGCAAGAATTGCTGTCGCTTTATTTTTTATTATTATTTTTATTTTTATTCAAGCTGTTTGGAGCACCCGTCCCCGCCGACTGTTGCTTGCCAAGGATTCCTCGAGTGTGATCTCTTCGCCGCAGAGATGGCGATGTTTCGGTGGTTGGGAGGGACTTTTGGCTCTCCTCAGGACGGTGGGAGGCGACATGTGTAGCTCTGAGGAGCACCAGTGGAAGATTCTGTGACCTGTTTTGATCGGCGAGCCGGTCAGAATTTGACTTATTTTTCTTTTCATCTTTTGGTGGCGTTTGAAAGCCAATCATCTCCTTTGTGACGAAGCTGCTAATGGGGACGCAGATTCCCCGCTGTCAGTTTCTGCAGGCGGGCTGTGAGGTTCCCCTTTGTTTAGAAAGGGGGTCGTCGATTGCACTTTTTTCTGAACTTCTGGGCTGGAAATTGCGACAGCGGAGAGTTTCGAAAGGTAGTCTGGCTCCCGCAAGCGTAAACTAAAGGCCTACCTCTTGATAACTGCAGCCTGGAGAGAAAGAGAGAGAGTGCGTGTGTGTTGCGTGTGTTGTTGTTGTTGTTTTTAAAAAGGAAAATGTATCTTGAAACAGCTTTGGGCCTTAAAGAAAACAAAATTCACCATTTAAAAAAAAAATGCTGTAACTTTATTCCTAGGTATGCCGGAGTCTTACTAAGCTGTTTTCCCACATCCTTTCAACCCAGATTCCCTCCCCTCCCAACTCCCCAATTCCAAGTCCAGGACAATAGCAGTAACACACATAGCAGGTTGTCGGGTGTGCCAGGCTCCCATACCAAGCCAAGTGTCATTGCTGGGGATCGACAGCCTGTTAGAGGATGTCCTTAAGAACAGCCAGCTTAGAAGGTCCTTCTCTTTAGAAATGGGGGGGGGCTTCTCCTTGCACGTTCCCCTTGCACCTTGCAGGCAGTGGGAGCCAAAAGAGGCCGCAGCTGGTTTGCAGGCTGAAACCGCAGTGAACCCAGGCTGCTCTTGCGAGAGATTTCTGCTGCCTCAAACTCACCTATTTAAAATGCATGCCTTGAACCATGCTGCAAGTATAGCAATTCGAAAGCAAAAACCCTATCTTATCTATATATTTCAGAATGAAAAGCAGTTTTTAATAAATTACTTGAATTGTCAATTGTATGTATGTTTGACATAGCTGAAATGGAAATCGCCTGGCTGGCATCTCTGTGTAGTTTGATGGCATCTCCTGTTTGTTTCTTAGCTCTCCATCAGTTTACATATTTTTACCTCCGTAGGTGGGCGGGGGGTGGACAGGGTTTGCATAGGCTTTTTAGAGGCCACGAGGATTTCATGAATGCTCATTTTATATACAGGGTTTCACAAACTGTTTTTTAAATGTCCCCCACCCCTCCAAAAAAAAGATGACTATTTGGTGCATTTTGTTTGAAACTTCTTTTCAGAGCACAGTATAAGACTACTGAAGCAATCCAGTTATTTGGGGGGGGGGGCAGAAAAAGAAAAACCTTCCAGGAGCTTGTAACCAAGAGAGCCCCCTCCTCCACCTAAAGTCTCCTTTCACTACACTTTTTTATTATTATTTTTTGAAAAACTGCTCCACGACATTAATTTGAGATAGCTGTTCTCTGCGTAAATTGCACCTTGTTATAAGAGGACCCCACTTCATCGCTCTCGAAAGCGTGTTAAAATAGGAAGCTGCCACTTGTGGCAAAAATCCTGCCTTACGCTTTGAAGAGGAGGCAAAAAGGGAACACTCTCGAACGCCTCAGTTGGATCTCTCCCCTTGATGCAGTTTGAAGGTCACTCATTCGGCTCTGACATTTCTTTTCCTTGAAAGCTCTCCCCCCACCCCCTTTGACTCTGCCTTGCTCTGCCCAAACTATTGAGGATGAGGAAGGCAAGTGTTTATTTTCCAAAAAGGAAAAAGCTTTCTTTTCAGAGGACTCCAAAGCTTATTTTTAGAAGAGCACGTCGAAATTTGGAGGCTTCCTGGCAATTCCTTGGTTCCTACAAACACTGGCTTACTGACCAGCTCTGCAGTTGCGCGGTCACAATTTTCGCGTCACGGTTGGCTCTGCCAGAATCTGAAACGCGATCGTGCATTGTGGTGCTAAGGAGAAAATTGCCAGGTCTTGGTGAACTTTCTGATCTTTTGGACCCTTGTGAACATGGGCAAACGAGAGATTTAGCCTTGTAGCAGGGCTTAAACCCTCCTCAACATTTATGCCATAGAATTCTGAATAGCATTTCCCTTCCTGCGCTCTAGAATTTACTCTTTAGGGCTTCTGAACTGCAGTCTCCAAGACGTGCTGCTGTCTGTGGAGAGATGCAAAGAACTTGGAGCAAATGGGCCTCGATGAGCCCAGAGCCAAGGTGGAAAGAGCAAGCCCCAAATTCTGTCTGGGAGCCAGTCGTGTTTTCCTCTTTGTAGGTGCATCTAGTCTCTTGGTCCCGTCTCATTAAATCCCAACACGGGATCACCGTCGTTCCCATTTGCCGCCTTCAGATGCTGAAGTTCAAATGCAGTTGAGCAGAACTGAATTGGGAAACGTCTTGATTTTGGAAAGGCAGAGGGAGCTATCAGTATGCTTCCTATGCCGGCTGTGAAAGCTGTTTAGACATGCCACAGGAAGGTATGAGGCAGATCTAAGGCCAACACACCCTGGAATTGTAGGTCCGGCTTTGGCTTGGGGGGTCTCTGAATCCCCCACATCCCAACAACCCCACCATTTCCAGCGTTCTTTAGGAGAAGCGTCAGCCGCTGAGTTTTCTACATCATGAGCACACGTCTCATTCTTTCATCTGTCTCTTACAGAGCACACTGTTAGAATGGGACCTTTTCCTCGCTGATTTTGAGACGTCGCACCTTCAACCAAATCTTTGTGGAGCGTCTGGCTCACAGACACGTTGAACACCCTGAAAATCTTCTGTAGTTGCTATCAGATATCTGGTCTCGTGGGCAGCATTTATTGGACTTTGTAGGGCTTGATAGGGTTATATGTAATCTTTTTAAAAATAAAAAGAAATCACACAAATTGATTTCCTGTGGCAATATCCATCTGGACTTCAAGCTTGTATATTTATGACGGCTTGTGGAGAGAAAAGCAATAACCTCTTCTTCCTGATTTGCACATGGGGATTTGCACCCAAATACTCTTTTTGATACTCTGGTCTTCCCCCTGCCTATTCCATCAGCCAGGCTTTCTTCAGGATTCCCAACCACACCATGTGAGCGACTGATCCTCCTCTTAGGAGACGAGGCCGTCGGGAGATTGGAAGACCGGAACCCGTGTGATTTCTCCTGGCCCGTCCAGTGCTTTTTTCTTTAGGCCATTCCATGAAAGTGGAGGATAAGAAAGCTCTCTTTAAAGGACCAGCGAAGGAGGCTGCCCCATCACCATCTTGCCTCTGCCGGGAATGTTTGTTTTCTTCTTTTCCTCCTTGTCGGTTCCTATGGATGAAACCTCCAGCGAAGGTTCCCTAGGCTGGATTTTCCAGAAGACAAATCTTAGCCAAGATACGGGGGGATAGCATCAACTGCCCCGGGTTCCAGTTTTGAATTCATTCTGCTGAAACCCGTTTGAGAAGGCTGTGGCAAAAGAGCTGCAATTTCTGGTCTGCAATCCAGAATCGGACCATACCATGAGAGTGGCAAATAACCTCATCTGGCTGCATGGAGTCATAATCTTGAAAGGCAAGTTAGTGCCACTCGATCTGATTTCTGTGGTCTTTAAAGGCGGCTTTCAGTACCCATTTTAAGACAAACTCTTGTACTGTGGTGGGAGGGGGCAGTGAAGCTGTTAGGCTGCAAAGCCAAAGCTTGACCCATCACTCCACCCCCAAACAGAGCATGATAACTAAAACCCAGCGGAGTATTTCTTCTTTGCAGCTCAATTTTGGGAGCTCACCTGGGCGCCTGGCATTCTTCTGGTTCCACCTTTTCGCCATTCAGTCACAGGAAAGCTTCTTTCTTTATTTTAAAAATGAAAAGGGGTTGGTCCTGGTTAAGGATGAATTAAAACGGAACGGGTTGGGCCTCGTTCTACTGCTGTTTTCACTGTCTACTGAAACATAGTGTTCCCTGCCCTTTCCTTCTGTCTGCTAGCAGGATGCAATCAGCTCTGACTTAGATCCATTCGTTGCTTCTTACACAACCCGAAATCTTGCATGACTCCCCGCGTAAGCACATGTAGCAACTTTTGAGTACCTGAAGTGTCTTTTTGTGGGGGGGGGGGAAGTGATTTGGTTTTTATTCATTTACAGCTACCCCTTGTCCCGGTCCCCCGTCCCCATTAATAGGCCAAATAAATGTAACGAGACACAAAAAATATTGCACAGAAATGGGGGAAAGTGACTTGGGAAGAAAGAAAGAAAGAAAAGGATACCAAATTTCACCTGTGTGTGTCTTCTCCTAACTATGGATTCTTAAACGTGCAGGTTTTGTCATTTAAACAGCCAAGCTACAAGGTTTTTAAGACTACATTGAGGGAGGAATGCCATTTGCAAAACGGAACAAAAAGAAGCAGATATTATCTACCCAGAGTTCTGTGGTTCATGTTGCTCCCATAATAAAAGTTTTACTGAGGATGTATCTTCTGCTGAAACACTTGTTTATGCTCCCATTTTATTTTATTTTATTGAGGAAGGGTCTCAGAGACACCCACATGAATTCCAGGAACATAGAGTTCTTACATGTACAACTTCCTTGTGGCAATTAAATTCAGAGGGGGAAATGGTTTGGCTTTAATTCAAGAGTCAGGTGACACTTGGACCTTAGATGGGATGAATTCTTCCTTTCAGCAACTTCTGACAGGTAGACTAGCCCTAAGGTGCTCGTTTTGTTTTTTCAAGTTGCTGGAATAATTCCTGGGTGCGGAAAACATGCTGTGCAAATTCTCTGCGCGTGTTCAAGGTGGTCTTTGCTAGAAGCTGTGAAGAGGCTTCTGCACCGTTTGTAGACCAGACCACCTTTGATCAAGGGCGTTTTTGTGATCTGTTTCCAGATCTGCTCTACAAGAGCAAAGACTAAATCCACTGCCCGAGGGCTCCAGTTTCTTTTGGAAAAAAACAAACAGTTGCCTAAGAGGGAGAATTCTACCCACTGCAACTTCTCTCGCTATACACAGCTGTGGAACAAGCAAAAACAGCTGGAATTCCTTCTAAACACATCTCTCTTAAGATTCAGTAAATTTCTCTCCACGTGCACCTAAAAGCTCTGATGCAATAATTTGAGGAATCATCCTGGAGTTACAAAATGATACCTGATAGGTCTTTCAGGCACCCTCGTCTGATGTGTAAGAAAACAGGGCATGCATACCATGTTGCTTTCTGATAAACGGAAGGGGCATTGTAGAGGTTATGCATTTTTCAGATAGTTGCCAGTAAATTAACTTCCTATGAAAAGCGCCCAGGTAAATAAAACTGGGGGGGGGGGGATTACAATGTAAACTCCTTTTCTTCTTCTGGTCACAAAATAGCTTACTTCAATGATCAAGTGTCAAGTGTCTAATTTCATAAAATTAGAACCCAGAAAATCTCAGCTCTGTCCGGCTTGGTCATCACCCGAGTTAGCATTGACTTTTAGTTCTGTTTTGTTTTTAAATTCGATAGAAGCCTAACCTCCTCCTGGATAATACAATTTGATCATCTGATCTTTCCTACGCTATGTACTTTGTTGTTGTTGTTGAATTTCTGCTGCAACATGGACCCGAAACCTTCTTGGTAGCCAAATGGCCAGCTTGAATATTAAAATGAAATAAAATAAATGCCTCCCCTAGTGAAAAGCTGCATATAGGCATCTCTTAATGAAAAAAAAATATAAGTAAATATATATATTTAGTTCCATTGTGAACTGGCCATATGACAACTTCTTGTTTATCAACTTATTAAGTTGGGGCAGTATACTAGCTCTTGCTGAGTTTAGCAATGTTTATAAGTGTGTGTTAAACACATAAATGTTTCGAGTTTAACGAGGAAAAAGGGATAAATAAGAAATGTGACCGATGAATGTGTCTGAGTGGATTAGATGGCAGAATGTTCTGGGATTTGATTTTGACACAGAGCTTTCTTTTTCTGGTTTTCAAGGTAGAGACTTGTTGCATGAGAAACAGTTTAACTGTTCTGCACTTTTGGTCTCTTTGTAATTTTCCCCCACACCCACCCATTTATGGATAGAAATGGCTGAATGTAGAGTTTAAAAGAGAAAAAAAACAAACCACTATTTCACATTTACATGTGTTCAATCCATTGTTCTACAGTTCAATCTTAATAAACATTTCAATATGAGCCGGTGGATCTGGGTTTTTGTGTTCGTGGAGAATGGGAAATAAGTCAGTCCTGCTCTTACATAAATCTAAAAAATGGAGTGCACATAGAATTTAAGAGAGCCAGCCCATTCTAACCCTAGTTCCTCTCCAAGTCTGTCTGCTAATGTTTCGGTTCCTCGTCCTTGTCTTCTGATACGCAGCCCCTCAGTAATAAGAAGATGGGGGACACCTGGCTTACTAGCAGTACATGCGGGAAAGATCTCAGGGTATTAATAGACCACAAGCTTAACATGAGTCAACAGTGTGATGCAGCAGCAAAAAAAGCTAATGCTATTCTAGGCTGCATCAACAGAAGTATAGTGTCCAGATCAAGGGAAGTAATAGTCCTGCTCTATTCTGCCTTGGTTGGACCACACCTGGAATATTGTGTCCGGTTCTGGGTGCCACAAATTAAGAAGGATACTGACAAGCTGGAACACGTGCAGAGGAGGGCAACCGAGATGATCAGGGGTCTGGAAACCAAGCTTTATGAGGAGCAGTTGAAGGAGCTGGGTATGTTTAGCCTGGAAAAGAGAGAGAGGAGATATGATAGCCATCTTCAAATATCTCAAGGGCTGTCACATAGAAGAGGGAACAAGCTTGTTTTCTCCTGCTCTGGAATGTAGGACTGGAACCAATGGATTCAAGTTAACAAGAAAGGAGATTCTGACAGTAAGAGCTGTTCAACCGTGGAACCTCGGAAGGTTGTGGTCTCTCCTTCCTTGGAGGTTTTTAAGCAGAGGTTGGGTGGCCATCTGTCATGGATGCTTTTGTTGAAATTCCTGCATTGCAGGGGGTTGGACTAGATGACCCTGGGGGTTCCTTTCGACTCTGCTATTCCAGGATTCTAGGTTCCTGGGCCTGGCATGAAATGTTACTGCACCTTTGTACAAACTTAAGGCCGCAATAATGTTCGCTCTCTCCTCACTTCCTTCCACTACCCCTGGGAAGTGGAAGGTGGTTTCAGACATTACACAAGGGTCTTGGAATAATAATAATAATAATAATAATAATAATAGTATTTATACATACATACATACATACATACATGGTTTCCCCAGCCACTCTGGGTGGCTTCCAACAGAATATTAAAATACAATAACCCATTAAACATTAAAAGCTTCCCTAAACAGGGTGTGCACTGTTCATTCGCGGGTTCATTCCACCCCCACGTCCTCCCTGCTTCCATCTAAAGTTCAAAGTAGTCATCTTCTTGCTGCGCAGCTGACTCTCCCAGCCTTTGAAACTGTAGATGCAAAAGGACAGACAGCCATGTCCACAGCACTGAAAACTCGCACCACCAAGGAGCAGGAAAAGCTGCCTGTCTGGTACTCAAGCTGTTTGTGGCTGCTTGTGTGTGGCAGCAGCCCAAGAACTCCACCCTCCCCTCTCACCAGCTACACCATTTGACATTTCTCTTTGCCAAGTGAGCATTTACAATACTCACGTATACAAAATGCTGGCATGAAAGTGAAGAGCTCTTCTCTGTAAACATCCCAAGGCATCTTGGTGCCTGGGCTCACTGAGCAAGAATCGCCACCTCTGGGCCTACAGCAGACAAACGGCGCTGACGACTTCAAAAAAAGTTGAGTTCAACGAGACAAGACTCCCAGGGAAGCATGGTTAACAAAGTCTCAGAAACAAGTCTTTTAATCTGCATCAACCAGCTGTTTCCACATTAGAAGCCCCCAGCATACGGACTATACTGAGAGCTTTAACTGGATTTTTGTATTCCAGGTTGATGCACACACACCCCCCACTCGCCAAATGATCTCCAAGGCTGCTTACAAAACACTTGAGCAATGCAGAAGGGGGGGGGACCCTACCCAGTGCCCCCTTGATATTGCAGCCCTTCCCTTCAGTTCTGTGATCCAGGACAACAGGCAGAGCACATTTGTAGCATTCATACCATTTGAGAAAAGATTATCGTCATGATACATATTTACACGCTGCCTCTCTGACAGGAACACTAAGGCGGCTTACAGATTAAAGAAAAAGAGCAGCTAAAGAGCAGTCTCTCTTGGTCAGCCCCGCAGAGGACCTTAAGGTCCATGAATAATCATAGTTTAGAGGTCCCGGGCCCTAAAGAAGTCAGACTATCCTCCACCAGGGCCAGGGCCTTCTCAGTGATGGCTCCGATCTGGTGGAATGCTCTTTCTCATGAGACCAGGGCCCTGCAGGATTTAACTGCCTTCTGCAGGGCCTGTAAGACAGAGCTATTCCGCCTGGCCTTTAATTTGAATTCAGCCTGATCTTTTATTTCCCTTCCCTTCCCTCCCCCTCCCCTTTTATGAAGATTACCCGCCCTGGGATCGCACGGCTAATTCTCCCCTGGTCTCCTCACTGGCCCAAATAGGACTAATTAAGCCAGCTAGCCCTGGTGATCATCTAATGTTTATTGGATGGATTCCCCCCCCTAAATTGATTTTTGAATTCTGAATTTATTGTTACATTTTATACTGTATTTTATGCTGTTTTTTGTTGCATCAATTAAGTATTTTAAATTTGTTGTTAGCCACCCTGAGCCCAGTTTTCCGAACCAAGAAGGGTGGGGTATAAATATAAAAAATAAATAAAATAAAATAAAAAGCTTTGGTGTAAGCCATTCATTTAAAAGCGAGCACTGATAGAATTAAAACCACACACACACACACACACACACACACACACAGACACAAAGTCCATTAAACCATCCAAGTGATTGCAGTTAAAAAAACAACAGCACAGCCCAAGCCTTTTCACTAAAAGCAGTCCGTCCCCAAATGCATGTTGGAACAAGGAGGTCTTTGACTGCCTGAAGAAGGACAACAAGGAAGGAGCCAGTCTGGCTTTTATAGGGAAAGAGTTCCAGAGTCTGGAAGCAGCCTCTGAGAAGGCCCTCTCCTATGTGAGCATGAAACTCTTAATCTCAGGGTTGTGGATTCAAACCCTACTTTGGGCAAAAGATTCCTGCATTTTAGGGAGCTGGACTGGGTGATGCTCACAGTCCCTTCCAACTCCACAATAATAGAATTAGCTTGGACCTAAGCTGCAGAGGGGACATGGGTGGCGCTGTGGGTTAAACCACAGAGCCTAGGACTTGCCGATCAGAAGGCCGGCGGTTCGAATCCCCACGACGGGGTGAGCTCCCGTTGCTCAGTCCCTGCTCCTGCCAACCTAGCAGTTTGAAAGCACGTCCAAGTGCAAGTAGATAAATAGGTACCGCTCTGGCGGGAAGGTAAACGGCGTTTCCATGCGCTGCCCTGGTTCGCCAGAAGCGGCTTAGTCATGCTGGCCACATGACCCGGAAGCTGTATGCTGGCTCCCTCGGCCAATAAAGCGAGATGAGCGCCGCAACCCCAGAGTCGGCCACAACTGGACCTAATGGTCAAGGGTCCCTATAACTTTTTCAGCTGCAGAGGGCTTTATAGGACAGAAAACCAAGTCCAGGGTGTGTCCTGCAGCACAGAGGGGTCCAGGCCTTTTTTTCTGCCAGAACGCCACCTCTTTGAGGAATTCCAGCCCCTCTTTGTAGCCTACTGGGGGCCAGAGCTGCGCATCAGAGACTTCAGGCGCTCTTGGCTTTGTGTCGGAGGCAGTGGGGCAGCGCGTCAGAGGCAATGTAATGCGGCTGCAGCGATGCTGGCGGTGGGGCGGAGAAGGGTCCCCCCCAAAAAAGCATTGTTTCCCCCCCTAAAAAAAGCTCAGCAACTTTGGCTCCCCCTTAAAAAATACTCAACAACTTAGGGTTGTCTGTCCAAACAGAAGTGAGAGTTCTTGCACCTCTTTTTCTAGGGGTGGGGGAGCATTGGATAGGTCCATAAATTACTTGGGACAGACCCCAGACTGAGGGATCCCAAACACTCCTGAAGGGTACCAGATTGGCGATCTGGTGCCTCCCACAAGCCCTAACTAAATTACAGTAACGAAGGCAGTAGCTGCCAAAGAGGCTGACTCATTTCTGCCTGGCCAGACGCACAGGTGACATCAGCCATGCACTTGTTTAAAATGAATGGGCCTGTGACGATTCTTTGCACAATAGGCCCTGACCTAGTATGGCAGAGAGTTGTAGCCTTGGCCCACCCTGCTCTCTGTTTAGGGGAACATTCACTCAACTGCTCTTGACTCATGGGACCGGATTTCATCCCGTAATTCCAGGCTTCTGTCCATTCAATTTTTTTATCGGACGCTTTTCCTTTAATTTTGAAGCCATGATGCAAAACCTTTTATTATTTTAGCCCAGGGAGCAGCAGAAAAGAATGGAGGCGGACAAAGGGCTTTGAACACGATGCAGCAGTTCCTTTTCCTAATAGCTGCCATGCAGCGTTTCCTGAGACGCCAGACCCAAAAAGCCTCTGCTGTCACTCCTGAAATGGCCAGCTGTGGAAACAGCCTCATTGTGGTGTGAATTTTGTACCATAACAATGATCAGCCTCTACTGAGAGCTGGTGTAGACCAGTCACTAAGGGTTTCAATGAAACGTTAGGAGGAACTTCATAGCACTGTTTGGCAATGGAACAGATTGCTTTGAGAGTAGGGGTCATCTCCTTTGCTGTATGTAGTATTTTGGTGGCACGGTGCACATTTCTCAGGGACACGATAATTGCTTCCTGCACTGCAAATCCCACTTTGACACCAGGAGGGCTGACTTTAGGTGACCTCCATGTCCCCTTTCAATTCTGTGACTGGAAGACTAAGTTGGACAGGGCGAAAATATTGATGGGCACATATCAGCAATGAGTTGGGAAGGATAGAATTCTGACAGTTCTTTTTGACACTACAGCACCAAACAGGGAGCATGGGAAGTTCCTCCCTAGGTAATGTACACATACTAACCTTGGCAACTAAGTGCTTGGTGAAGAAGAATTTTAATAATAATTTCATTATTTGTACCCCGCCCATCTGACTGGGTTGTCCCAGCCACCCTGGGAGGAGGCTTCCAGCATATATAAAAACAGAATAAAACATTAAACATTAAAGACCTTCGCTATAGGGGGCTGCCTTCAAATGTCATCTAAAGGTTATGTAGTTACTCATCTCCTCGACACCTGATGGGAGGGCATTCTACAGGGCGGGCGCCACCACCGAGAAGGCCCTGTGCCTGGTTCCCTGTAACCTCACTTTTCACAGTGAGGAAGCCGCCAGAAGGCCCTCGGAGCTGGACCTCAGTGTCCGGGCTGAACGATGGGGGTGGAGACGCTCCTTCAGGTATACAGGGCAAAGGTTGTTTGAGGCTTTAAAGGTCAGGGCTGGCCTGGTTTTGGGGAACACATCTGCTGCTGTCCCTGCCCCTCCTGCTTGCTAAGTGCTGGGCTGGCTGCAGTCCACGCGCTCCATTTCTCAGATCCCTTTCCCAAGATCTCTTCCCCTATGAAGAAGAGTTTGGATTTGATATCCCACTTTATCACTACCCGAAGGAGTCTCAAAGCGGCTAACAATCTCCTTTCCCTTCTCCCCCACAACAAACACTCTGTGAGGTGAGTGGGGCTGAGAGACTTCAGAGAAGTGTGACTAGCCCAAGGTCACCCAGCAGCTGCATGTGGAGGAGCGGGGAAGCGAACCCGGTTCACCAGATTACGAGTCCACCGCTCTTAACCACACCACCACACTGGCTCTCATGAGTGTGCTTCTCACCCCACCGACTGCCTGGCAATGACAGAGGTACTTTCCAAGCATTTATGCAGATGAATGCAGCAGCAGTGACAAACCCCATGGGTGGTATTGCCGCTATTCAAGCAGCGCCTGTGTTAGTTGCCATAGTCTGCTAAAGTGGAGTTATCAGTCACGTTACAAAGACAACCCTCCAGGCTTTTTCCAGAGAGAGGGAGGACCAACTTAAAAGGCAAATGATGCATTGGCAGGATTCTGCTCCTGACTCATGTCATCCTTATGCTCCGTTTCTTCACTCCGGCTAGTAAAGTTTATGTTGGGGGGTGAGAAGGGACAAGCGAGTATTTAACACACACACACCCTCCCTTTTCCTAAGCGGAGACGAGAGGAAGGCTTCTCTCTGCCCGAAAAGCTGCAAGGCAAAAACAAGGCCATTTTATCAGGACCAGAAAGTTGTGCCATATCAGTATCCCTCGCCCACTTTCCAATCCAGAAGCCTACAGAAAAACCAACTGGGTTTGCTCCTGCTGTTTCCAACAAGCTGTTATTTAGTGATGGGGGCCGGGCTAGGAGGATTTAAAGGGAGACAGGACAAAATCTGTTAACAGCTTTGACAGCTGTCAACAGCTTTTAGCTCTGATAGTTACTTGGACCTTTCGGAGACAGTATGGTACGCTATTGAATGCCAATTACTGGAGCATCAGTAAGCAAGGACCGCTGCCTTTCTGTATTGCTTCCCAGTGGAATAGGATGGGGAGCCACTCCCTATTCAGTCAAGAAGCTCATTGGGTGACCTTGGACCAGCCACTGTCTCTTAGTCTCACCTACCTCACAGGGGTGTTGTGAGGTTAAGATGGGGAGGGGGTGATACATGCCAGCAGATACAGTTCCCTGGAGGAAAGGTGGGAGGGGAATCTAATCAATAAATTCAGCAAGGCTTTTCTTATGTCCTTTCTCCAGCACCTACTGGAGCACCAAAGCTTCTCTTTACTTTGCTCCCTGCATTGAAAAGGATGGCAGAGACCGGCCGCAAGGCCCTTGTATTGCAAGGAGTGTTGTGGAGGATGCTCTGTGCCCAGCTTAGGGAGCAATACAGAAGGTGCCCAGTACCAGTTTGACACATTTGCTGTCCCCGGTGCACCTTCTTACACTGCAAACCTCAAGAGCTGTGTCTCAGCCGATCAGCACGACCAAACGGTGAGCAGAACAGCGACTGCTGTGTCCATTGCTGGTGCTGCCTAAAATATGTCCTTTCATTTGATGCAAGCAACACGAGTACGAATCAGCACAAATGCTTCTTTGGCTCAAAGCTCCGATGCTATCAGAGTTCGAAAATGAAGAAGGAAAGTCACAACAGCTGTGTACTACTTATCTTTGAAAGACTGGCTGCTAATAATTCAGGTGGCTTGTTAAATTTCACTTGGTGGTGGTCTACAAAAAGGCTGTATGCCTCGTCTCTGGTGCCATTAATACTTTGGGTTCCAATTAAATTTTACTCTGTGCTGACCTGCTTGCTCATATATATATAATTTTTTAAATATAATTTACATTTCAAAATATTCACTTAGACCTTAAAACAATTACTTCCCTTCTTCTCTTTCCATGGTTCATTGTGCATACAATACATCCCTGCATATTTTATATGAACTAAACCATTCGGGAATCCATTGTTACACCATCAAAACTTGTTTACACTGTTTAATTTATCTTAATGCTACCATTTATCTTAATGCGTTAACTTTTGCACTGCTGCAATCTGCTGGAAGGGATGCGGGTGGCGCTGTGGGTTAAACCACAGAGCCTAGGACTTGTCGATCAGAAGGTCGGTGGTTCGAATCCCAGCGACAGGGTGAGCTCCCGTTGCTCGGTCCCTGCTCCTGCCAACCTAGCAGTTCAAAAGCACGTCAATGTGCAAGTAGACAAATAGTTTCTGCTCTGGCGGGAAGGTAAACGGCGTTTCCGTGTGCTGCTCTGGTTCGCCAGAAGCGGCTTAGTCATGCTGGCCACATGACGCCGGCTCCCTTGGCCAATAAAGAGAGATGAGCGCCGCAACCCCAGAGTCGACCATGACTGGACCACGACAGGGATCCCTTTACCCTTTATTTTTAATCTGCTGGAGAAATCTGCTCCTCTTAGAAGTAGAGATGGCAGTGCAATACAAAAGTCACAGTTTCCACACGTGTATGGATACAGAAGTTTGATGTCAGCTGAAGTATTAATCCCGTCCTTCTCAAGCTGATCTGTGTATTCGCTATCCCAACCCGTTACATTCAGTACAGATTTTTCATTAGCTAAAAAAATGAAAGGTTAGCTTCAGCTACTCCAAAAGGGCACGGTTTTATTAGTAGATAGAAATCCTTCTGTTACTCACAGGGTATATGAAATTAGCAATTTGTAACACTCCAATCTTTTATTAAACCGTTTACAAAAATAGCAAACATTTCTGTCTTTACAACGCTATCCAACACACTATCCCAATACGAAAGTTAAGGCCGTCAAAAGTTTCCTTCAGGCCCTCTATGTAATTGCTTTATATGTTAAAAAGTTGGAGGACAAATTGCTTATTTACATTTCAGCTATAAATATCAAAAAAAATGGCAGGGGAACGCCTCATTTGTGAGTAAGGACTCCTGGTGTGAATGTCTGTTGAAGGGAAACGTATCAGAGCACCAGTTGCTTCAAGTCGGCGTTTTGTGTGATGCACCTGGCAATGTAACTTGCAAACTTTTTGAAAGGCTGCAGGAAGTCAGAGCATTTGAAAAGGGAGGAGTGGCATAGCTTATGTTCACAAATAAATGGGAGCACCTTTGAAAATTAAGGTACAATATAAAATTATTCCATCTCACTGGAGTGTGTTAAACGTATAAACAAAGAAAGCAGCAGTCCCACTTTTAGGGAATTGAGAATGTGATTTACAATTTACTTTCAGATCAGAAAGTAACCACAATCCTCAGAAGGGGAAATTTCTTCAATGCACTATTGCTAGTGGAAAAATCTCACCTTGGGCGGGAAAAGCTTATATTTTACTATAGTGATCTATACAGTGTATAATCTTAAGGGCAATAGTCATCATTCACCCTTCTAAGCTTAACGGACTTTGCCCGATTAATTTCACTGCAACAGTTTGTCGTTCAGGAAGCACAGAACCCGATTACGCTGTCTGAACAAGGTGCCATTGATCCTACAACGCAGCAAATAATAAACTTCAGGTGGTATCTACAATTTGATATTAAAGACTCATTCAATGATTTCCTAGTGCATTTTCAAGTTTCTTACTCAGTGTATTCATGGTCATAATATAAATTTACTTCTGCTATTCTAGAACAGAAATTCTAGAACAATTACCCTGAAAAGTGATCTGATAAGTTAAAACATTGAAGGAAGAACAAGATACACGCAAGACTGAAGCCAACGGACTCTCTGTACCCAGCCTTAAAAACTGAATTAAACAAAACTGAAACACTGAACTTTATTCAACCTTCCAGATTGCTATCTTCCCTTCTTCCTTTCCAGAGCCGCTAAGAACGTATCTGTCCTCTGCTGAGCAAAGAGCTTTCACCGTATCGATGTGCCCAACCAATTCTTTCTCCACCGTTTTCTTTTCCACATCAACCACATAGATCTTTCCTTTGGTTTTGCCTTGAGAAAGACCTCTGCCGCCAACCCATATCTGAAAGGCAAACATGTCCTTTTAAAACAAAACACTGTATTTCCATTGTGAGTGTAAATATGGATTATTTTATCATTTATTCCAGCAGTAACAGGAGCAGCTGCAAGAAAGCAAGGAGATGGGAGACACCTCAAACTGGTGACTAACAGCTAATTTATTAATACAAGTACTAATGCCCAACTTGTTTTGGCATATGTGATCACCTTCAGGAGACACAAATATATATCTCATCTTTAATGCCTCAGCATACATTTCTGAGAAGGTGTTTTGTTGAAACAGGAAAACAGAGAACTACATAGTAATATGGATCAACTTGACATGTTAGCTGCATAACCAAGTGAAGTTTAACATTTAGTAACCATGAAAGCTAGCATCACCGTATATTACCACACTTTTATACGGTATATTATATTACCGTACTTTTCCATGTATAAGACACCCCCTATTTTGGGCGGCTCTAATTTAAGAAAATGGGGGGAGATGGCACAGAGTTGTTGAGCTTGGGGGGTTACCCAGAGTTGTTGACCTTTTTTTGTGGGGTTGCCAAAAATCGCTCACCAACACGCATCACAAAATCCACCTCTTGACTGTCCTCTCGCTGGCAGAAGCTGCCAATCACCCGCCCTATTACCACAGCGCCAGCCAATCAACACCGGCCATTGACGCAATAACCATAAGACGTCCAAAAGCCGCTGACAGCCGTGGCAACAACCAATCAAACGTCCACCCTATGCACTATCCATGTATAAGACGACCCCAACTTTTAAACATAAATTTTACAGAAAAAAACCTGGTCTTATACACGGAGTAGTACGGTAATTGTTATTTAAATTAAAATAAGGTATTTGAGACTGCCCACTCCATTGCAAGTAAACTATAAATAGTTGGTAGTTATAACTAGGAAGAGGAGAGTATGGTTATCCACAGGCTGTCAGATACAAGCAAACTGATAAATGACAGAACACACCATTTTGCCTTCACTAATTCTGGATGCAACATGAAAAAGCTACGTAATGCCATTCTGGAGTCCTTGAAGGAAAAATACAAAAAAAATACTTTCCAAGTGCGGCTGGTTCATTAAACAATGAGGGGATTATAGCTAAAGAACCCTGAAACCAAATCCATGAGCCAAACAGAACTTTAGATTTGTGATGTGGCAAATCTGAGAGGAGCTTCAAAAGCGGCTTGTAATTATAGAGGGGAGAAGTGAAACCCTAACCACAATTCAACGGAGTTAGCAAGCAGCTCTTGCATAAACCTAGGCAGACTTCTGTATCATAGCTGAGATCACTGAATAAGCCACGAGAGGCAAACAGAGTTCCTTTGCATCCGATTTACCTGGTTTTTAACTTTCATCATACATGTGATCTCTGAGCAGTCTTGCAGGCTGATCTTTTGAGAGGGTGTCGAGAGATCAGTCATGTTCCAGAAATACAACTCAGTGCTCGCTGAACATGATGCCAGCACTTGCTCACTCTAAGGCAAAAGCGAAGAGAAAGGCAGGAGAATACTCTTATTAATGCAAAGGATTGTCTAGCGCGTTTAGGTTAAGGTGGTAATAACAAATCGACTGTCGCAATCTACTGTTACATACCTCGGGGAACAACTGGAAACAGAAGAAGGGCATAGCTCTCACGTTGTCGTCCATTTGTACCCTTTGCTGAATAATACCATTTGTTGAGAGGACAAGAATACAGCTCCCTATACCTTAAAACAAACATTCATAAAGCGCTTAGTGACAAAGATATTATTGTCTCATTAAAGCAGAAATGAAGATGGTGGTGCATGGATCCTTTACACTAAATGATACAAGGCATGACCGAAAAGTAGGGTGAATCACCCCTGTACATGATAATAGGAACTGATGGATGTGGGAGGTGTCTGTCCATATCTCAGCTAACATATGACCAGGTGTCTCAGCATTTGTTGACAGCCTACGTTCATGTGGCAGCTGTTTTGTTGTTGTTTAGTCGTCTTAGTCGTGTTCGACTCTCCGTGACCCCATGAACCAGAGCATGCCTTGGAAACTCTCACTTTCTTCTCAAAGCTTCTCCTTTTTTGTGTCCTTGGAGTTTTCTTGGCAAAATACTGGAGTGGTTCGCCAGTTCCTTCTCCAGGTGGATCACATTTAGTCTAAACTCTCGGCCATGACCTGTCCGTCTTGGGGCTGTTTAGTAATAATAATAATAATACCTTTATTGTCATTGTACAACCTGTGTACAATGAAATTAAACGAGCCTCCCTCCCCCACCCCCAAACACTCAATCTCTTATCGAACAACACACCACCTCGCAAGTCAATTTCGCTATTTTATTTTCTGTTCAACAGCCTAACAGCCCATGGATAGAAGCTATTTTTTAGCCTGTTGGTACGGATGATTATACTTCTATATCTCCTGCCCGAGGGTAGAAGATTAAAGGGGTGATGGCCGGGGTGTGAGTCATCCCGGAGAATTTTTCTCGCTTTCCTAAAGCAACAATCCCTTGTGATGTTGCATTGTGATTGAAAATGGAGAAGAGAGTCAATATGAAATTCTGTTTCAAATGGGGTAAATCGGCATCGGAAACCCACGAAATGCTCACAGTTGTGTACGGAGATGAAGCTGTAACCCAAAAGACAGCGTATGAGTGGTTTAAGCATTTCCGTGAAGGGTGGCAAAAAATTGAAGATGACCCTCAGTCTGGCAGACCGTCAACAAACTGAACGGCAGCAAATGGCGACAGAGTTCAAGAGTTATTGATGTGGGATCAGCGTTTGCCCATCTGAAGGATGGCAAAAGGATTTCATATCCCATGTGAAATCGTTCCTGAGGTTATGAGACTGCTTCACATGTGCTGTTACACTGTCGTCTTTATGAGGACATACGTTCGACTTTTATTGCACCTGTTTTGCGGAAGTCCAGGAAAGAGTCGGAACACCATGGTTTGGAACCACTGCTAGAGGACAAGAATCCCAAGACTACATTAAATGTAGCCAAATTCTGTGCGGCTGCAATTAGTCGCAGGAAGCAAGTGGTATCCCATGGTGACCAAACCCCCAAATGTTAACAGCAGGGGGCATGTTAATAATTAATTTTAATTTTTTATATTTAAATGCTTGTTATACTTATATTGTCCTTTGTATTTTTTATATATATTTTTTATGATCTGTGATGTTGCGTGTGTTGGCGCTGGTCTGTGACTGTATTAATAAATTCATTCATTCGTTCCTGAGGTTACTGAGTTGTCCCACCCTCCATATTCTCCCGATCCGGCCCCACCAAATTTATTTCTTTTTCCAAAACTGAAATCTGCCCTGAAAGGGCACAGATTTCCCAACATTTCACATGTCCAAGCTGCTGTGACGAGGGAACTGAAAGCAGTATGAAAAGAGGACTTCTCCAGAAGTTTCCAAAAGTTCTACGAAGATTGTCAATGGTGCATTGTATCAGATTTCTGTCCGATTTCTGTGACCATTCACCCAACTTTCCGGTCACACCTTGTATTTCTGTTTCTAACCTTAACACTAATATTCTTAACTATGGAATAGTTTAGCAAAAGGATATACAGTGGCACCTCGAGTTACAAACATCTCAGTTACAAACGCCTCAGGTTACAGACTCTGCTAACCTGGAAAAGTTACCGTATTTTTCGCTCTATAGGACGCACCCAACCATAGGACGCACCTTGTTTTAGAGGGGGAGAACAAGAGGAAAAAAATTCTCCCCCTCTCTGCTCAGCGCCCCTTCAGCTAAGCGGCAGGAGAAATGGAGCCCCTTCCATTCCTCCTCCCGTTTCGCTGAAGGAGTGCTGCGCAGCTCCCCCTCTCTGCTGAAGCCAGGAGTCTTGCTCTCCCGGCTTCAGCAAATGGAACCCAAAGCCTTCGGAGCGCAGCACGATGTCCCGCTGCGCTCCAAAAGCTTCAGGCGGCTATCCCTGAAGCCTGGAGAGCAAGAGGGGTCGGTGCGCACCGACCCTTCTAGCTCTCCAGGCTTCAGCGAAAGCAACACGTAGCCTCCGGAGCGTGGAGGGAGTGCTCCCTCTGCGCTTCAGAGGCTTCGCGTTGCTATCGCTGAAGCCAGGGAGCGTGCATTCGCTCCATAGGACGCACACACATTTCCCCTTAATTTTTGGAGGGGGGGAAGTGCGTCCTATAGAGTGAAAAATACGGTACCTTGAGTTGAGAACTTTGCCCCTGGATGAGAACAGAAATTGTGTGCCGGCGGCACAGCGGCAGCAAGAGGCCCCATCAGTAAAAGGACGCCTCTAGTTAAGAACAGTTTCAGGTTGAAAACAGACCTCCGGGACAAATTAAGTTAGTAACTAGAGGTACCACTGTAAATGATTCACAGGAAAGAAAAGAGAACATGTTTGGGACCCTAATCTGGTTCACTGCACCTTCTGGGGGCTCCCCCTATTTTCTGGTGCTGCCTTCTTCCTAGTAAGCATTGAAGGGGAATACCAACGCTGTTAGGAAAACTCCTGTTTCTGATAGGAGTTTGTCAGGGTCATGAGCACCAGGTGAGCTCTCTTCCTAATGCAGAGAAATGCTTCTGACTAAGCACTGAAACAACACGCTTACATTTGCAGCAAGGAAGAGTCTTCCCAGAAATGAAATTTAATTTAATCAGTCCCACGGTTTCAGCTGAAATCCGCTAAAGTTATTATAAGCATTTGGGTGACGGTCTCCAAGAAAGAGCAGGGGAAGGCTGAAGGTGGCTGATTTCTTATGAATCGAAGTCAGATATGGCTTCCCCACCCTCTTCCTTTTAAATTACATTCTTTTCAGGTAGATGAAGACACAGAAACTTACAGCACCAAAGCCTGTTACTGTGGAATTTGATAGCAGTCAGAGTTTCACAGGGCAGCTGGAATCTGTGGTTCACTTTCAAAGTGCTGATGTCCCACATAATCACTGTCCCATCCACGCTGCAAGAACAGGCCTCACTGCGCATGCGCAAGGAAAGTACGTGATGTTAGGACATGTGTTACAAAAAAATTTAACAAGTCGACATAAAAATTAATACAGTGGTATCTCGGTTTTCGAACATAATCCATTCCAGAAGACAGCTCGAGTTCCAAAACGTTTGAAAACCGAAGCATTTACTTACGCAAAACTCAATACGGAAGCCGTGTGGCACATTCAACTTCCAAAAAGCATTCAAAAACCGAAGCATTTACTTTCAGGTTTTCGATGTTCGAAAACCGAAACATTCAAATTCCGAGACGTTCAAAAACCAAGGTACCACTGTACTGTGGTTGAGGTAACAACATGTAATTCTATTCATGAGTCACTATCTGCCAGAGAAGTCTGTGTGTGTGTGTGTATTGTTCAGTCTTCAAACATTACCTTTACCCCTCCTGCTTTTAAGCTAAAAAAAAGATCACATTCCAAGTTTTGTGGTATCTAGATTCTAGCCTCCCTTCAATGCAATGCAGAAGGAGTGAACTAAAACTTGTCCAATAACATTTCTCCTGCTTTAGGGCTGCGCTGCTGTTTATATCCGTAAAATAGCCTACTATATCCGATCTCATGAATTAGATATTGAGACACACACACACACACACTACTGAGGAACCAGCTTTTGGAACTAAGACCTCAGCTCAAAACTGGACTGCTCTTATTTCAAATGTACTCATACCTCCCCAACATCCACCTGGACAAAAGGCGAAAATGTGACTGGAAGATGAATTACGTACATTTTCTAGTTTCTAAGCTCACCTCTTCGCAAGGAGTTTTCTTGCTATTTTGACACATCTCATGGATTAGAAAGTTCTGCAGGTGACAGGAGAGAACCAGCCACTACCTCGGGGCAAGGGAACCTTTGGACCTCCAGAAATTATTGGACTTCACCTCCCAACCAGCCACAACCAGCATGACCAGGAGTCAGGGATTTTGTAGTGCATGGCGACAAGAGGACTGCAGGTTCCCTGTCTCTGTTTTTCACTTAAAATTTATAGGTGGAATATTTCAAGTGGATACCCAGACATGCACAAGAGAACAGAAATGTTTTACAAACTGGTGCATCATCCAGCTTCTCTCGCAAAAGCCATGAATGGTTGTAGTTCCCACAGCTCTCATGTGCAACCCTTTTACTGTGCTTCCTTTTCCTTCCCCATGAAATTCCTTGGACATTTGGCTTCATTGGGTTTTAAAAAATGAACTTCTCAATAAAATTTCCCCCACATGCTCAGACTGCACAGTTGTAAAGCTACCCCCTTGTATTCCAACAACAGTTTCCATTAAGCTTTGTTAATAAGTTCTGTGTCCTCTAGGTTTGGGGGGAAATAAATTCAAAGCTGCTCTCCATTTTTCACCTAGAGGTGGGCTGAAAGGAAGAGGTCCTAAGAAACAGGGGCTCAGAAATTCCTCAAGCAGCTGCCTATCAGGAGGTTCACAGTCTGGTTTTTGGCAGCACATCATAGTTCCATTTTGAGGGAAACACTTTGAGGAAAAAGAGGGTCCACTAATAGAAGTCTCTCTCTTTCTCTCTCTCTCTCCTGGTCCCTTACACTCAGGATACAATCCCAGTTGGTCTTTGAACAAGAGAACCTGCCATACTATATATTTAGCTGACCTGGAGCTGCTATCCCCGTTTTTCACAATGATGTCCACAACTTCGGAACGATGGTCGTTCAGCTGCTTATTGCAAGACATGCTGTGGGTGTTGATCAAATAGATAATGGAGTCCTGAGAACCGATCCAGACTTGGCTTTGTTCCACCATTACCATACAATTCTGCATTTGTAAGAAGAAGAAATACTCAGCAAAACTATATCACTGCAACATGGAAGCTCTCAAAATCACACCCAAAAGTTAAATCCCTGAAAAGCCTTGATGATTCTGAAAGACACACAAATGTTTTCCAGAGGTGAAATTCCACTTAACTGTGTGTAACCGTGAGCCTCTTGGATGGGCAGTTCCCTATCCCAAACACTGTTCTCTGAGGGAGGAGAAGCATCTGTCTCTACTGAACTTAAGGAAACACCTGTACCCCTTTCTGACATATGTTGCATAGAAACCTGCGCCTCTCAAGTCCTCCTTAAAGTCTCTTTGCCCCCATCTCTCAGTGAAGCCTTGAAGAATTCTAAACAGTGTGCGTCAATTTCATTAGCAGCTAGCCACTATTTACCTCCCAAGAAAAAAACACAGGTGGTTTTCCTTCTGCGCCATTCCCTGGATTTCCTGATACAGTATATCTGGACAGAATATATTGTCACATAAATAGCAATGAAACAGAAAAAAACCCACTACAACTCACATCTACCAAAGCAAAAACTAAAAGGATGGAAAAGCTTAAAAAGCCAAAACGCCCATTTGCGTTTCAATACTTTTTGCCAGCAAATTAAAAATTATGCGGTACTTGCACAGTGTTGCTTACCAGTTTAGAGTTTCCTACTTTAAGATAGTGCTGTATGGACCACATAGATGCATCGAACACGACCACCTTCCCTTCATTTAAGGCACACCATAATTTTGGGTGGGCATCCCCATGCTTTTCTGCTGGATCAAGTTGCCCTAAGCGTTGGAAGGAGAAAACGGTGACACACTTGATATAAAATACGTTTGAACCAAATACATTATCGAGCAATGTACTATCTAAGAGTATACATCTGGCTATGCCATCTTACAGATTGGGTTACTGGGGAACACTGAAGAGCAGCTGTATTCCTGATGCCTATTAACGTCTCCCTCAGCTGTTACCTTTTTCACTGTGTTTTTGTTCAAGACAGTCCCTGTATTTTACAAAGCTTAACAGAGCCAAGAATGAAGAGGATGCAGGTTTCAATCCATCAGTTTTACTGGAAGACCTGCTCTTGAACTATTTCCAACACAGGTGGTGATTATAAGATCCACTCTTCAGCTTAAAGTACTGGCACTTTCTAGACTGGGAGGAGCACAAAGAGAAGAAACACTTTTTCTGGTTGCATAGCGAAAATAAATTATTTTGATACTATGCTATACTACACTGAAATGCTTATATGTTCCTTTGATTGTCCTTGAATGTCATCCTTTTCTGCCACAGCCTCTGAGAACCACTGCAGTATGGTATTCACTCCTGAACTACTCTGTCATGTGTCATTTAGCTCAGGGTTTTCCAAACTTGTGTCTTCAGCTTTTTCTTCTTTGGACTACAAATCCCATCATCCCTAGCTAGCAGGACCAGTGGCTTACCACTGATCGGAATTGTAGTCCAAAACAACTGGAGACCCAGTTAAGGGAAACCCTGATTTAGCCTACACAGAATAGTGAGATAAATAAAGGTAAAAGGTAAAGGACCCCTGGACTGTTAAGTCCAGTCAAAGGCGACTATGGGGTTGCGGCGCTCATCTCGCTTTCAGGCGGAGGAAGCCAGTGTTTGTCCACAGACAGCTTTCCAGGTCATGTGGCCAGCATGACTAAACCGCTTCTGGCACAACAGAATACTTTGATGGAAACCAGAGCGCACAGAAACACTGTTTACCTTCCTGACGGAGCGGTACCTATTTATCTACTTGCACTGGCATGCTTTTGAACTGCTAGGTTGGCAGGAGCTGGGACCGAGCAACAGGAGCTCACCCCGTTGCAGGGATTTGAACCACCAACCTTCCAATTGGCAAGCCCAAGAGGCTCAGTGGTTTAGACCACAGCGCCACCCACGTCCCTTTTTAGTGAGATAAATATTTGGCCTTGGAATGAGGATACCAGAGTTCTTACTGCCTCCTCTCCTCGGCCATGTATCTCATCAGGAGGCCTCTTTCTGTTATCTACCCCAGCTTCTACAGTTGTTGAGAAGCCAACATACCCCATCCCGACACACTGGGGTGCTGTAATGTCACTGAATGCCACCAACTCCAATTGTTCCCTGACACGCACCCCTTCCGGGAATACAGTATTCCATACCTGGTGTGTAAAGTAAGACTTCTACTGCTTGTGGGAAAGTTTCCCCAGCTGACGGATTAATCTTGTGCTTGAGCGTTTCCCTTGTTGTTTTGGGGACCATCATGGGCACTGAAGAAGAGCAGACAAATACATGTTGTTGTTTTTCAAAGTTACTGTCAGGCCCAGGAGGATAAAAAGGTAAAGGGACCCCTGACCATTAGGTCCAGTCGTGACCGACTCTGGGGTTGCGGCGCTCATCTCGCTTTATTGGCCGAGGGAGCCAGCGTTTGTCCGCAGACAGCTTCTGGGTCATGTGGCCAGCATGACTAAGCCGCTTCTGGCGAACCAGAGCAGCACACGGAAACGGCGTTTACCTTCCCGCTGGAGCAGTACCTATTTATCTACTTGCACTTTGTGCTTTCGAACTGCTAGGTTGGCAGGAGCTGGGACCAAACAACGGGAGCTCACCCCGTCGCAGGGATTCGAACCGCCAACCTTCTGATCGGCAAGTCCTAGGCTCTGTGGTTTAACCCACAGCGAAACCCACATCCCTGCCCAGGAGGATAAACACATGCAAATGCCTGAAGAAATAAAGGCCAGTCACAGAACGAAAACAGAAGTCCGTTTGGAAGGCAGTCAGAATAGTCACACAACAGGTCCTAGCATTCTGCTCCCCCTACTATTAGCCCTGGGCCTTTGGGTGCAGTCAAACTCTGACACAATGTACTCTGGCCCCTAGGTATTCCTGGGCTTGGTGCATGATTGGAGATGCTTTGGCCCAATAGAGATCTGGACGACGCTCTTAGATACAGAACAACAGTTCTAGCAGGAGCATTTAAGCCGCAAACCAGCTCACCTTCATTCTTCATCTTGTCAAAGTAAGATAGCTTGGAAGCAGCATAAATGATCTTAGAGGACTGCAATATACCCACGACTGCATCCATCAAGAGAACGTTCGTAAGTGCTTGTTGAATATATTGAGGGTCCTAGGGGACAAAATGAAAAGAAGCCATTATGTTCTGTGAACCGCCCTGAGACCTCCGGGTACAGGGCAGTATATAGATTTAATAAATAATAATAATACTTGCTTTTTGCCTTCTGTTCCTTTTGTTTTAAGAAAAAGCCCATGCTTATCTCCCAATGTGTATGTCCATGATCATCCCATTCGGCTTTGCATGTGTACATAATGCAAAATTCTATATAATCACATTACCAAATTCAATCTAACAATATGAAGCCTTTGTTTATTTACTTATTAAGTTTAGGGGAGGAAATACTTTCCTTCAGGACTCTTAACTACCATCTCATTAACAGTAAAAACGGATTGCACCAATCCATCCAGAATCAGGTTGAAATGTGCGCCAAGGAAGCCATACAACAAAACGGTTGTTTAAAATATGGATGCAGAAGATGTCAGGCGCATTCATCAACAGTATCGTGGTTTTTGTAACGATGGCTGCAGTCTTGGCAAAATTGGTCACTTCACTTCTCTAATAATTAATCTTCTCTTACAACTGAAGGCGAGCGAAACATGGGAATTTGGAAAGTCAATGAGATAGTAAGTAAAGGTAAAGGGACCCCTGACCATTAGGTCCAGTCGTGACCGACTCTGGGGTTGCGGCGCTCATCTTGCCCTACTGGCCAAGGGAGCCGGCGTACAGCTTCCGGGTCATGTGGCCAGCATGACTAAGCCGCTTCTGGCGAACCAGAGCAATGCACAGAAACACCGTTTACCTTCCCGCCGGAGCGGTACCTATTGATCTACTTGCACTTTGACTTGCTTTCAAACTGCTAGGTTGGCAGGAGCAGGGACCGAGCAACGGGAGCTCACCCCGTCGTGGGGATTTGAGCCGCCGACCTTCTGATCAGCAAGTGCTAGGCTCTGTGGTTTAACCCACAGTGCCATAGTAAAAGCATACAAAACTTTTCTTTTGACAATACAAAACATATTTCAACTGCCAATTCAAAGTGCCAGACCTTGTGATCATCCGCCATTTTCTTCCCGGCCCACATCTCCTTCACCATCAAGTGCCACAGGTCACATTCAGATTTAAGATTTGCTTCGAAAACCTCCTTTTTGGACATGGCTTTTATCTTTAGGGTGGGAATCCGGAGAAGCAGGAAAGCAACTGTCGTACTCTTCACTTCCTGGGTTTGGGGGCAGTGGGAGAAGGCGGAGAAATTAGAACTTAAAACTGAAGTGAGGCAAAGTACAGCTACACAGCCGTCTCCTCCAAATCCCTTCCCCGTAACGTTTTCAGTTCCTCGGATTCTAAGCAATTTACAGAGGCTTGCTTTTCTCTAAACCAGGCATGGCCAAACTTGGCCCTCCAGCTCGTTTTTGGGACTACAACTCCATCATCCCTAGCTAACAGGATCAGTGGTCAGGGATGATGGGAATTGTAGTCCCAAAACAGCTGGAGGGCCAAGTTTGGCCATGCCTGCTCTAAACAAACAATGGTCACAGTAGTGCAGGTGTGGAGAAACCACCAGATGTTGCGGAACCACAAATTCCATCATGCCTGGCCATTGGCTATGCTTGCTGGGGCTGATGGGAACTGAAGTTCAGGAGCACCCAGATAGCCAAAGGTTCTCCAAACCTGCAGCAGATGCAACAGGGCCCCTGTATGCGATATTATTAAAATACTGGTGGGTGGGAGAGTTTGCACGCGAGTTCCAGTAAGAGATGGCAAGAATTTCCAGGGCTGAACAGGTTGCCAAACATGCCCCCAGACACAACTGACCCGAAAAATTAAACTTTGGCATGGCAAAACTGATGTTAAAAGCCAAACACGTACACAAGATGATAAGGACTGTTTTAGATATAGGATGGCCTCAACTATTTCTTGTGCATACCACCATCAGCCCTAAAGCACATAAATATATAAAAGGCCTCTATAAAGGCCACCAACTGGGATATAAGGTAGCCCCAAATCTGCAGTCGTATAATACATATCTTCAAAATTAGGGAATTCAGCTACTGAGTCTACGTCGCACTCACCTCTATGTCCCTGAAAGTTGCAATCTCTTGGTAGCCGGGCCGAACTCCTTCCGTCAGAAGGAACAAGCGCTTCTGAGTCATGGCTATTTTCCCAACTCCTTTGTTCGTTTTAACAGAGGACGACAACTTGTAGACACATTCGTTTTTGTCTAAGCATTCTATCACGCTGGGAGGCAGGTTTACTTCTTGCGCTTCGGCTTCTGTTTCCTTCCAGTAGGTGTAAAAGTCCTTAAATGTTTCTGGGTCTATTTGTTTCTGATGTCCTTAAATGAAAGGAACCATTATTTCCTGTTAACATTTCTAGGTAAAGGTAAAGGGACCCCTGACCATCAGGTCCAGTCATGGCCGACTCTGGGGTTGTGGCGCTCATCTCGCTTTATTGGCTGAGGGAGCCGGCGTACAGCTTCCAGGTCATGTGGCCAGCAGGACTAAGCCGCTTCTGGCGAACCAGAGCAGTGCACAGAAACGCCATTTACCTTCCCGCCAGAGCGGTACCTATTTATCTACTTGAAGTTTGATGTGCTTTCAAACTGCTAGGTTGGCAAGAGCAGGGACCGAGCAACGGGAGCTCACTCCATTGCGGGGATTCGAACTGCCGACCTTCTGATCAGAAAGTCCTAGGCTCTGTGGTTTAGACCACAGCGCCACCTGCATCCCTTGTTAATATTTCTACACAAAGCCAAACTAGTTCCTCCTTTCACCCAAGCAGTGGGACAAGGTTTTAGCTTCTGTGGCAAATGTGTTTTGAGATTATAAACCACATCTTACAACATTTAGAATTTATTGGACTCTGTTTCATTCATATAGAAAGGGATTATCTATGACAACATGTCGCTGGAGATGTAATAGGGAAAATGATTGTTTGAAACATATGTTTATGCACTGTCCAACGCTTAAGAATTTTTGGAGGAAAGTATTAGGATGCATAGGGACGCAGGTGGCGCTGTGGGTTAAACCACAGAGCCTAGGACTTGCCGATCGGAAGGTCGGCGGTTCGAATCCCCACGACGGGGTGAGCTCCCATTGCTCGGTCCCTGCTCCTGCCAACCTAGCAGTTCGAAAGCAAGTCAAAGTGCAAGGAGATAAATAGGTACCGCTCCGGTGGGAAGGTAAACGGCGTTTTTGTGCACTGCTCTGGTTCACCATAAGCGGCTTAGTCATGCTGGCCACATGACCCGGAAGCTGTACGCCGGCTCCCTCGGCCAATAAAGCAAGATGAGCGCCGCAAACCCAGAGTCGCCCACGACTGGACCTAATGGTCAGGGGTCCCTTTATCTTTACCTATACCTATTAGGATGCATAAATACTACTGGGGGGCGGGATAAAAATTGTGAGATGATAATATTATCCTAAACCATACGCCAACAATATGGGGTTTGACAGCGGATCAACTTAGATGGACTCTTCGCACCTTTACTGCGTCCAAAAGACTGATATTGGTTCATTGGAAAGAGAATACCTTTGATCAATGGATACAAGATATGATAACTCAACATATGAACGGGTTGCTTTTGGATACAGATTGTGTATAGATAAATATAATGATATTTGGAATGCATTTATAAAAATTATAATGACTTGTTAATAATTTTATATTCATTGGAATAATCATACTATTTATATACCCGTACATTGTATTTTGTCACAGTTTGCAGCACTTTTCTCTTTTTGTTTTGTATTTCTTTCCTTCCTTCCTCCAGTTTATTTCTCCACTGAAAATTTTCAATAATATATAAATAAAAACAGTAAGCTCTCGCTTTTCTTCTTCCTGGCCAGCTGCCTCTGCCATTACGGCCCCTAACATCTCGAATTCAAGTATCTATCCTCTTTTTTTCTGAATGGAAGAAGTGGCTTCATAAATATTTGGCTTTACAAGAAGAGATGGGGCAAGTGAGATGAAGTGGGCAACCGAGTCGCAGAAGGAACTGGAGAAACGGATCGGCAGCAAGACATGGAGAAGCAACAGCAGGGCGATGGCTAAACCTCATCCACAAAACAATTGCTAAACCTGCCGCGATGTCCCACAGATAAAACCAAAATCAGCTGCTACTAGACATACCATCTGTGACTGCAGAACTGCCTTCTGAAAAAATACCTCAGCAGCTATTATCAATTCACCATTTTAAGTATGGTTCAAGTAACTCTGCAATTGCTGCCCGTTTCATAGCTGCAGTCTCCCACTGAGCCTAGGCAGTGCAAGCCAATATACACAGAGACAGATTCCAGACCCGGCCAAGGAAAGCGTGCCAGCTCTCAGTAGCAAACATGCACAGGTTATTAGAAGTGTAAAATGAGACATCAACCGAACCACGTGAAGCTGGCAGTTTTGCCTGCACCAGGTAGGTGCCATTTTTAAAATCCACCTCACTTTGGATGATAGCGCTGCAGAGAAGCAACAGAATCAGCCAAAGTACCCCATGTTTTTCCCTCATAGACCTTTCCTCTGCAACAAGACTGGCCTCATTTCATTCCTACCGTTATTAAGCTACGGATGCAGGACTAGGGCAAACACAGTACAGTGGTACCTCGGGTTACATACGCTTCAGGTTACATACGCTTCAGGTTACAGACTCTGCTAACCCAGAAATTGTGCTTCAGGTTAAGAACTTTGCTTCAGGATGAGAACAGAAATCGTGCTCCGGTGGCGCGGCAGCAGCAGAAGGCCCCATTAGCTAAAGTGGTGCTTCAGGTTAAGTACAGTTTCAGGTTAAGTATGGACCTCCGGAACGAATTAAGTACTTAAACCAAGGTACCACTGTACAGTGGTACCTTGTGTTACGGATGGGATCCGTTCCGGAGGCTGCCCGTAATGCGAAAAGCCTGCAACTTGAAGCACCACGTCTGCGCAGCGCGATTTGGTGCTTCTGCGCATGCGCAAAGCGTGATTTAGTGCTTCTGCGAATGCGTGAGCAGCGAAACCCAGAAGTAACCCATTCCGGTACCTCTGGGTTGCTGCAGGACGCAAGACGAAAACACACAACCTGAAGCGGATGTAACATGAGGTATGACTGTAAAAGTCATGAAGGGATAATAAGAACATCGAAATATGGAGAGAAGGAGAGATAGCTCAGTCAGTAGAGCATGGGAATCTCAGGGTTGTGGGTTTGAGCCCCGCATTGGGCAAAAGATCCCTGCATTCCAGGGGGTTAGACTAGATGACTCTTGTGGTCCCTTCCAACTCTTATGATTCTATGGAAGCAAAGTAACAACTGAATATGAATCCAACCAGTCATCAGTGATTATTACTAATGTTGTCTGCACTGCAGTAATCATCTCAGACACTATGCAATAAGCTAGCAATGGAGAACTAAGAACAGGCGGGTGCAGATCAGTATTTGCTTAGTGGCTATTGGTTGCAGGATGCATGCAATCACTTGGTAGGCAATGGGCTTCTACATCACGAGGAGAATCTCACCCTGCTTGTGGAGCCTTGGCACACCCTAGAACCTGCATATCACCCTGGATCTGTATGATCAAGCAAGAGATTTGAGTTCAGGCTCTAGTCCAGTGCAGAGTGTTGTGTTTATAGCAGATAAGGGTAAAGGTAAAGGACCCCTGGACGGTTAAGCCCAGTCAAAGGCGACTCTGGGGTTGCGGCACTCATCTCGCTTCAGACCAAGGGAGTCGGCGTTCATCCACAGACAGCTTTTCCGGGTCATGTGGCCAGCATGTCTAAACTGTTCTGGCATAATGGCACACTGTGATGGAAACCAGAGCGCACCGAAACACTGTTTACCTTCCTGCTATAGCGGTACCTATTTATCTACTTGCGCTGGTGTGCTTTCGAACTGCTAGGTTGGCAGGAGCTGCGACAGAGCAATGCGATCTCACCCCGTCGTGGGGATTCGAACCGCTGACCATCCGATCGGCAAGCCCAAGAGGCTCAGTGGTTTAAACCACAGAGCCACCCGCATCCCATGTTTATGGTACAATACCTTGCTGATTTGGTTAGGTTTGCCAGCATCTCCTTCGCAGCAAGAAACGTATCAGGGAATGAACATGTTTTACATCAACAGTAAGAGCAATATTCAAGGAAGAAAAAAAGGTAGGCATGAAAAATTCTGACGAAAACAACTGCTTTCGAGCGTATTTTTTTACCCCTTACCAACTGTCAGTGCGTCGAACAGCCGATGAATCGTGTCTGTGTCTCTGACAATCCCAGATTCTTGAACGAACTTCACAAAGTCATCCAGCTGCATGTGCGTTTTTGGCAACTGGAATTTTTTCACACGGTCGTCTACTTTGCTTATTTCCCTTTGGTTATCCATCACTTGACTGATCAGCCTCTTCAGCTCTGGCTTCTGATCTGCTTGGGAACGTTCGGAAGGAGGAAGGTTTTCCACCACTTTCCTCACAAGGTCTGTGGGAAATATCCGTATGTCTGTCTTATAAAGGTTCTGGAAGTCCGAAAGCGCATTCAGAAGCTTTCCTTGCATCAAACCAATAAGTCCCCGGAGGTAGAAATACCTTGCCAGAAGCGCAGAGTTATCGGGAGACAAAATATCTATAGCTCTGCTGAGATAAATATTAAATTCAAGGTAGTAAGAAAAGACACACTGGCTCAGAAGAGGAAAGTGGATTTCTGGGATCTTGAAAGTAGTCACTGACTTAGAGGTTGATCTCATATCTGGAAAAGGGAACAAACAATTGCTTACAACTAAAACAAATGCAACTAAATAAAAATAATTATACAACTTTTAGAAGGCATCTGAAGGCAGCCCTATATGGGGAAGTGTTTTTTTTTAATGTTTGATGTTTTATTATGCTTTTATATTTGTTGAATGCTGCCTTGAGTGGCTGGGGCAACCCAGTCAGATGGGAAGCGTACAAATAATAAAAATAAGATTAAGATAATGAAAGTAAGATTAGGAAGCAATAGGCCAGGCATAGCCAAACTCGGCCCTCCAGATGTTTTGAGACTACAATTCCCATCATCCCTGACCACTGGTCCTGTTAGCTAGGGATGATGGGAGTTGTAGTCCCAAAACATCTGGAGGGGCAAGTTTGCCTATGCCTGCAATAGGCCATTGACTATTGTTTTGCTTGCCCCACACTGGTTTCAACGCCCCATAAGGCTTGCTTATGTTTACTCTTCTGAAAAGGATCGCAAGGAGGCTGGCGAAAGTAACGGCACAGCGCTTTGCAGTTGGACGAAATTGGATTCTGAGACCTGACAACCTTTCCCTAACAGCCATGGATTGGTCTTCAGAATGCAGTTCAAGAGAGGGGTGCTGTATTTGACATTTATTTTATCTTTTTCATTTACACTGGAATGAGAAGAGAAACAACCACAGCAGCCCAGTTAAGTTCTCCTCTTACCTTGCTTCACGTCTAAACGCCGAAGAGACGAATTCCTTGTCGGGCCATCCTTTGGCGCGATCTCTTGCAGATTAGGCAAGCTCAGTCCCATTCGCCTGCTCATCATGTACTGAGGGTTAAACCTTCTCGAAATTACTTTTTCCATGGTTGGCCTCCTTGGGCTGAGCACTGAAGTTAACCTACAGATAACAACATAAATATATATCTAACCTACTTGCAAGATCCAACAAACTCTCTGCCCTTCTGGCCATCAGAAAACCCAGGCTTTATGAGACAGACTTAGTTGCAAGATTTACAGTCAAAGGGGGAGAGGTGCTATGGTTTTGTTATCATATCGGAATTCCATGGCTGAATTGGCAACAACTCCCCTGGAAAGGCTGATTTATGGAGCAACTGGTCTGGGAAAGTTAATGAGCAGACGCTTAGACTGTATTTTATGGGAACTGCTGAAATGGCGCCTGCCGTTTGAACAGAACTTTTGGATCATCGTGAAAATCCACACAGGACTATAATATTGTTTGCTTCAACTCGCTTGTGGAGATAATCTCAGAGGTTATAAAGAAAGAAAGAAAAATGATAACAAGAAGAAGATTGGAAGATGGGATTTGTAAAGGATAACAACAAAGAGATGGAAAGATGGGACTTGTGAACATCAAAGCAGCAGAAATATGAGATGATTGGACCCTTTCTGAACTCGAAGCATGGGTACCCCCAACAAAAATTTAAAATTCGGCTAAATATTTGGAGTTTATTATGTATTGGTATAATTTGGAATTAATGTGATATGATTGGTTTGTTAATTGGAAATTTAATAAAAAATATTTTAAAAAAGAAAAAAAAGAAAACCCAGGCTAGGGCATAGGCCAGGCTGCGTTTCACAAACCCAAAGACATTTACCAACCCATGTAATTATTTGATGAAGTGGGACAAGGGATTTCAAAGATTATTTTAAATCATGCTTCTGTAGCAAAACTTCCTGAAAAGAAAAGAAAAATAGCCATGTGTTCAGCGGAGTAGAAAAGGGTATTTTGCCATGCAGCCACTGTATAAATAGTGAGAAGGCTTCTTCACCTGTCTTTCTCAGCTTCAGTGCTCAGCTCTAGGCGGGCAAAAGCATCCATCCTTCTGTTAAGGCGAGCTTTAAGGAAAAAGTGAAATATATAGGTATCCAGCACCTGCAAAGCGTAACAGGAAAGCAACGTTAGTATCTTGACATATTTGAAGGGCTAGCTATTCACTGACATGAAACAGCCCCAAAGCGTCCCCTTAAAGCTGGACTTGTATGTCTGCACACTTACGATTAGGGCAGGCTTCCTCAACCTTGGCCCTCCAGATATTTTGAGACTACAATTCCCATCATCCCTGACCACTGGTCCTGTTAGCTAGGGATCATGGGAGTTGTAGGCCAAAATATCTGGAGGGCCGTAGGTTGGGGGTGCCTGGGCTAGGTCCATTGCTTTATACCAGGCTTCCTCAACCTCGGCCCTCCAGATGTTTTGAGACTACAATTCCCATCATCCCTGACCACTGGTCCTGTTAGCTAGGGATCATGGGAGTTGTAGGCCAAAATATCTGGAGGGCCGTAGGTTGGGGGTGCCTGGGCTAGGTCCATTGCTTTATACCAGGCTTCCTCAACCTCGGCCCTCCAGATGTTTTGAGACTACAGTTCCCATCATCCCTGACCACTGGTCCTGCTAGCTAGGGATGATGGGAGTTGTAGGCCAAAAACATCTGGAGGGCCGAGGCTGAGAAAGCCTGGATTAGTGCTTCACACCAGAAGTTCACCTGTTTTGTTTTTTTGTGAGGGGAAGGAGAGAAGCATTTACCTAAGAAACTTCCCAATGCTATGAACAAAAGACCAGAGGTAGAATTATTATCCATTTACGATGGGGTGGAAGGTTTGCAGGCTAGGAAGGACTCGCTCACAAATTTATTGACCAGCTGCGCAAATTATTATAGCTAGGAAGTGGAAGGGGCAAGGTGAATATAAAATGGAAGAATGGTATAAAGAGATGTGGAATATAATTATTAATGATAAATGAACACGTGCCGTTAAGGTATATGCAGGAGAAATGATTTTGAGGAGATATGGAGAGTGTAGAATTCGTACTCTTAAAACGGAAAGGGGTCAAACCATCGCAAGAGGTGTTGAAATTTTGTGAGGTTGGATAGCTACAACGGAATGGTATCGGTGGTGGGGTGCACATTTTTATTCTTATTTATTTATGGTTATTAGTTTGTCAAAATACAAATAAAAACAAATTAAAAAAAGAAACTTTCCAATGCTGCGTTTGTTTTTCCTTTTGCTGTTTTTTTTCCCTTTCCCTTTTTGCTCTTAATCGTACCCATTGCTTCTCCAAGCTGCTGCTGCAACTTTTTAAAAAAACAACAACAGGATCTTCTTCCCGGGAGCAGTCATGTGCTCAAACTCAAGGAACAGGACCACAGAGTGAACCGCATAATGGTGCTCAATGATAAACTTAGCCAGAGCTCACTAAGTGTGGACATTGCTGAGGGATGGGATGCCAAACAAAGCAATATGGCCCTCCGTCTCAAGGGGGGGAAGAAGAAGAAGAGTTTGGATTTGATATCCCGCCTTTCACTCCCTTTTAAGGAGTCTCAAAGCGGCTAACATTCTCCTTTCCCTTCCTCCCCCACAACAAACACTCTGTGAGGTGAGTGGGGCTGAGAGACTTCAGTGAAGTGTGACTAGCCCAAGATCACCCAGCAGCTGCATGTGGAGGAGCGGAGACGCGAACCCGGTTCCCCAGATTACGAGACTACCGCTCCTAACTGAGGCATCTGATCAAGGCCTGTCTTTTAAAATGAGCTTAAAAATATATATTTGCAAATGTTTGTATGTTTCATGCCAGGCATAAAGCAGCTGGCTAAGTACTTTGGCAGTTGTTTATCTCCTTGAACAGGGCCCCCCTGATTTATAGCAGTACCTCAAAGTTGTAAAAGGGAATTACAGGCTGGGAGCAAAGGTCATACTGACCATACATATTACAGAATACAATCAAGCTGCAAAAACACTAATTAAGAGTTGGTAAATAGTAAGAAATAATACCAGGTGCCTCCCATTAGACTCAGCCATATTTTCATAAGGTTAAAGGGCAAGAGCTAATAGGAACAGCAGCTGGCTGGGAAAGGAGGGTTGTAAACTGAAGAGGCTTCTTTTTGAAACTGTTTTTACTAAGTTCCTTTTCTTCTAAAAATCTATCTATGTTATGTATGAAATATATTGGCTTAATGTAATTATGCAAAGGATTTAGAAAGTAAGAAATGTTAGATTCTTATGTTAGATTCTTATTTCATTGATGGTGTGTGAGAAGGTGAACCCAAGATCTCTGTTTAGACAAAATTTAATACCATGAGCCATCTGTTTTAGCCATTTGTTTTGGAATAAAGGGGCAGCAGGGGCCAAAGGTTATCTGGTAATTAAGGTGCCTGGTCGAGGCAAATATAAGATATATGGCTACTTGTCTGCCATTTATGGATAGAAGGAAATATAGCTCTTTGTCTCCCATAAAAGGTAATAGGAAATGGGTGTATCTTTTATGATTGGTTCTAGCAAACAGCCAATAGGAATTTCAACCAGGCTGATTGGACAGAGGCAGCCAAAGGAGGAGCAAGGGGGCTGGGCTGAGGAAATATAAGTGCTGGCCATCAGGGCTGGAGTGGGCAGAGCTTTGGTAACCATATACCATTGTGTCTCTCATTTATTTGTCTGACAAATAAATTATTATTTTAATTTCTCTATTGCTAGGTTGAATATTTCATTCCAGCTAAGCGTTAACCACAAGCAGGGTGCTACATAACCACTACACCACACTGGGAAAACACACACACACACACACACACACATATATATATATATGTATGTATATGTGTGTGTGTGTGTGTGTGTGTGTGTGGTGTGTGTGTATAGGTAAAGGGACCCCTGACCATTAGGTCCAGTCGCGGACGACTCTGGGGTTGCGGCACTCATCTTGCTTTATTGGCCGAGGGAGCCGGCGTACAGCTTCCGGGTCATGTGGCCAGCATGACTAAGCCAGAGCAGTGAACCAGAGCAGTGCACGGAAACGCCGTTTACCTTCCCGCTGGAGCAGTACCTATTTATCTACTTGCACTTGGACGTGCTTTCGAACTGCTAGGTTGGAAGGAGCAGGGACTGAGCAACGGGAGCTCACCCCGTCACGGGGATTCAAACCGCCGACCTTCTGATTGGCAAGTCCTAGGCTCTGTGGCTTTCAAATCTCCTTCCTGGGGAGAGCATTCCACAAGCCACTGCAGAAAGGGCCCGGTTCTCGTGTTGCCACCCTCCAGACCTCTCACCAAGGAGGCACACAAAGAAGGGCCTCAGTTGATGATCACAGGGTCCGGGTGGGTTCATGTGAGGAGAATCCGCCTGTGATCTATTGCGGTCACATAAAGCAAATTGCAAAAGTTCAACCAGGACGTGACAGCAGCCAGATTTGCCTTTTCCAAGAAGAGGGAAAGCTGGTACACTGGCCAAAATTGTGGAAAAGGAACACAGGCACGTGGTCGTAAAGAGACAGAGCTGTTACGCTTTTTCGATGCAAGGGCTAAAAAACTGAAAGGAGGGGGGTGGGAGTTCCTTCTTTTCTAATTCTCTCTTTATTCTCTATGTGCCTTTTTAGCTGCGTTCATCCACTAGGTGGCATGTTATCGACATGGGATATTGGCTTCACAACAGTTGCAGTCATCACTGACAGCCTTGCCAGAATTTCATCACGCAAACAACAATTTGTTGATAAGACACCCTGCAAACTCTTGTTATCCATTTCCAAAACAATGCTGGTGGCTTATGTTCAACGGATGACCAGGACCTATAGCGTTGAGGGATGAGGAAGAGGTGGGGGGCATTTGGATCTGACACTCAAGCTCCAAGGAGGCCCCTCAAATTCGGACCCTTGTTAAAATTATTGGCATTGGGTAAGTTTCGCAACTTGTCCTCAGGCACTTGAGACCAAAGTGTGACAATCTCACAGCTTAGAAGGGCACGTTTAAACAAATAACTGGTACAGATTTAGTCATGTTAAAAGAGATTTAACTGTTATAGATTTACCGTATTTTTTGCTCTATAAGACTCACTTTTTCCCTCCTAAAAAGTAAGGGGAAATGTGTGTGCGTCTTATGGAGCGAATGCAGGCTGCACAGCTATCCCAGAAGCCAGAACAGCAAGAGGGATTGCTGCTTTCACTGCGCAGCGATTCTTCTTGCTGTTCTGGCTTCTGAGATTCAGAATATTTTTTTTCTTGTTTTCCTCCTCCAAAAACTAGGTGCGTCTTGTGGTCTGGTGCGTCTTATAGAGCGAAAAATACGGGTAGTTATGCTTGAGTTTTTGTTCTCGTGTTATTCCAAACCTAGAATCAGGGGCAGAAAGACTGGAGATCTCCCCTCTTGTTTTATATTTATGGTCTTTCGTTTCCCCACATTCTCCTCAAAGCAACCCTGTGGGGTAGGTATTTGGGGCCAAACCCAGTGTTTGGCCCAAGATCTTGCAGTGAACTTCATGGCTGCGTGGTCTCCCAGATCCTAGACCAAGTAATATCCCACCACTTTATTTCATAATCTGGGAAGTAGGCCTAAAAGTGAATATACAGGCTGAATGAAATGATCTTTTCCCATAGGTCTGGAAGGCTGAGGAAGCCCCTGTTGTTGTGTGGCAACTTTTAACAGTCCACTAACGCTGGCTAATTCATCCTTCTGGGCCCCACAAATTCACCCTACCAGGTCCAGGGTCCACCAGCTACCACTGAGGTATATTCATGGCAGTTTCCTGGTCCTTGGCAACAGATGTCATAGTCCAGACTCTTCCACTCAGAGGAGAGGGCAGAAGAAGGACTCAGGGAGCTGGCCTTTCCAGCGGTTTTAGTCAAGGTTCTCCCATTACATAATGCTATGCCAAAAGGTAAAATCCTTCTTTCAACCGTTCTGCACAGGTAAGACCAAAGGACATACAACGAGATGGATGAATGAATAAACAGCTAGAAGCTAAATGGCTTAAAAAAACAAATCATTGAATTCATGTACTTCCCATAAAAGAACACTTGTGAAGGAAAGCTACAGGCCACATCCAAAATACCCGAATTCTTTAAAACTCTGCTTATAATGTTGAGTGACAAAATGATACAAATCAGTTCTGAAGATTTACCTTTTTGTAAAACTGCTGGTCGCACACTGCTCTCGTTTTCATAAATTCTTCACTATTAAATACTCTGTGCTCATAATTCAGATGATCTTTCACCTCCCTATTGGTAAAACAAAATTATCAAAATCAATCATGAATAAAGGTCCTTATTAATTGTGCCCAGTTCTTTAGGTGGAATCATTAAACCCACGCCCCTCCCCTTAATTCTATTGTAACCTGCAAGCCTTCAGCAACACATTTAATACAGCACAGAGCATCCACCACATATAAATGACACAGGAAAAAGGCTTGTGTCATGGAAGTGTACAAGTTAGGGGTGGAGAAGGAATTTGTCTGGGCCACTTTTCACAGAATCATAGAAGTGTAGAGCTGGGATCCTAACCCCCGCGACTTGGGGCTTGAACCCACAGCCCTGAGATTAAGAGTCTCCTGCTGGACTGACTGAGCTATCTCAGGGGACCAAACTGGCCTGACACTCCCTAACTTGCTTGTGGATCAGAACACAGCTCCCAATCGGACAGCACACTTCGGCATATTTTGAAATGCATTTCAGAGCGCAGAACGTGCACACACAAATAGGTTTAGGAAACAGATACACATGAAGGATCATTCTTGTGTATAACAGCTGAAGCCAAAGACTGATGTTCTGCAAATCAGTCTAACCCCTTTTGAAAGCCATCTGCCCTAGTGGCTATTACAGCAAGATGGTCTGCAAGCAATACCTTATTGTTAATTATTGCAAACACACACATCCTGATTCGCGAGCAACAAACGCTTCGCATTTGTATTTTTCTTGGTCCTGGATTCTGGCGCATAAAGCAGTAGAAGAAAGGAAAGACACTACTGGAAAAGAAGAACAAAGGGGAAGTTGGAAGAAAAGGACGAAACAAAAATCTCAAGCCCATTGACAGAATGTTGACTGGCTTTAGCACTGTAACACTTTACCTCTTCATAGAAAGCATTGGCTCAAATATTTATGAAAGCAGCAATAATTCCCCTTGAGTATTGGTATGCTTGATTATGGGGCTAGGGGTACCAATTCTGTGCAGTGAATTAATATTGCAGTTTTGAAAAAGACATCCCTAGCATTTCCCACCCCCAGATTCCAAATTCTAATTCTTTTCTCTCTCACACTCTTTTTTAAAAAAGCAACCACAATGATGCTCAACTGGTGTTATGACCTTGGGTAGACGCAACATTTATTGACCTCTTTCCACACCGACTCATCTTCTTCCACCGAAACTCCCCTAACTTTTCAGCAGTGACCAGAGGGCAGAATCGTGTCTGCATTGAAGTGACCATTAAAAACAACTCAAGTGCATTTCTAGCTCTCACTGGAAGCAAACTATGGTCAGCAACCTTTGCAACCCCATAGTTGACACTGGAAAAGGATGGGGAGGAACTGAGCAGGAGAAGAGAGAACACAAACTTGTAGGATGCTCTCATTTATTTTAACCACAGTTAAGATTAGCAAGGCATCAGGAAATGTCACAGCTGCATGGGTACAAAGGCAAATGTCAAATGAGTGCCAAAATTCAAGTGGACCGTTAACCTTATTTAGGCACAGTTAACCCCCCCCAGAGCAGATGGGGGGGGGAGGAAGTCCTGCTACATGAATGGACCTCGTTCCATGCACACGTCAACTTAGTTGAAGCCCACCCAATAGGTCTATTCAAAGTAAAACTTATCTGAATTCCACCCTCAGTCGCCACATTCACACAGAGTCAACTGGCAACAGCCAAAAACCCACTTGAAAGCTCAGCATAAAAAGGTCCTTGGTTACAAGCATATAATTCCTTTCTCTTAACAATGATTCTGTCCTCAAGACTAAGTCCTGGAAGCTTGGGGAGCTTCATAACATTACTCACTGAATTGTTTGCAGTGCCTCCCCTCCAACCAGCTGAAATTCTGATGAGTAATGCGATGCACTTTCCAGCCAGGCAGCTTAAAGGTACATCTAACGTAAATTAGGGTAATTGACATTCACTATGAAGAATGGAAGCCCATTTAGTCCAGCATCTTGCTCTCACAACAGCCAACCATCTTCTTTCTTCTTTGGCGATCACTTGTAGCTGAGTAAGACTGTCTTCCATAAACATGGTTTTAACCATGAGTCCATAAGTGACTGTGGAGGCCTATTCTGGATCCACATGTCCTTCCACAGTGGGGACATTGGTTTACAGGCCGGAGTTGATCACAGTGAGGGTTTTCCACATTTCTCCCTTGCGTCCTGAGTTCGAGTGTCTTCAAAGCCCATGACACCTTTGGTAAAGGCTGTTCTCCAATTGGAGCGCTCGCAGGCAAGTGTTTCCCAATTGTTGGTGTTTATACTACATTTTTTAGATTTGCCTTGAGACAGTCTTTAAACCTCTTTTGTTGACCACCAGCATTACGCTTTCCATTTTTAAGTTGGGAATAGAGTAGTTGCTTTGGAAGACAATCATCAGGCATCCGCACAACATGACCAGTCCAACGAAGTTGATGTTGAATAATCATTGCTTCAACACTGGTGATCTTTGCTTCTTCCAGTACACTGACCTTAGTTCGCCTGTCTTCCCAAGTGATGTGTAAGATTTTTCAGAGACAAAATGGAATCTTTCCAGGAGTTGGCGTGGTCCATGTTTCACAGGCATACAGCAAGCTTGGTAGTACAATAGCTTTGTAAACAAGCATTTTGGTTTCCCTGCGAATGTCCTGGTCCTCAAACACTCTGCACTTCAATCAGGAGAAAGCCGCACTCGCAGAGCTCAGGCGATGCTGGATTTCGGCATCAGTGTCGGCCCTTGTGGAAAGATAACTGTTGGAGTCAACCCTATGCCCAGGAGAAACACTGCCATAACTGAGCGTCAGATTCAACGCCTCATTTATTCCTTCACCGAATCGAGGGACTCTTCGCTTTAGTACAGAAGGGAGCAGCAAAAGCTCAGAGACAGAGAGAAAGTGCAAATGCTTTGAGTTCCAGAATCATGCACTGTGCAAGGGTTATTTCAGCACCTACCTAAAGATATTGACTATTAACTGCAGAGTAATCTGTTGAATTTCAGAATTCAGCCTCTGCTGCCAAATCCTCCTTCGCAGCTGAACTTCACCAAGGTCTGTGCAGGAAGCACGGTGGGAGAGCTCCAGGTCATAGTGCAGCTGAAGATTTTCAACCCTGCAGGGGGGAAAAGAACACGTTAACTCCCTAAAATTTAAATCAAATCCACCCTGGGTGGGGGGAGTCTGAGGATTCCACTCCCCGTCCAAGAGAGATGTGGCGGGATGCCAGGACAGGCAATTTCTCAAGAGTCAAAAACTCACCCAGCCCCAATGGTAACCCCAGGGATGGAGGAAAGGGAGAAGCAGAGTGGAATGGCTTCAAGGCATCCTTTGAAACCAAGGGCCTTAAGCTATGCCTGTCTCGACAAGCAATCAGACTTAAGAGAGAATTTGGAGTATATATGGGGGAATTTGCTCAACTAGTCAGGTGTCAGTACGCAAGAGAAAATGGGATTAGGTGTATTATAGAAGACAAAGGGACACGGGTGGCGCTGTGGGTTCAACCACAGAGCCTAGGACTTGCCGATCAGAAGGTCGGCGGTTCAAATCCCCGCGATGGGGTGAGCTCCCGTTGCTCGGTCCCTGCTCCTGCCAACCTAGCAGTTCAAAAGCACGTCAAAGTGCAAGTAGATAAATAGGTACCACTCCAGCGGGAAGGCAAACGGCGTTTCCGTGCACTGCTCTGGTTCTCCAGAAGCAGCTTAGTCATGCTGGCCACATGAAGCTGTACGCCTGCTCCCTTGGCCAATAAAGCGAGATGAGCGCCGCAACCCCAGAGTCGGCCACAACTGGACCTATTGGTCAGGGGTCCCTTTACCTTTACCTAGAAGACAAACTCTTTATCTTACTGGATCATGCGCCATTATCAGAATTTTGCAGTTCAAAGTTTTTGGGTGTTTATTTCAGAAAACCCATCAACCATCTCTGTGCGTGTATTTGGGTGAATGGCATAACTTAATTAACGCACACCACTTGCCACCATTCAGGCGCCCTGTTGCCCCCCACCCCAGGTCCCTCAATCCACCAAAGGAATCCATCTTTCTAATTGCACTGGATGAAGATAACATCAGCCCCCGTGCAACTCACTACCTCACACTCCTTTGCCAAGCAGGAGAATGAGCAGGTGCACAAAATCGCACTCTGTGTCTTTGCCAAATAATTTCATTTTTTCATCCTTAGCATTTATTTCTACCTTGCTATGAAGATTTTTGCCGCCTCCAGTGGGATGTCTGGAATTTCAGTCTCCTCTTCCGATGACTGGGATTGCGCGATATCGCCATTGTCGATGTTAATTAGAATTAAGTCGTCGGCTTCCTTTTTATTTGAGACACAGACAGGTTCATCATTTAAAACAATATGGATTAGGCAGGAAGAAGTAATGCCAAATGCAAGCTATGACACTATTAACAATGGAATAACTGAATACCACCCATAAGATGCAATTAAAATTAAGTTTCACTCAAAAGTAGAACTATTGAAATTAATGAAACTGATTTTGTGAATCTCAGTGGGTCTACCCTCAGCAATGCTTAGCTGAATACGACACGATGTATCTCACTTAACGTGGGCGGAATTCAATGCAGCACTTAGGAGATTGTTTTGTGCAATCATTTTTGCTTGGCCAAAGAGAAGCTCTCCCCTTTCCTCCTTCTGTACACTGTTCTGGGGGTTCTTCTCAACCCCCCAGAATGAATTAGCGGGCAATACAGTAAGGAAGGGGAGGGAATAAGCCCTGCTGCGCTGGCATGCTCTGGCAAATGAAGCCAGGTACAGTGGTGCCTCGCAAGACGAAATTAATCCGTTCCGCGAGTGTCTTCATCTAGCGGTTTTTTCGTCTTGCGAAGCAACCCTATTAGCGGCTTAACGGATTAGCGCTATTAGCGGTTTAGCGGCTATTAAAGGCTTAGCGGATTAGCGGATTAGCTGCTAAAAGGCTATTAAAGGCTTAGCGGCTTAGATAAAGGGGGGGGGAAGCGAAAAAAAAATCTCAAGACTCGCAAGACATTTTCGTCTTGCGAAGCAAGCCCATAGGGAAATTCGTCCTGCGAAGCAACTCAAAAACGGAAAACCCTTTCGTCTAGCGGGTTTTCCGTTTTGCGAGGCATTCGTCTTGCGGGGCACCACTGTAGTTGAATTCAGCCCCGTATGAATAAAAATACGTAGGTTTCAAATTTTTGGTCACAGAGCAGGGTAGATAAAAATCAATAATAATTTTTTAAAATCGGATTTTTTAAAATTTAAATTGGATTTTTAAAAAATTTAAATTGGATTGTTAAAATAAAATGCTTTTGGAGGAAAAACCTTTCTAAATATAGTTTTCTATTTAAGTTACATTATACTCCAAAGGCTATTCATCAAGAAAAAAGGATTTGTTTTTAGTTTTTCATGTGTGCTCAAACTCAGTCTAAGTTGTTGTTTTTTAATGTTTAACCACATCAGTTAACAAACATGGATACATATGCTATAATGTTATTGTTTTAGTTAAATAAATTGTTATTAAGGAAATGATTATTTTTCTCCTTCCAATAAAGTACAGCAGAAAAATTGTCCAGATATAAACAGTTAACTTATTAAACCTCACAATAATTTTATAATTACCTGCCTTTGTTTTTCTAGTAGTATAACCAAATCAGTAATTTTTGAAATAACTGTATAAACTGCTCTGAAAATTTATTATTCCAAAAATTAAACCTTCATCTGGTTGTAAATATTAAGATTATACCTGCAAGAATTAGTCTTTCTGTAAAAAAAAAATGATTTAAATCAAGTCTTACTGACTAGTGATTTACAGTATTTTTTGCTCTATAAGACTCACTTTTTCCCTCCTAAAAAGTAAGGGGAAATGTGTGTGTGTCTTATGGAGTGAATGCAGGCTGTGCAGCTATCCCAGAAGCCAGAACAGCAAGAGGGATTGCTGCTTTCACTGCGCAGCGATCCCTCTTGCTGTTCTGGCTTCTGGGATTCAGAAGATTTTTTTTCGTGTTTTCCTCCTCCAAAAACTAGGTGCGTCTTGTGGTCTGGTGCGTCTTATAGAGCGAAAAATACGGTGAATCATGATTTAAATCAAATCCACCCTGTCACAGAGCAATAATTTATGAACAAAAGCATTGATCTTATCTGTGGATAAAATATTAGAACACAGTTCAAACCGAGGGGAGGAGATCAGTGGTGGAGAACACACTCTGCATGCAAAAAGTCTTGGTTCAATGTCCGGCAACTACAGGAGACGCCCATTTGAAACCCCAAAGAACCACTGCCAGTCCATGTAGACAGCACTGAACTAGATGGAGCAAATGTCTGACTCAGAACAAGGCAACTTCCTGCGTTTCCATCCAGTCTATCTCAGCCTCGCTGGGGAGCCGCTTGGACTCGTGCGAAAATATCCTACACAAATCTTCCCATTCCGAAAAGACTGAAGAGTCCTTTCAGATGTGAAGGCTGACAATGGGAGCCAATTCTTTAGAGCACGGCCACAACCCTATAAAACAGGAAATGAGCTAACTCTCAAGGTTCCCTGGAAGATGAACCAACATTTATAATCCCCTGTGAAAGGGTCTGACCTGAGACTGCACTGGTGGTGGCAGCAATTATGAGAAATGTCAGGGGATTTACACAGCAATCATGGCAATAGCAGGGTGAGCGAGAGCCAGCATTCAGGAGCTGGGGCAGGGGCAGAGAAGTGCGTCCTTTGCCACTCGGTTGGTTATCTGGGGTTGCAGCCACAGCACAGCTAAGAAGCAGATTAAATGGGTGCACTACATACATGACGAATATTATTAAATGCGTAATCTCTTCAAAAGGGCCCAGTTATCTATAATACCATGTGTTCATCTAAACCATTTTCCATTTTTAATTCGTATTAGATAAGCATTAGATAATCCCCAGGACTAGCTGGCTGAATTGGTCCTCCTTGGGCCAGCGAGGAGGCCAGGGGAGAATTAGCTGTGGGATCTTCATAAAAGGGGGAGGGGGAGGGAAGAGAAGGGAAATAAAAGATCAGGCTGAATTCAGATTAAAGGCCAGGCGGAATAGCTCTGTCTTACAGGCCCGACGGAAGGAGGTTAAATCCTGCAGGGCCCTAGTCTCATGGCACAGAGTATTCCACCAGGTCGGAGCCATCACTGAGAAGGCCCTGGCCGTGGTGGAGGATAGTCTGACTTCCTTAGGGCCCGGGACCTCTAAACTATGGTTATTCATGGACCTTAAGGTCTTCTGCGGGGCAGACCAGGAGAGGCGGTCCCGTAAATACATACCTGGAAGTGACCTGGATAAGTCATAAGGACATTACTGGAACGTCACTAAAAGGGTGGAATGGAGGTAGAAAAAGGGGTTCACAGGCTTTTTCAATGGGCTTCTGATCCCATGCAAGTGGGCAGTAACCCAGAACGCAACTCCAGCACAAATGTGGAGTTACTTGTACCTCTGAATGCATTTTATAGGTGAGAGAAGCAGAGAAGCAGAACTGGAAATGACCCACAGCAGACCTTGCAAACCTCTCCAAAATGATCAATGTGGCATCCCATGAGGAAGGATGTAGGAGCCATGACGAAATCCAACATCTGACGAGACAGAATGGGTACGAAAGTGTGCTGCCACTGAATAGGGTGGATGTACATCATGAAGCACTCGGATATGAGGGTCAGCAATGCCCAGTCAGAGGAAAATAAAACAATCTTCCGCTCTGTTAAAATGCAGGTTATGATCTGGAAAGGGAGGGAAAACAGGCCACCATAAATTCCATATAGGGAGAGCTTCAGCGTAACAGCACCTTATCATTTATTTAACAAATTTTAAGTGCTTGGCATACTTTACAAAAGTAATAATAATAATAATAATAATAATTTATTATTTATACCCCGCCCATCTGGCTGGGTTTCCCCAGCCACTCTGGGCGGCTTCCAACAGAACACTAAAATACAATAACCTATTAAACATTAAAAGCTTCCCTAGGCAGGGCTGCCTTCAGATGTCTTCTAAAAGTTTGGTAGTTGTTTTTCTCTTTGATATCTGGTGGGAGGGCGTTCCACAGGGCGGGTGCCACTACCGAGAAGGCCCTCATCTCAGTAACTCTTATTACATCCCGTCTAGCAGAAAGATGGAAGGAGAATAGAACTGGCAACATCCCTCTGACTTCTTACTCTCACTGCCACTATGAGCATTCAGTATTTACGGCGACCCTGTCAAAGCCCTGGTCTCGCTATGGAAAGGCGGGCGAGACTTTGCCTGGTTATGGGGATCACTGTGTTCCCGTTGTTAAAAGTATGGTATGTCTTCTCGCATGCTCCCTGCCAGAGGCCCATTTCACTCATTCAGAACAAGGGCATTAGGCTGAAATTATTTACAAATGGGATCCTCCTTAATGAGGGTCCTGGTTGCGCGCGGGCCCCTAAGGCACCCTCGCTGGGAGAGTTGTTGCCGGGAGTGGCCCAAGCCTTAACCGTTGGGCCCCGGGATCATGCCAGGCTGTTTGGGCCAATCAGGGCAGTTGGCGCGATTCCTGGGGCCTATAAAAGTGGCAGCGCGGCGTAACTGGGGTTACTTGCATTCGCGCTGCCGAATACCTGCCCTCCCTCCCTAATTTTATGTGCTGCTGCTTTGGCCTTGCTTTGGATTGGGTCGCCTGTTTTGGAGCAAGAGCTGGGTAGGAATTTTTCCATTTGACAGATTGGATGTAGCCACTTGGTTTTCGCCTACCCCCTTAGCAATCGTCACAACTTTGTAAGGTTTGGCGGTGAGGCATTGGCTTATTGAAGTGTGTGGGAGGGGAGGTGCGGCCATCACCTGCCCCTCCATGAATAAGGGTATTCCGGTAAAGGAATCTGGGGGTCTGGATCTCGTCTGAAGTCCGCTTGAGGGGCTAGGGCCATGCCAGGACGGCAGGAACCCCGGGGTGAGCTTCGTTGGTCTTCACCGATGTTGCTCCCTCGTTTGGTGTTTACCCTTTCAGACTTCCAGCCAGAGAGGCAGGAGTCAGTTATAGTCTGTTGCCAATGCCTAAGCCAACACCGCTCACTTTGCTGTAATCAATAATGCTGTGGCCTAAATTTTGCCCAATAACTTAAACTAAAATTACGTGTCAGTGTGAAGTTATTTTCAGGGGAAGGGCTTGGGGGCCTTGGAGCGCAAAGTAATTCTGTGCAACTCCCACAAACTATACACGGATCCAGTTTCCACCTGCTTAAAACAAGACAGCCATGCTATACCTGTAACACCTGTTCCGGTTTGAAGCATAGGAAGGGAAGGTGTAGATCCAGATCGATAAGTGGGCTGTCAGGATCCTCCTGAGATGGAAATATTACCTGGAGAGGCTTCGTATTAAATATCTAGGAGGAACAACAGAGGTGGGTGGTCAGCTATTTTTTGTGTCATAACCACAAACTGCAACTACAATATATTTTACAAACAAAAACAGTGAAAACAGGCCTAAGAATCGGGAACAAGAAGACTGCTTTTGCATGCAGAACATTCACAGATCTGCAGTATTATAGCACATTTCTTTGTCCAAATGAACAAGCTTTTGTATTTTTTTTGCTCATCTACAGGAAGGGACTAAACAAAGCAACCGGAGAATTTGACAATAGATTAAACTTATCTGACATCTACTGTGATAATGAGCCGTCTAGTCTAATCCCTTTCTGAGCAAGGAAATGTTAATTCATGTGAGAGGGGGCGGGAAGAGAAAATAACAGTTGCATTACTGAGCAGATGAACCGTGAAAACAAATGCAAATTCTGGTGTTAAGTAAGATGAGATTTAGTTAATAACTCCTGTAGAACTTATATTTATTATTTATTATTATTATTTCAAGCACAATCATGAGCAGTTGCAGTACAGGCTCAGATACTATAACACAAACAGAAAACTTACATTAAATTGCATCACTCGGTGACAAGTTCTCACACAGACTAAAGGTCCTAGGGGAGACTACAGAACTGTTCTGTATTCCCATGATTGCCAAATACTGGAATAAACCCTGAAAACTGTTGTGATCAGATACCTATTGACAAAGGCTCAACCCAGACCCTAAACAGGCTCTAGACGAAGAGAGAGAATGAAGATTGAATGCAAACTCCTACAGTCTGAACTGAAAACAAAAAAACCCCCAGAAACGCACATTCTTCGATGAATTATGTCATGTCCTGCAAAATAAGGATAACCTCCATTATTCCTCTTTAAAGGTAAAGGGACCCCTGACCATTAGGTCCAGTCGTGACCGACTCTGGGGTTGGGGCGCTCATCTCGCTTTATTGGCTGAGGGAGCCGGCATACAGCTTCTGGGTCATGTGGCCGAACCAGAGCAGCGCACAGAAACACCATTTACCTTCCCGCCAGAGTGGTACCTATTTATCTACTTGCGCTTTGACGTCCTTTCGAACTGCTAGGTTGGCAGGAGCAGGGACCAAGCAACGGAAGCTCACCCCATCGCTGGGATTCGAACCGCCGACCTTCTGATCGGCAAGCCCTAGGCTCTGTGGTTTAACCCACAGCGCCACTACCTAAAAATCCCAGCGTGGGCAGAAAAACATTGCAGTCCTAAAAGCAGAGTAGAAATAGAGGTCCTAAAAGACAGGGAACACCCAAGGCAGAAATGTGTAGGACAGGAACAGAACTTGAATCTTCAAACATGGATTACTGCCAAATAGCAGTAAAGAAGAAGGAAAGGCGATTTCCAGCAGGAAAAGCAGAAGATAGGGAGAGCTAAAGCATTTCCTCCCACACACCCCCATTTCCCCCCTGCAACCCCTCCCTCCCCTACAGTCAAAATAACATGGGAGGGAGAGAGGGAATGCAGAGACAAGATGTTCCCAACCATCGTCTCTCCACTGAAACTCCACTGTCCTATATTATTGCGAATGGCAGGGGTGACCTGAATTTGCAGACACAAGCCTGCTGCTGTCTGGTGTCAAGGCACCTTCATCGTGTAGTTTTCTTGATACGCTGAAAGTGCACCTCTCTTTGACAACTGAGATATGCATTCTAGGACACGCCCTCCCCCCTTCATTCTGTAATCTGTTTTAACTGATTCCGAAAGTGTGTTTTTAAAATTGCTGTAAGCCACTTTCCCTTCCTCTCTTATTTTTCCCTAGGCCTGCATATTTTTTTGTTTTTTATACATATTTTGACTGCGTCAGACCAACACGGCTACCTACCTGAATCTAAAGTAATGTTCCGGTTTGCAGACATTTTCTGGAAGTCAAATGTGCTCTGTTTTGACTGCTACGCTTCCAATTTGAGTGCCACACTTCCGTTTTAAGTGTTACACTGAGGTCTGTCTGTTTTTGTTATTTATTTTGCATTTTTGCTTCTGCGGCTCTTTTTCGTTTTGTTTTTGTGACTGTGTGTAACCCAGTTCAGCTACTGACTGATTGAATGATTGTATGACTGCAGTACATTGTTTACTGCTTTCATTTTATGGATCGATGGTCTCGTTAGATAGTAAAATTCATGTTAAACTGCTGTTTTAGGGGTTGTTTTTAAAAGTCAGGAACGGATTAATCCGTTTTGCATTACTTTCTATGGGAAAGCACGCCTTGGTTTAGAAACGCTTTGGTTTTGGAACAGACTTCCGGAACGGATTAAGTTTGAGAACCAAGGTACCACTGTAGACAACAAATTGAAGGGTAAGTTTGGTCTGGAGGGAAAAATGAAGAATGGAGGAGGAGAAGAAGAGTTTGGATTTGATATCCTGCTTTATCACTACCTGAAGGAGTCTCATAGCAGCTAACATTCTCCTTTCCCTTCCTCCCCCACAACAAACACTCTGTGAGGTGAGTGAGGCTGAGAGACTTCAGAGAAGTGTGACTAGCCCAAGGTCACCCAGCAGCTGCATGTGGAGGAGCGGGGAAGCAAACCCAGTTCACCAGATTACGAGTCCACTGCTCTTAACCACTACACCATGCTGGCCTAGGGAAAAATAAGAGAGGAAGGGAAAGTGGCCATGAGCCTTTGCTCTTCTGAGCACCAGTCATGAACCAAGTTCTTCAGAACAGGGTTATTTTAAGTTCCTTCATTTCCAGACAAACACTAAGGAAGCTAATATACAGCAGAATAAAATGTAGTATCTTGCAGAATTACCAAGTGCAAAGGTCCTGGAGGAGGAGTGGGGATTAAACACAGTCTGGCGGCGAATTCTTTTATATAGTTATCAACATCTAAATCCTTGTAAGACTTCAATTGTGCCAATAAGCTGAAATAATAAAAAAGCAAATAGAAGTAAAGCATATGTCAGTAGAAGGCAAAATTACTTTTAGTAAAATTCTCATTCCTTCAAAGTATGTTTTCTTCTGTACAGTATATATCCACCAACTTACTGCAGTCCTTCTTTGTGTTGTTTTTGGTGCCTGCTAAAAACTGCTTTGCTCCAACGAAATATACTTAGATATATTTTAAAAATATGTGTTTAGATATATATTTTTAAAATGTATCTAAATACGTGCCTTGCTTTCATATGTTTTTGATGAATATTTTAGTTTGTCTTTAGCTTGAGTAAGCGGTATATAAATTTTGTTAAATAAATCAAAATGCATCACAATATACATAACTGCAACAGACTAAATCCATGCTTACAACCATCACTAACCTCTGAATAACTGTTGAAAGAAATACATTTTAAGTGCCGTTCTGAACACAGGGAACCCAATTAATTTCCACCTATAAGGACACTGATTAATTATAGCACTGCCTGTTGGGGCATACCTTCCTTCCAATCTGCAAACCTACTTGGAAGGACAGTTTTAAAATAAATCGTTTCCTACTCCACACTGATGTGAAGACAGAGACCGTTCAAGCAAAATGCTGCAGCGTTGCCTACAAATAGGTGAATCTGCTGCCTTAATTTGGCTGCCTTTGCCTCCCAACAGTTGTAATTGGTCACTAAAAGCTCTCTTACTGTGATATAGAATATTTTGACAGCTTCTGTAACAAATAAAATCACAGCCATGGGTGCAAGTTACTGCCATTGAAGTAGCTTAGATCATAACCCTTACCAGGACAGACAGTCTTTGAGGGCATTGAAGTAGGGATACCTAGATATGATGCACACTGCAAATGGCACAAAATATGAAGCAGATCTGGAGCTCTTTGCCGTTTCCCAAGAAGCTTGTCCATTATAGAAGATGTGGGCATCCTGCAAGAAAACTGCGTGTTACTTTAGGCACTTGTCAAAAAAACTCAGTTTTGGAAAACGAAGAAGCACATTTACAAAATAAAGGACATAATGTTGACTTTAAGAACCGCTCATGTTGCAGTACATATTAGGCACTCAAGACCCATTCTAATTCTACAATAACAATAACAACAACAACAACAACAACAACAACAATTTATTATTTATACCCTGCCCATCTGGTTAACAACAACAACAACAACAATAATTTATTATTTATACCCTGCCCATATGGTTGGGTTTCCCCAGCCACTCTGGGTGGCTCCCAACAGTATATTATTATTATTATTATTATCATTAAAAGCAATAAACATCAAACATTAAAAACTTCCTTAAACAGGGCTGCCTTCAGATGTCTTCTAAAAATCAGATAGTTGTATATTTCCTTGACATCTGGTGGGAGGGCATTCCACAGGGCGGGCGCCACCACCGAGAAGGCCCTCTGACTGGTTCCCTGTAACTTCACTTCTTGCAGTGAGGGAACCGCCAGAAGGCCCTCGGAGCTTGACCTCAGTGTCCGGGCTGAATGATGGGGGTGGAGATGCTCCTTCAGGTATACTGGGCCGAGGCTGTTTAGGGCTTTAAAGGTCAGCACCAACACTCTGAATTGTGTTCAGAAACGTACTGGGAGCCAACGTAGGTCTTTCAGGGCCAGTGTTATACGGTGTTATATTCTTTGGGGAATTCCCATGTTCAGCTTACAAAAGCCACCCTACAGGTTTATGATCACGTGTTAATAACAAGTTACCTGAGTTGACAAAGTCGAAAGCATTCGCCCTAGATATATCTGTGACTAGAACTCACAATCAAGAACTCTGCTGGGTCTTGCTTCTTCAGAGATCTATGCCCTGAACTGTAAGAACTTAGCAGTAGCTAAAGATACAGACACTAGATGACTAATTTTAAGAATGGTCAGCATTTGCAAATGATCAGCTCAGCATTTGGGCTTGTCAGATTAGGAGCACAGGAGCAGGGTAAACAACCTACTTGCATAGGCCGGTAATACTGTGCGACAACACCATACGTTCTGTTACCACAGACGTCGGTGAAAACAAGGAAATGGATGCGGTCTTCTGTGGATTCCAACGCTATATTAAATCCTCCTGCAAATGAGATGAACATATTGTAAGGCACAGCGCCAATAAAAGTTAGCAGTAGTGAACACAGTTACGAATTGCCATCTTCAGATGAAGGGCAGTATATAGATTTAATACATAACAACAACAGCAACAGCAACAACAACAACAACAACAACAACTACAGTGCACATATTTGCAGACCCTGAAAATTGGTTCCAGGAGTGAAATTAGGAATCAACTTCCTGGGCAGAGCAATCCAAACAGTTTGTATTTTAAAATGCAAAGCCAACATTGCTTCCAAGAATACACGAGACAGTTCAGGCGGTGTTGTTTGTTTTCCCAAGCTGGGGGGAAAGAAAGGACAGATCCTTTGGATCCATGCCTTCCTGTGATCTTCACCCGGCACAGATGTTCAACATCTGCACAGACCACTGGCAGAGGTCACAAAGATTGCCACATTGCCAGGGAGCACCTCTCTTTCTCTCTGCCGCGGCCCCTTGGAACACCCTCCCCCTGGGGACCAAAGGATCACAGCCTTAATCAATCAAATTAATTTAGCCTATTAAAATACCACCCAGAATAGCAGCGTTTTTGCTCTTAAGATTTTCTTGGTACGGCATATTTTTCTCTTGTAGCCGAGATGCAGCTTATACTATTTGCATGGGGATGAGAGTTATACACAGTAGCCCAGAATCAGAATAGGAATCATTGGTTAGGTAATCATGTAACCCACCATTAGATTCTAATGCATGATCTATCTATCTATCATCTATCTATCTATTTATTTATTTATATCTATCTATCTATCTATCTATCTAACATCTATCTATCTATCTAATCATCTATCTATCATCTCTCTATTTCTCCCTCTCTCTCTATCCAGCGCTTTCTTTCTGGGGGGGGGGGACGCAGGGGGACGCATACCCCTAAACATTTTATGAATCTCTGTAAAGGTAAAGGTAAAGGGACCACTGACCATTAGGTCCAGTCGTGGCCGACTCTGGGCACTCATCTCGCTTTATTGGCCGAGGGAGCCAGCGTACAGCTTCCAGGTCATGTGGCCAGCATGACAAAGCCGTTTCTGGCGAACCAGAGCAGCACACGGAAACGCCGTTTACCTTCCTGCCGGAAGGTATTTATCTACTTTCACTTTGACGTGCTTTCGAACTGCTGGGTTGGCAGGAGCAGGGACCAAGCAACGGGAGCTCACCCCGTCGCGGGGATTCAAACCGCCATTCTTCTGATCAGCAAGTCCTAGGCTCTGTGGTTTAACCCACAGCGCCACCTGCATCCCTCTTGTGAATCTTTGTACTTTTGTCCATTTACTGAATTTATTTTTCCCGATTTAAACTATAAAATGGTGATTCTCTTGAGTGAAAATGAGAGTACCCCTGAACATTTTTTTAAGGAAAAAAACACTGTATCTATCGATCATCAATAAAATGATTCCCCCTTTTCCAGAAGCACTACAAGTCCCCTGCTTTTATGCATCAATACTGATCCTATCTGTTAACAGACATGAAACTGATTATTAAAATGACAGGGGCTCACATTACCTGGAAAGCAAAGCTGTGGCAATCCATTAAGGTCAATGTCTATGGGGATGGTAATATCTTCAGTCTCAGGAATTTTATGGGCTCCATTCAGAGCTTTTGCAGTGTCAATCTTGGATTTCTCTTTCTTTTTCCGAAAGGAACGCCGTTTCCCTTTATTGAACGCATTCCTATTTATATTTGTGGTTTGCAACTCCTCCTTGCTGATGAACGGAGGTACAAAAACAGAAAGTACTTCTGGTTCGAAGGGAGGGGCGCTTCTTATGTCATGTCTTTGAGCAACCTAAAAACAATAAAATAATAACAATTGTTGTTTTGTCCCCAAATGATGGTTCACATATAAGAAATTTACTTCTGCTACTACTTAGCAGCAATTTATTTTTGTTATGAAACAATCCACCCCAGCTAAAACAATATTTTTAAAAGAATGTTACTATTATTATTTGGCAATAATTACATCTTCAGTCTTCATCCTCTTATGTATTATCTTCATTTTGTACATGGTGCTCTCCACACATATATCCAATACTAAATTCTACTGTACCTGTTGAATTGTACTTCCAAGTAAACAAACTCTAAGTCTACTGGTTCAAAATTAAAGCCAAGAGCATTTAACTAGGTGCAAAAGTCCACCCACTGTAAGTTCTTTCTTCAAGAATTAATAATACACATTAACTGAAACATTAGGAATGTTATTATTTCAATTTGTTACCTACCTTTCAACCTAAGATCCTGGGGCAGGTTACAGCAATTAAATCGCAATGTTAAAAGCAGTTCAATACAATTTACCGTCACAAAAATATGGTGGGCCCTAAAACTAGAGACCCCGGGTGTCAAAAAGCAAAGGTAAAGAGGTATGTCTTTAGTATTCGATGAAGATGCCAAACTCACCTCTATGGGGAGAGAGCTCCACAGCTTTGTGGCTGTCACAGAGAATAGGTAAAGGTAAAAGGTAAAGGAACCCTGGACGGTTAAGTCCAGTCAAAGGCGACTACGGGGTTGCGGCACTCATCTCGCTTCAGGCCAAGGGAGCCGGTGTTTGTCCACAGACAGCTTTCCAGGTCATGTAGCCAGCAAGACTAAACTGCTTCTGGCGCAACAGAACACCATGACGGAAGCCAGAGCGCACGGAAACGCCATTAACTACCCGTCACAGTGGTAACTATTTATCTACTTGTGCTGGTGTGTACAACTGCTAGGTTGGCAGAAGCTGGGACAGAGCAACGGGCGCTCACCCTGTCACGGGGATTCGAACCGCTGACCTTCCGATCAGCAAGCCCAAGACCACAGCGCCACCTGCATCACAGAGAATGTCCTCCCCCAGGCCACCAGCATCCCAAGCTTACAGAAGTGATGGAACAACCAACAGGGACTGCTCTGCTAATCTTAACACCCAAGGGGATCTGTAGGAAAGGAGGCAAGCCTTCAGATGATTGGAGCCTGAGTCATTTGAGGCTTTAAACACTAACACGAGCACCTTGAACTGGGCCCAGAAATAGAACTGGCAATCAGTGCTGCTGTTTTGCAAGATCTAAATGGAACCCAAACAGTAATCCGGCTGCTGCATTTTGAACCTACCGAAGTTTCTCGTTCATCTTCAAGAGCATCCCCAAGCACAGTGCAGTCATCCAAATGGGATGCTACCAGAGCCATGTCACTTCCTGTCCAGAAGGGGCCACAGCTGTTGAACCAGCCATGGCTGGAAAAAGACACTCCAAGCCATCGAGGTCATCTAAGCTTCCAGATTCAGGAGGACCTCCAAGCTGTGAACCTCCTTTTTCCAAAAGACTGCAACCCTGTCCAAACCCCTACCCACCTCCTGGACATGAGCAGGTCAGTCTACAGTAAAAGTCACAAATAATGGGTTGCGTCCATGTTAGTCCTACTCAAACTGGACATGAGGAACTTAGGTTCGTTTATGTCAAGGGGCCTGCTCATCAGCATCTGTCTGTCTCGAGAGACAATGGAGTGCGCCCCCGGGGTGAAGTCAAACCACTGCATTAGCAAGATCAAAGTGACCTCTTCAGTGTGTATGGAGGTCCTGGGCTGCCCAGAAGACAATCCCCACCTCCTGGCCTCACTGGTGTGGTCCAAAGGAAGCAGAGCAAGATGTTTGGCACGAGCTTGGCTGCAGGAGTTGCTGGTAGGGGGTGTACGAGGCAACATCCAGCTATCTTAAGAGACTCCTCCAAATTTGTGTAGTTTACACTCCAGGCTTCCTCAACCTCGGCCCTCCAGATGTTTTGAGATTACAATTCCCAACATCCCTGACCACTGGTCCTGCTAGCTAGGGATCATGGGAGTTGTAGGCCAAAAACATCTGGAGGGCCGAGGTTGACAAAGCCTGTTATACTCCCTAGGCCAGAGGTCGGCAACGTGTGACCCATGGGCTGGATGTGGCCCACGAAGGCCAGTTTAGCAGCCCACGAGCTGCCCGCAAACCGAGCCACCCGCATGGCAAGTCCCCCGTGCACTGCACTAAACCAGCACAGCATGGCGCAGGGACTCGCCAAGTGGCGCCGGAAATGGCATCTGTGCACGTGCAGATACCAGAAATCACGTCTGTGCGTGTCCAGATGCCGGAAATTGTTTTGGGACTACAACTCCCATCACCCCTAGCTAACAGGACCAGTGGTCAGGGATGATGGGAATTGTAGTCCCAAAACATCTGGATGGCGGAGTTTGCCTATGCATGGTCTAGTAGTTAACAATATTGGGAGCAAAGTCAAGAAATCCTAAGCTAATACAGATTCTATGCCGGTTTCTCAGGAACTTGCGACACCCTTAAATCCATCTTGCTTCAAGACATTTTTCTTTTCAATTTTATGCAAAGTATGACCATTATCAACCAATAAAACCAAATAAAATCAACTAAGCACGTTGATCTTCATCTAGTTCATTCTACTGAAGTCAGTTTGTAAGATGTCGGTGGCGAAACAAACTAAGCATGCTATTTTGCAACCAGTTCAGTTCATTCTGCTGAAACTGACTCATAGGAAGAAGTCTTCTATAGGAAGTGCCCAGGCCACTCCATCATACTCCATTTCAGATGGTGCCCCCCCCCCAATGTTGCTGAACTCCAACTCCCATTAGCCCCAGCCAGAGATGGTGGGAACCACATGGCTTACCCCTGCTCTAGGCAAATCATTAAACCGCCTTCAGGATCAGGAAGCAATGCCCTTCCCTGGGGTAAGGGGGCAGACCTACCAATGGCTATCAGAATGCCTATCAGCTTTTCCCCATTCCCAGTCTAGCCATGAGATGAACAGCTGCCAACGGGGGTAGCTTTCAGTCAATGAAAAAAGAAAGATTTAAATGGCAAGGATGTTTCATATAACTGCCTAAGCATGCAAGCAGTGGTGGTGCCCGGGAAAGGGGATCTGGGAACCAAAAGAGTACTTATCAAAATCATATTGCCGTTTTCAGCGGATAATAAATCAGTTTGACACCCTGGTCATATGAGTGACACCCTACTTTAGATTCAGGTAGGTAGCCATGTTGGTCTGATGCAGTCAAAATAAATATTAAAAAATTGTCCAGTAGCACCTAGAGACCAACTAAGTTTGTTCTGGGTATAAGCTATACCCAGAACAAACTTAAAAGGTAAAGGATCCCTGACAGTTAAGAAGTCCAGTTGCAAACGATTCTGGGGTTGCGGTGCTCATCTCACTTTACTGGCCGAGGGAGCCGGCATTTGTCCGCAGACAGTTTTTCCGGGCCATGTGGCCAGCATGACTAAATCGCTTCTAGCGAAACCAGAGCAGTGCACGGAAACGCCGTTTACCTCCCCGCTGGAGCGGTACCTATTTATCTACTTGCACTTTGACATGCTTTCGAACTGCTAGGTTGGCAGGAGCTGGGACCGAACAATGGGAGCTCACCCCATCGCAGGGATTCGAACCGCAGACCTTCCAATCGGCAAGCCCAAGGCTTAGTGGTTTACACCACAGTGCCATCCGCGTCCCTAGAACAAACTTAGTTGGTCTCAAAGGTGCTACTGGACATTTATTTTTAATTTGTTTTATTTAACCCTACTTTTGAGACCACACAAACGTCACAATGCCAAATAGTCGTTGCCATTCCTCACACAAACTCTCCCCACCAACAAAGGAGCTGTGGATCCACTTTTGAACAACCTGTAACCAATTCAGATGGAAGATAGTTGTTCAACAAATGAGCTGTTCTGCTTAAATAGCCCTCATCAGAAAAGAAAACAACAACATATTAGGCAATCTGATGAAGTAGAGAAGTCTACAAAAGCTTATGAAAAATAAGCTTACTGGACGAAAGAAGAATGGCAGACAAAATTAATGGATTACACAGAATTAGACAAAATGACAGGAAGGATTCGAAACCTGCGGGACCAGAGATTCACAGAAGATTGGAAAAAATATACGAACTATTTGAAGAGCAACTGTAATCAACAAATTACGCTAGTAGGACTACAAGAAGTTTTGTAAAGAGAAATATATGAAACATTGCAAAGTAGAAAAAGAATAGAGATATTAGTTATGAGATTTAAATGTAATAGTGAAAGTAAGAAATGTACTGTATTAAGTGATTAGATTGGAAAATTTTCAGAGGTGATTGATGGAAGTTAAAAAATTTCTATAAGATGCAAAAGTATGTTATGTATGTTTAATTACTGTTGAAAATGATATGTTAAAAAACTAATAAAATTGGGGGGGGGGCACCTCGGGTTAAGTACTTAATTCATTCCGGAGGTCTGTTCTTAACCTGAAACTGTTCTTAACCTGAAGCACCACTTTAGCTAATGGGGCCTCCTGCTGCCGCCGCACCGCCAGAGCACGATTTCTGTTCTCATCCTGCAGCAAAGTTCTTAACCTGAAGCACTATTTCTGGGTTAGCAGAGTCTGTAACCTGAAGCGTATGTAACCCGAGGTACTACTGTATATAAGAAAAATAAGCTTATTGGTCTTTAAAGTCCCACTAGACTCTTGGTGTGTGTTTTCCCTGCAAGCAACCAACACAGCTAACCCTCTGGAAACCATAAGGGCTTGGTGATTAAGACTTAAGTGTTGCAGCATGCTAACGAAACGTCACAGGCTGGTGACATGCCCACTTTAAAGCAAAGTGGCACAACTCCATTTCACAACATCTCAACTCTTAGGAAGTGGCGGCGGTTGTTTCTTTTTCTTCTTTTTTAATCTGCAGAAACCACACACTCACCTTGTAAAAGGAAATAAAACATTTTTTAAAAAAGTCTTCCCTTGCCCCCAAGCTCCTAACATGTAAATAAAGGCCAAAGAAGGAAGTTGACAAATTAGTGAGACAGGCAAGATAATCTTAAACTCCTGCGATCTATTATGTATTTACAAGGGGATCTGTGGGAAAGAAACCGTGTTGTTTTTTCCTTCTCAGCCTCAGGGTGGATTTACCAGTTTGTCAGCGCATCAGGAACACGTTAACAGCTTTGCACAGTTACATAGCACAGAAATGCAGCCGCGCTGGTTTAAACGGATCTCAAGGGTGCATAGAAAGCGATTTGTTCCACCTTTCCCCTGCAGTCACCAATCCTGCGAAAGCGTAGCAGCTTAGTCCCTTTTCCCTTTTTTACCTGGTACATTTCCTTCTCCCTTTCTCTAGGGACGCCGACCAACACGCAGATCTCCAGCACTGAAGAAGGGAGCACATCTTCCATAGCAAGGGCGCGGAGCCCACAAGAAGCCGAGGAACCCGGGCTGCTTCCTGCCCCTTCCAGACGGAGCCCACAGACCCCGGACAGCCAAGTTCAGTTCCTCCAGCCCTGTAGAAAGAAGGGAAGAGGAGAATGGGAGGTGAAGGCAGCAGCCTCCTGGCTTCCGAGAAGGAAAGAAACAAACGAGGTCTGTGTCATCCGCTATGGGAGGAGCCGCTGAAAACTCTCCTCACTCAGAGGGCTGGATAAAAAGTTAAAAACCAACAGGGAAAGGGATCGAAAGGAAAGTTGACACCTGCAAGGAGTAGCAAATCTCACCCCATGGCACTTCTGTTTCCAAGCACCCTTTGCAACGAAAGTGGGGGGGTTTGGTCCCAAAATAAGGAATAAAAGCAGCCTTCAGTCTCTGCTCGCCCTGGGATGGAGGGGAAAGGAAGGGGTTGCCTGACCGTCTCTTCACTTATTTTGGGTGCATTTTTTCACTTTCTTTTTTAATCTCAAAATTGACAGCAAAGGGGGGTGAGATGGGGGGGGCTCCCTCCTCCCGATTTCTTCACCCGACCCCAAAATTTGGGGAGGGGGAATTTGTTGGCCAGCTCACCGCATTCAAACAAAATAATAATAATAATAATAATAATAATAATAATAATAACGACGACTCTGGGAGGCTTCCAACAAAACACTAATATACAAAATAACCTATTAAACATTAAAAGCTTCCCTAAACAGGGCTGCCTTCAGATGTCTTCTAAAAGTTCGGTAGTTGTTTTTCTCTTTGACATCTGGTGGGAGGGGGTTCCACAGGGCGGGTGCCACTACCGAGAAGGCCCAATGAACAACACCCCAATGAAGGGGGTTTCGTTGGGAAACTGGGGGTGGCATATAGCCCTAACTTCAAGCTCGGCTCCCAAACACCCGCAAAATAGTGGGGGGGGGGAGCAGTCCTCTCTTAAGTTGGCTCTCCTGACATCCATCTGCCCATTTGCAGAGGCTTCGAATCACAGGATTATAGACTCCAGGAGAGTTGGAAGGGACCCCCAAAGTCATCTAGTCCAACCCCCTGCAATGCAGGAATCTCAACATATGGTCGCGTCCCCCCCCCCCAACAACATCCAATTTGAAACTGTACAGGACCTTGCTTAGGCAAATGTGCCAGCGGTTTTATTTTAATCTTGTTTTTAAGTTGTATTCATTCAGCTTCTTTTTATTATTGGTTGTTAGCCGCCCTGAGCCTGGCCTTGGCTGGGGAGGGCGGGGTATAAATAAAAAAAATTATTATTATCGTTATTGCGCACCCCCACCCCCCAAATGAAGACAAGAAAGCAAAAGCAGATGCCCCGGTGGTTTTGAAAATGGGGGGAAACACACCTTCTCTCCCCAATATTTCATTAACGTTTAGAGAGCTCCTGCCCACCCCCCTCAAAAAAGGGGGAAGGCAAAAAAGACCCCCACCCCAAAAAAGGGGGAAGCAAAAAGACACCACCCCCAAAAATAGAGGGAGGCAGAAAAGACACCCCCAAAATGGGGAAGGCAAAAAAAACCCCAAAAAGGGGGGAAGCAATAAGACACCCCAAAAAGGAGGCAAAAAAGACACCCCCAAAATGGGGAAGGCAAAAAAACCCCAAAAAGGGGGGAAGCAAAAAGACACCCCAAAAAGGCAACCCCAAAATGGGGAAGGCAAAAAAAACCCCAAAAGGGGGGGAAGCAATAAGACACCCCAAAATGGGAAGGCAAAAGACACCCAAAATGGGGAAGGCAAAAGACACCCCAAAAGGGAAGCAAAGACACCCCAAAAAGGAGGCAAAAAAGACACCCCCAAAATGGGGAAGGCCAAAAAACAACCCAAAAATAATAATTTGGGGGAAACCTCTAAAGAGCTGCCTCTGAGGGGCTTCTCCTCACTTCTCAGTGCCAAGTGGGGTGGCAAAAAATGGAGAGGCGCCCGCCCCCCAACTCAATCTCTCCTCAGCCCAGTTAAAAAGGGGAAGATATGGAAGACACACACGGCCCCTTCCAGGAAGAAGGGCCGGCTCCCCTCACCCCACCTCGGCCGAGGAAAAGGGGGCGCCCTCAGGCCCACCCCCCAGTCCCAAAGTCCAGCGTCCCTCCAGCTGGGACACCCACACGCCCCACCGCGCCGCCCCTGCCCGCGGAGGCCTCGGCGGGTGGGAGAGGCGGAGTCCCGGGCGGCTTCCCTCGCGCAGGGGAGGAGCGGGAGAGGCTGCCCGCGGCGCGGAGGCAGGAAGTCGGGGAGGAGGAGGAGGAGGAGGAGGAGGGCGGAGGCGGCGCGGGCGGCAGAAGAAGGGGAGGGTCCGAGCGTATTTCTTATGGCTATTATAGGGCAATCGATTTTAAAAAACCAAAACAAACCCTGGTAGGATTTATTTTTAGATTTCATCAAGTTTCATGCACCACTAGTGTGTGCATATAAACTCTGTTTGTTTGATTCATAAAGTTTAATGCATCGCTGGATTTTTATTTTTCTGTGTACATATATACAAATACACACACACACACACACATACACACACACACACACACACACACACACACACATATATATATATATATATATACACACACACACACACACACACACATACATATACATACATACAGCATACACACACACACACACACACATATATATATATATATATATATACATACATACAGCATAGCTGTCAACTTTTTTCTTGCGAGGAATCCTATTCGGAATAAGGGAATTTCCCTTTAAAAAAGGAAAACATTGACAGCTATGACATACATACAGACACACACACACACACACACACACACATATAATCCCTCTTTAATTATTTCATAAAATTTAACCGTTGCATTATGTGTGTCTAATTTTTTACTTTGAAAAAAAAAATCACCTCTTTATTTATTTATTTCATGAATGCACCACTTGATCGTTTTGGGGTTTTTCAATAATAATAATAATAATAATAAATCACTCAAAGTGGTTTCTGAAAAGGCAAGGCAATACTGCAAAATGGAGAGAAATCCACAGCCCTGCTTCACGACATATGAAAGCTAAAATGGCAAAAGCAGATCAGAGTTTTACCTGAACTTTCTAACATGCCTAAACAGGAATGCTTTTAGCGGGTGCCGAAAAGAGAAAAGCGAAGGCGCCTGCTTGGTCTCAATTGGCAGGGAGTTCCAAAGTGCTACACTAAATGACCAAGTTCTTGCAAATGCAGAAGAGTTATTAGGTAGCACCTGTAAAAAGGTAAAGGTACAGGGACCCCTGACAGTTAAATCCAGTCCCGAACGACTCTGGGGTTGCGGCACTCATCTCACTTTACTGGTCAAGGGAGCCGGTGTTTGTCCACTTCTGCAGGCAGTTTTCCGGGTCATGTGGCCAGCAACGGAACACCGAAACCAGAGCAGTGCACGGAAACGCCGTTTACCTTCCCGCCTGAGTGGTACCTATTTATCTACTTGCACTTTGACGTGCTTTCAAACTGCTAGGTGGGCAGGAGCTGGGACTGAGCAACGGGAGCTCACCCCGTCACGGGGCCTCGAACCGCCGACCTTCCGATCGGCAAGTCCAAGTGGCTCAGTGGTTTAAACCACAGCGCCACCTGTGTCCAGGTAGCAACTGTAGTAGTGCCAATTAAAACTGCAGTGGTACCTCTGGTTGCAAATGGGATCCGTTCCGGAGGCCCGTTCGCAACATGAATGGAATGCAACCCGCAGCAGCACGTCTGCGCATGTGCAGGTTGCAATTCGCTGCTTCTGCGCATGCGCGGGGACATCATTGTGCGCGTCTGTGCATGCACGAGCAGCGAAACCCGGAAGTAGCCCTTTCCAGTACTTCCGGGTCACCACGGGACGTAACCTGAAAGAACGTAACATGAAGCGGACGTAACATGAGGCATGACTGTATACACAATATATAAATCAATTTGATTTTCTCTATGGTTCTTTTTGTTTCTTCACTGGATTTCTATTTCTTGTTTTATATATATATGTATATGTATATGTATATGTATATATCTATCTCCATATTAGTTGAATCCATCAGGTGCACTACAATATCTTTTGTTTTCTCATTACCTACTTAGAGGCTGTCTTTTTAGGGATTCCGGACAAGCTCAGACATCATAAACTCACTCTCACACACTACAAATTTCCAATAATATTATGAATAAACGTTTAAAAACTCGGGGCCAGTTAAAACAGATACAGTGCTGCCCACCTCGGCAGAAATAAAAAAGTTATCCATTATAAGATAGTGCTCTAAAAATAATGCTAGCAATGGTTTGCAGAGGAGTAGCTGCATTTACAGAATGTTAACCATTTCCTTTTCTTCCTTTTCTTGTAAAGTTAATATTATTATTTCATTTATAATGTATATAAAACAGAAGGAACAATTATGACAAACAGGCAAAAACTGAAAGATGAAAAACAAGGCGTCAGAATGGCTCTATTAGCAGTAGCTATTGTTCCTACAATGGATCATGGGAGACCGGTTCCATGATTAGAAAAGTTCATGTATTGGTGGAAATAGCAATAATAGCGTTCCCCTTCCCTTGGTTGGCTACATCTGTACTGTATTTCTATTATTCTGTTCCGAATTAACTGTAGAAATGGATGACGGGCCTCCTCAAGGCATAAGAAGGCTATTAAATTAGGGTTACCAGACATCCCCGTTTCCCAGGGACAGTCCCCGGATTTACGAATAAGCCCCCAGACAAATTCCATCCCTGGAATGTCCCCGGATTTCATCTCATGTCCCTGGGAAACGCAGCAGCGGCAGTCTCAGCAGCCCGGAGCAGTTGGCTCTGGCTGGCTTCAGGAGCTGCTCGGAAGTCCCCATATGATGGTGGTACAGGGGGTCTAAGATGCAGCTTCCGGGCTGCCCCCACCTTCCCTGACCCCAGCAACTAAGCTGTGAAGGGAGGCTCCATGCTGCCTATCGGAGCAGCCTCCCCATTCCTACTTGCGTGCAAGCAGGAGCGGGGCGGGGATCTCTTAGCTGTGAAGGGAGGCTTCACGCTGCCTATCAGAGCAACTGGGAAGCCTCCCTTCCCAGCTGAGGGACCCCCATCCCCTCCTGCTTGCACAGAAGTAGGAATGCGATTGGGGCTGCTCTGATGGGAAGGGAGGCATCGCGCTGCTCAAGCCTCCCCACCGCCACTCTCGGTCCTCCTTCTCCGCCTTCCATGCCTGACTGCTTCCCCACCACCACCACCAAAGAACCAACAACTTAGGGGCTGCCCAGGCTCAGGGAGAAAGGAGATAGAAGCCTTGGAGGAAGTGGCGGTTGAGGTCAAGGCAGCGGCCGCCCCCTGCTACCGCCATCACTGCAGCATCAACATCCTGAACGTGTATTTATTTATTTATTTTGAGGCATCTGATCAAAATCTGCTTTGAGCTTAAAAAATTATATTTGTAAATATATTTTTCTCTGCCAGGGAGAGACCAGCTGAATACTCTGGCAGCTGTTCAAGGGGCCCCACTGCTATAAATAAAAGTATTTCAGGGTTGTAAAAGGAAATTAGAGCCAGAGAGCAAAAGGTCACACTGACCAGAATACAATCAAGCTGCAAAAACACAATTAAGAGCTGGTAAATAGTGAAATTTATTGTTTAACAGAAGACTCGAGCCATAAGGTTAAAGGTTAAATTGCAAGAGGAACAGCAGCTGGTTAAAAAAAAAAAGCTTCTCTCCAAGCTGTTTTGAAGCTTCAGAGAATTTATAGAACTTAGGAACTTAGCTTTTACTAAATTCCTTTAATTTGAAAAGGCCTTTCCTTCTAAAAATCTATCTATGTTATGTATGAAATATATTGGCTTAAATGTGATTATGCAAAGGATTTAGAAAGTAAGAAATGTTAGATTCTTATGTTAGATTCCTATTATGGTGGGTGAGAAGGTGAACTCAAGATCTCTTTAAGATAAAAAAAATTAGAAACCATGCACCATCTGCTTTAGCCATCTGGTTTGCGGTGAATAGGGCAACAGGGGCCAAAGGTTATCTGGTAATTGAGGTGCCTGGTCGAGGTAAATGTAAGATATATGGCTACTTGTCTGCCATTTATGGATACAAGGAAATATAGCTTTTTGTCTCCCATAAAAGGAAATAGGAAATGGGTGTATCTTTTATGATTGGTTCTAGCAAACAACCAATAGGAATTTCAACCAGGCTGATTGGACAGAGGCAGCCAAAGGAGGAGCAAGGGGGCTGGGCTGAGGAAATATAAGTGCTGGCCATCAGGGCTGGAGTAGGCAGAGCTTTGGTATCCATATACCACTGTGTCTCTCATTTATTTGTCTGACAAATAAATTATTATTTTAATTTCTCTATTGCTGCGTTGAATATTTCATTCCAGCTAAGCGTTAACCACAAGCAAGGTGCTACAATTTAAAGTGTCCCCGGATTCATTGGAAAAAATCTGGTAACCTTATATCAAATGGCAAAGAAAACAATTTCCCCAGTCGCTGTAGAAAGAAGCAATTGCAGATTTGAAACAGTAAGAAAAGGTTCCTTTTGGGGGGGGAAGGGCAGTATTATTCATAATGTATCCATAGCTCAATGCAAGTTCTTTTGAGGGCTTACACCCAGGAAAGTGGGTACGGGGTTTCCAGTGTTTATTTGCTGCAGGGGAAGGAAGAGGAAACTGTTGCCCTCCGAATTTTGTCGCACTTACAGCTCCCCCCATCCCTGAACATTGCTGCCTGAGGCTGATGGGAATTGGAGTTCAACAACAACGGGAAAGGCACAAGTTCTCCATGCCCGCTTTGCTAAATTAATGCAGTCGCTTATAACAGAGGTTATTGGGGCAGTGTGCAAAAGGGGGGAAACCACACACAACTTTAAAACAGGCCTCTGTGCATGTTCTTGCAAAGGTTGCATAATAACAGAGCTAGATTATTTGCTCAAGTTCACATCTCATTCAAATAATCAACATGCAACTCAAACCTATCCTTTCTGGAAGTTATTATGGAGTACACCTTATGCATATAACGTCAGCTGAACCGAACAGACTTACTTGTGTAATCTGTCAAGGCAAATACTTGTATAAATTGTGATAAGCCTGAATGACAAGGTTATTGGAGGAGGTTATTGCAAGCTGCAGCCGCCAAGCCAATTGGCATATTTAAAACACTGCATTTGGGTGTTCAGATTCACACTTTATACCAAACAACGCCTTTTTTCTTTCCTGCATCTGTTTTTCCTATGTGTAAGAAATGATATTAGGAAAAGGAAGAGAGCTGTGCTTAAATCAAAGTACAGCATCACATGTGAATTATGGGTGCAAGAGACAATAAAAATACATTCCTTGTGAAAACAGATTCAAAGTAAATTCAGACCTTGAGCCGGAAGGAAATAAAGATAGAGAGAAGTCTCCAAAGGGAAACACAGAAAATGAGATGTACATTTGCACTGACAGTCTGCATCATCAAATACAAATCAACACTCCATGTCCAGGGTCCAAATGACAAAGTTTCAAAGACTCTGAAGCACATAAGATGCTCTGTCTCCTTCACAAAGTTTGTCATATTCCCTTCAGTGGAGGAGGCTCACAATTTTGGTGCACAATGGAGCATTCATGGAGGACTGGACTGGGCCGCAGACCCTCGATAGGAAAGTACAACGCTGCCTTATTTGTTGGCAATTTGTCTCGAGAGACATTGGAAGAGAGCACCTTTTGGGGTGCATCTTAAAAAGTAGAGACATCACCTTGCCAACAAATGTCCGTATAGTTAAAGCCATGGTTTTCTCAGTAGTGATGTATGGAAGTGAAAGCTGGACCATAAAGAAGGCTGATCGCCGAAGAATTGATGCTTTTGAATTATGGTGCTGGAGGAGACTCTTGAGAGTCCCATGGACTGCAAGAAGATCAAACCTCTCCATTCTGAAGGAAATCAGCCCTGAGTGCTCACTGGAAGGACAGATTGTGAAGCTGAGGCTCCAAGACTTTGGCCACCTCATGAGAAGAGAAGATTCCCTGGAAAAGACCCTGATGTTGGGAAAGATGGAGGGCACAAGGAGAAGGGGACAACAGAGGGTGAGATGGTGGGACAGTGTTCTCAAAGCTACAAACATGAGTCTGACCAAACTGCGGGAGGCAGTGGAAGACAGGAGTACCTGGCGTGCTCTGGTCCATGGGGTCACGAAGAGTCGGACATGACTAAACGACTAAACAACAACATGTTTAATACATATGTGCAATAAGCACTGCAATTTATGCTGATTCAGGTTTGATTTTCACCAATTTCTGTTAGATTGTGTTAGTGTGCATGTTGGGAACCTGTGTTACGTGTAGCCATTCGCACCATGTAGCAACTTGAGCTGCGTCTTTGTGATTCACATATTAGCTGTATTCCTGCTCCAATGTAGGGGGGGGCAGCAACTTGCAAAATCATGAGTTTCATAAAGCAACAGGTTAACATAACTTCTCTAATAGTAACGCACTCAAGGATTTCCAGGGGTATACATTATCACATTTATCGTGGCCCTTTGGACCACCACCACATTTGATACGATACGATATCTTTATTGTCATTGTCCCTTGCGGAACAATGAAATTGAAAACTACATAAAACTACATAAAAACTCCACAAAACTACATAAAACTACATAAAAACTACATAAAACTATTACAAAACTACATAAAACATTCAAAAACCCCTAAAAACTCTAAAACCCCATTTTAAAACACACTATACTACAGAAACCCCTTATGCTGCGTTTAGAACCAGAATTGCATTAGCGTAGAAACTGTTTTTCAGGCGGCTAGTCCTGGCCTTTATAACCCTATACTGTACCTTCTTCCAGAAGGCAGAAGCTGAAAGAGATCATTTCCGGGGTGCGTACTATCATGTGCTATCTCTGCCGCTTTCTTATGGCACCTGACAGCATAGATTTGATCTAAGGTGGGAAGAGTGCACCCAATAATTCTCTCTGCAGTCTTTACAACCCTGGATAGCATTGTTTTTTCCCTGGCCGTGCAGCTCCCAAACCACACGCACAGACCATAAGTTAGTACGCTCTCTACAGTGCAATGGTAGAATGCCATCAACAGGTCCTTTGAGAGATTGTTTTTTCCGGAGGATTCTCAGAAAATATAACCTCTGCTGTGCTCTCTTCACCAGGTCTTTGCTGTTCTCTCCCCAGGTTAGGTCGTCTCTCAACTCCATTCCCAGAAATCGAAACACTGAGACCTGTTCCACGCACTTCCCTCAATAATAAGTGGCTGAATATTCAATTTACATTTCCTAAAGTCCACAATGATCTCTTTTGTTTTCTTTAAGTTAAGCAGTAAGTTGTTTTTCCTGCACCACTCCCCCAACTGCTCAACTTCCTTCCTATAGGCCGTCTCCCCCTCTCCAGCGGTAATTAAACCAACCACCGTTGTATCATCTGCGAACTTAATGATCTTATTAGTGGGGTATTTGGGGGCACAGTCAGCTGTATAGAGCGTGTATAAAGCGGGCTCAACACGCACCCCTGAGGCGTCCCCGTATTCGTGATGAGATCCGCAGAGACGTGGGAACCCAACCTGACCCTTTGGGAACGGTTTGATAGAAAGTCTAATATCCACCTGCACAAACATGGTGGAAGTCCCAGGTCTAATAATTTGGGCACCAATCTATGCGGAAGAATAGTATTAAATGCAGAACTAAAGTCTACAAATAACAGTCTCGCGTAGTTCCCTTGCTTCTCCAAATGAGTCAGGACAGCATGTAAAGCCATTGCCACAGCATCCTCTGTGGATCTCTTTGCCTTGTACGCAAACTGGTAAGGGTCAAGTCCCACTGGCAGACAAGATAAGATGCGCTTCCTCACCAGTTTTCGAAACATTTCATTATAATGGGTGTCAGCGCCACAGGGCGAAAATCATTCAGACTGTCTATCTTTGATGTTTTTGGCAGGGGTATAATGGTAGCAGATTTCAGACAGGGTGGAACAGTGGCTTGGGCCAGAGACTGGTTAAAAATCTTTGTAAAGATTCCTGCCAATCTCTTAGCACCCTGCCAGCCACCCCATCCGGGCCCATAGCCTTCCTCGTGTTTACCTCCTTTAATATTCGCCTCACTTCTCCCTCTTCCACCCTGGCAGCATTTCCTGTAGGCAGTGACGCCAATAGCTCTGG